ATAAAGAAATCATGATTCAACTCTGTTGGAAGGTTTTCAAAAGGTTAAAGGTTTTTCCATTGTACAAACAGTTAAATCTGACATTCTTACAGATAGAACTTTCACATTCACTGATCAGTTGAGAGACATGAATGGAAATACGATATCTGACATTTCATCACTTCAATGTGTCTACATTCTATCTGATAGAGTTATTTATGGAATTAAGGACATTAAGAATGGAACAATTATCACTCTTAAATGTTCAGAAACTATTCTAATTGAAAGGTATGACTTGTTGATTGTTGCCAAAGTTCTTACTCCTCCAACTCCAACTCCTCCAAGACCAGAACCAACTATCATCCAAAACCAAGTGATTCAGTCCATATATCCAGTGACCAAGGTCAAGATATAGCAATCACTATTCTTGCAATAGTGGTTTCAGTGCTGTGCATTTCTATGGTTGGACTTGTTACCATCTTAATAGCTCAAACAATTCGATACAACAAGCACTCTAATGAAGAAGAGACGAAAATGATAGAAATGAATGGTTATTACCAATATGCTTAGGCCCTCTCTCCAAAAAAAACATGCATATAATTAAATTCCTTCCTTGTGTTGCATCAATCTTGTCAATTCTTCATGTGAAACACTCCATCCATCATTGATTCAAGAATTCACATCCATTTAGAAATCAATTATAAAAAAAACACGAAAAAACTCAAAAAAAATGCTCAACAGTGTTTCCCTCGAATTTTATGAATGTTTGATTTGTTCCGAGATTGTGTTGGATAACAGAGAATGTAAATCGTGTCATAAATTGTTCTGTTATGATTGTATACATAAATGGCTTAAAGGACATAACAGTAAGTTTTGATCACATATAATAATAATTTAACGACATTAAAATTATTTATAATTAATTAATTATATAAAGATTGTCCACATTGTAGTGCATCCCCTGTTCAATGTAATGATAAGCAGGATTTTAGCAGTTTTATTCATAATTATCATGCGGAATTGATTGCAAATTCTTTAGAGGTTGAATGTCCTAATGGTGCTGATTGTGATTTGAAGAAAATTCCGAGAGGTGATTTGAAGAAGCATTTGGATCAGTTTTGTACAGGAAGAAAGTGTGCTTGTAAGATGGGGAAATTTGGTTGTGGATGGTTTGGATTATCAAAATTGATGGATGAACACTTGTCTCATGATTGCATATTTGCAAACCCTATGGTTGTTAAGGCATTGGAAGATTTGGAAACAAAAGTTAATTCTCTAACAAGTGAAAATCAAAAGCTTAAAGAAGAAAATGAAAAGATATCAAAACGAGTTAAGGAATTGGAAGAAGGTGGAAGTATTTTCGGAAGAAATGAACCAACTGCTCCAAGTAATGATAACAATAATTCAATGGTAAATCAATTCAATCAGAATGTGCCAGGTTATTCGACACCTTCCACTCCAATGCCAACTCCACAACCAATGACTCCAACAACATTTAACCAACAACCTCCTCCTCAAATGAATCAATCCATGTACGGATCATCAGTACAACCATTGAATCAATCCATGTACACAAGTTATAGTATGCCATATGCATCCACAAGCTTACAATCACCAACCTATGGTTCAGTTAATGTGAAGAGAGTGAGACTGGTTGTAACAACCTGTATTTGGAACCGTTTGCCTGGTATTCGTGGTGAAGCTTATCTTCCTCTCACAGATGGTTACGATAATACTTTTGAATTCAATGTGAATGAATTTAATAATGGAGAAATTTCAAATTATAGCCCACTTGTTTCCACTTCAGGAAATTGGACAAGTGGAGCCATGAAGCTTAATATTACTTGGACTCAATTGAATAGATCAATAATTATAGATGGTATGGCTGGATTTTGCGCTCCAGGTGCAACCAATTTACTATTGAACTTTGCTGTGAAATCCACTGGATTGGGAGGAAGAGGAAATATTGGTGATGGAGGAAAGATTCATTGTACAGTAATAGTAAATTAGTTTAATTTTTAATAACTTTATAGATCTTTCTCTGTCCAAGCTTTCACAATATATTTAAAATGTCTAGCAATACTTTTGCAGCTTTGCCTATAGGCCACAGAAGCAGGTTAATAATTAATGATAATTCGTTATCAACAATATTTCTGATGTAAATCAGTCAATTCATTCAATAGTCCCAGTTCCAAGCAAAGAGGAAACAGCCTCACCATCTTTAAGCGACACATCAACCAATGTAAATCTTTCCAATAACTGCTCTTTCAATTTTCTATCAATTGATTTCAAATTCATACAATGAAGCATTTCTAAATTATTCAAATATTTACAGTAAATTAATGATCTGACAGCTGGTTCGCTCAATAAGTTGGAATTCAAGTTCAATTGTGTTAGAGTGTTGAAATGAGGTGAGATACAAAGTCCTTTCTCAATACAATCATTACTGATCTGCGTTTGTGAAAGATCCAAAACCTCCAATTGAGTAAACTGACATTTCGTCAAGAGAATTTTAGCAAAATCATTAAACAAGTTATTTTCATCGAGAATGAGAACTTTCAAGTTGTTGAGCACATTCGTATTTGGAATTGTAAAGCTCAACAATGATTTTCCATCAATAATGTTCTTTCCTAAATTTAACATGGTCAACTTGGATAAATTATTTGATGTTAATAGGGAAACGAAACCATTATTTCCTATAATATTCTCTCTCACATTGAGAGATGTCAAATTTTTCATATTTTCACTTTTTACAATCTCAATCATTCCCAAATCTCCAATTTTGCATCCATTCATTGTTAATTCTTCCAAATTCGAAAGCCAAACACTATTCGAAATTAATGTAGCTCCACTAGCTCCTCCAATTACATTATTCTGCAAATCTAGAAATGTCAACAAGGATTTGCTTTGTAAGTGTGAAATTTCTTCCAAAATGGACGAATCTTGCAAATGAGTCAATGTTAATTTCCTGAGATTATTCAAATGTCCATTTACGAGGCACAATTCGAAACTTTTAATTCTTTCCTTTCTTCCTACAAATCTTATTTCATAATTCGAAACTGTTATAATTTCTTCATTCCATTTATTCCACTGTTTGCAAACTAAACGAAAGGTTCCAATCAACTCTCGAAAATCCAAGAATGAAAATATTACACCATAGAGCACATCATTAGAAATATCGGAAATTTTCGTTGGTTGACCTTTTTTATAGAGTTGTGAAATTTGTCCTCTTTGGCTGGTTGATTTTTGACCCATTTTTTAATTTATTTTATTCGAAACTTATTTTCTATGGAGCAAAGTATGATTGACCACCAAATTGAAAGAGACGAAACACAACTATTTGAAAAAGTTGTTTCTTAGTATCCAGATATTTCAGAACATAACTCAAAACTTAAAATTATTTGATTAGTGAACTAGGAACAACCTTAATATTCTGAACCGTATTTTCCTGAATGGTTAATTGTCAAGAGTTGTTCATTGTTCCACCTTACTCTTTACTACTAATATAATAATACTACCAATATCACAAATCAACAAATTATTTAGGATAATTACAAGTCTCCACAGTTCCTAGTAGCTACGTTACGAAAATCATTTTTAAAACTTGGATTTACATGACTATACTCAATAATTCAAAAAAACAAAAATGTCAACAACAAATATCTTCCTCATCAATCAAACGCATTTCTACAACAAAACTCTAGATGTTGCCAGTGCAAAAATCATCATGGATGTTCGTTCAAGAGCTGATTATGACACTTGTCATGTCAGAGCAAGTTATTCAACACCTGCTATTGAAGATGATTATCATCCTTCAATGAATACTGTAGGTCATGAGTTTTTATCTTCCAGTAAAACCAAGTTGACCAATTTGCTTCAGCATTCAGAAAGTTCAGATGAAATCTCTTTGGTTTTGAATGAATTATATAAGAATGTACCTGGATGGACCTTGAGAGGTATTGGTTATAAGAATGTACTTTTATATGGTGGCGAGGAAGTTACTGACTTGAAATTCAGTGATATTCATAACTCAGTTGAGAATGTTCAATTTGCTAATTGTGGAAATTTAATTGAATCACCTATTAGAATCAATGACAGTATTGAATTGAATGATATTGCAAAGTATCCTGTTTTACTACTTGCAGAATTGTTGAAAATGGAAGGATTAGTTGAAAATGTTTACATTCTGAGGAGTTTCCAATCCTAAATTCGAAAGTACAGTCATGTTGTTACTTTTAAAGATGTAATTGGTCATCAAGGTCTCTATCCAACTGAAATCATTGAGAATTTTCTATTTATTGGCAATAGAGAGAATGCAAACACTGATAAGGAACTCACCGACAACGGAATAACCTTCATTTTGAATGTTGCCGAAGAAGTTGATAATAATTTGGAAGAATTATTGGTCAACAATGAAAAAAAGTACAAGTATTTGAAACTTGGAACAGATGGTGGTGCAATTGACCATTCTGTTTCTCAATTATTGTTTGAAAAGGCAAATCAATTTTTGAGAAGTGCATTTGAGAAGAATGGTAAAGTTTTAATTAATTGTAATATGGGCATTTGTAGAAGTACCTCCTTTGCAATTAGCTATCTCATCAAGTTTCATAATCTTACACCTGAAGAAGCATTTAATCATATTAAGTGTCATAGAAGTGTTGTTTTATCTTACAAGTCAAAAGTCAATTGTTAAAATACTGTAATTGAAATGATAGCAGCAGAATCTGTCAATGTACTATATTATTTATATGTTTATATGAATTATCTATTATTAATAAAGTTTTATATTCTAAACCTCGTTGTTGAACATCAACGTGTTGTTGTGAATCACCATAATAGTGTCGCTAGAAACCATTCCACTATCAAAATATTGGGTTGATGAAATATTGTCTTTCCCTCTTACTTTGAACAAATAAGATTCGTACAGAATTCTTTCCTTCAGTTCGTACTGGGATTGTTGCCATTCCTTAAATACTTCCCTCTTTAGTAGATTACATAATATTGATAATATCCTTTCTAAACACCAAAACATTCAATATAGTGTAAAGTACTCAACTTTTCTATTTTCAAGTGGGATAGCTCTAAATCTGACTATCAGTGCAATATCTGATTGAAGCCAACCAATGTGTGCAATTAAGCACAACTCTGGACCCTACAAAAAATTGAGTTAATAGTAATGGCAACCCGTGGTGGGCTGGTTTCAGCTATTACACTGAAAAGAAAAGATACTACACTCGATCAAACCCAATTGGCCGAGAAAGATGTTTCATAGAAATGCAAAGTATCATTTAAGCGATATCATTGAATTGAAGCAATTAAAAATACTAGAAATTGGAGAAAATTTCATAAAGGAGATGAACAAGTTGAACTGATTTCCAACTGAGCAATTTTGATCAATTTATGAATTTCTTTAACCAAAATATTTTTTTTCGTGATGATCAATTTCAAAATCAATAAATGAACTTGCTCAATGCCTCTTCCTCCAATCACTCTCTCTTACTGACTCGAAAGACGACGTACCTCACAGTTCATACAGTCAAAGACTGTAGCGGGATTGTCGCCATATTCCTGGCAGGCTTCCCGTCTAATTATTAAGTGAAATAAATCATGACTTTAACGAAATGAACCGTTCAAAATTATCTTGAAATCATTGATTAATGGAATGTTGTTAATCAATGATTTGGTTGTCACTTTGGAATGCAATTTGACTCTTATTATGAAGGTTGTCAATGAAAGACAAAGTCCATCTGCAGATGATTCTGAAGCTAAAAAGTTGATTAATGCTTTCTAATCTCAATAGGAAGTCCTCCAATATATTAATTGATTTCAATAAAAAGTCTTCTTTTTGCCTCAAAATACAATAATTCGTTTGACAACATATTTCACGAAACTTAGCTTACTTCATTTAACTGAAAAGAAAAAATGAAAAAGACTACAGCACCACAGGTTCCCAAGTTGTCTCCAACCTCAGTATTGATGTGGCTCGACGATGCTTAACTTCTCAAATCAGACGGGATGAGGTGCATTCATCGTGATATGGCCGTAGCCATTCTCTTTCTTAAATTATGCCCTATAATTGTTAACCAAGTCGGCAGTAAGCATTTGATCTCATTTTCCTCAAGCAATTAACATTTTTAATTCAACAAGAAAGGGAGCAGATATTAGAAAGTAGTTCTTTTCATGAATTTACTCTTCATCAATTTCATTTCCTTCATAAGTAATACTTGTCACAAATGGATTATAAATCTTGATAAATTCATCAGTGTTAAATAAAATTTTCCAATCTTCACTACCTCCACCAATCCAGAATTGTTTATGTTCATCAACGATCTTCTTATCCAAAACTATTGGAATGTTAATATTTTCCTTTTCAGGTAAAGCAACAGGAGAAACTCCATTAAATTCATATCCTGTCAATTCAAAAGCTTTTGGAGCATCAGTCAAACTAAAAACAAATTGTTTCTTTCCCAATTTACCTTGATTCAATTCTCTGACATATTTAGTCAACTTTTTAGAATTGAATTTGGCTGAATATTGCACAATCACACAATAATATTTGGAATTTGTTCTAACAGAGCAATCACTCAACACACATTTGGAATTTTCCAATATCAAACTCTTACACAATTGATGCATACTAGCTGTTTGTAACAAATCCCGTCTGGCTTCGAGAGGTCTAGAATAGTAATCCTTTGGGACTTGAGAGAAATTGGCAAATTTAAAGCCTAATTTTTGTACTTGTTTCTTGACGATCTTTATCAATTCGGTATCGTTCGGTTCCTCTCTATCAAAATTACTTTCATGAATGATTGCATTAGGATTTTCAATGATTGTTGATGCCAATGCCGATGATGAGGATTCACTTGTTGTTATTGTTGTGGATGACGATGATAACGAAGTTGTTACTTGTTCAGATTTCTTCTTGGAAATTCCGTTCAATTGTTGTTGCAATTGGTTTAATGAATTTTCAATATTGCCAAAACGTTTAGCAAGTTCTTCCAATCTATTTTCCATTTTTTTATTAAAAAATCTTGAAGTGGTGTTGTTATGTAATGGATCTTTTATTGAATGCATTCTGTAAAGATCTTTAATAATAACATAAACATGCAGAAACAGTCGACAAGAATGAGAATTGAAAGAATTTAATTTTTTAATAGATTAATTTCGCAAAGTCATCCAATAATGGATAATGCAAGAGAATAGAGTTTTCCAATTTCCAATAAGAAAATCCAATTTAGAGTTTTCATCCGTGTATGTTTCATCAATAAATAATCAAGTCCACTCCTCTTCTTACAATTATCTTATTAGACTTCCTTTCCTCATTTATAATGTATAAAACAAAAACTATGGAGCCATCTTTGCGCCTAAAAATTAAACATTAGAAAAAACCATTCAACATTATTCAACTTACCAGATGCCACAACAATACCAACAATGATAGCAAAAATACCTAAAGCAGAAGCGAAAATTTCGACAACCAAAATCTTGACGAACAATGATGGTTCAGCAGCATCAGCAATAGCACAACCACTACCAACAATACCAACACAAGCACCACAGGCCATGTTACCTAAACCAACAGTGAGACCAGCAGCAAACAAGGAATAACATGAACCAACAAGAATTGGCCAAGGAGTAACCTTTGAGGAATCCTTATCATCCATGAACCATTTGGTTTGTGTTGAAAGGACAATAGCCATAATAATACCGTAGATAGCAACAGCTTCACAGAAAATAATACTGATGAGGTTCTTAGTCTTGATACGAGGGGCTCTAACACAGGCACCCATAATAGAAGCACCAGCAATAGTGATACCCCAACCAGCACCAATAACAGAAAGACCAATAACACATCCAGTACCAACAGCAGAGAAAATATATGGATCAATAGCAGCGAAAATGTATGCCCATTGTTCACCGTCAAAAGCAACGGTACCACCGAAGAGTGGTAAAACAAGAACTAATAAAAGAGTAACTCCAACAATACCAAGAATAATTGAGAGAAGAGTTGGCATTGCATCATCACCAGGTTCTCTGATGCGCTCCAAAGCTTGTGGGAGCAAAGCGTCGGTAGATTCCATTTTTTTTTAGACTTAAATTTTTATTTTATTTTTATTTTTAAAATATAATTGGAAAACTTCCCATAGGAACGGAGAGAATTTTCATCTCCGAAGATTGGAAAGTATCAAGGGTTTCTTTTTAGTTTCAAGTATTTTATTGTAGTACATTGGAGAAAGAGAATTATTTTCATATTTAATAAATATTAATAGTTTTCAATAATTATTCTTTAATAGTTTACAAAAAAAAATGATTCAACATCAAATAGTATTTGGGAATGCATTTCGGAAGGTTATTCAAGGTAGTTTTTCCATCATGATTATCAATAGGAAACAAATTAATGATGGTCATCATTATTTTAGTAAATTTTCAAGCCTTCTTCAATTTAAAAATATTAAAACATTTAAATTAAGAATGATGATGAATAATATCAAATTATCAAATTCATCAGAACAATTAAATCAAAAGATAATTTCATCTGTATTAATTAATTTCGATCAATACACGGAAAGAAATCAATTTTTGCAAAGATTTAAATATTTAATAATTATAATGTTTTTAATTTATTGTTCCACCATCAAGAAAGAGTTGAGAGAAGATTTGTTTCTTGGAGAATTGTTTGGGAATGAATTGAACTTCTTATGGGGAAAGAAGGAATCATCAGCAAGTAATAGCACTGATAATTCTTCATCATCCAATAATAATAATTTACCAAATTCTAACAATAATCAAGAAGGAACAACACAGATTCAAAACAGTGAAAGACAACCAATGAATAAGCAGCAACCAAAGGGAAAGATGAAAATTGTCAAGGTCAAACCAGATGGTAATTGTTTATTTAGGGCAATATCTATGGGTCTGTATGGAACTGAATCGAAACACATGGATGTGAGATATATGGCAGTGGATTGGATGAGAAAGAATTTGGACACTAAAATTGAGGGGTTACCTTTCAGACATTCACTTTTTATGGAGAATGGTGATACGAATATTAATGCAGATGTGGAGAGACACTTGAGAAGAATGTTAATGTCTGGTATTTGGGGTGATTTTAGTTGTATTGTTGCACTTTCTCAATGTTTAGAACCTCAGACAAACTTTAAAGTAGCCGTATTGAGTCATCATGCCTTTGGTACCAAGAGAGGGCAACAACGAATCGAATCAATAGTGGGTATGTTTTATTCTAGAAGATTTCATAATTTACACACGATTTCAGATGTGAAAAAGAATGATAATCCAAACGCTAGAGTTATTTGGTTGTCTTTTAATCAAATTAATAACCATTATGATTTTGTTACCATGTCATAACATGGGATATATTTATCTAATTGAGGGAATTTAAAAACTTTTGAATCCAAATGCCAACATATTTAAATTCAATTTCTCTTGCAATTTTTACAGATTGTGGATCATTTGGATTTGACCATCTTATATCCAAATGGTGACCTCCTTGTTCAATGAAGATTGGAATTATGGATGGAGATGTTTTCATTCCCTTTTCAACACTTCCAGCTCTCACTGCATCATACTGACCGTTTGAGAATATTATATTGGAATGTTCTGTCAATGCTCTTTTCCCTCCAAAATAGGTTGCCAACCAATACGGTTGTGGATTGAATTTGTACTTGCTCATACAGGCCTTCATTTGGACTTTCAAATTGTAAGGATTGGAGAAGAACATGTCTGTGCTAGGATAAAAACCTGATGGAATGATCATTTCATTACAAAGCTGAAGAGACCAGGAGTTCCATTGTAATCCTCCACCCAAATTGCTAGTATTGAAACAAGATTTGTCGCCAGTGTAGTTTTGGAAAAGATTGACACCATCAAATAGAATTGTAAAATACAAATCTTCACTCTCTAAATTTGGAGAGGTGGCCAAATGCTTAGCTATTGAAGTACATAATCCATTCACTGGCCAAGCAGGCAAATTGTTAAAAAAGTTGGTTGGATAGGGATAGTTGGCTTGAGCCAATACTTCAAATGAAAATGCAATGTAAGAAGCCAACACTTTGACCTCCAAATTTGATTTCATTTCATTACAGAGTCTGAATTTTCTTGAGAGCATTTGTAGTTGCTCTTTAGATGTTGTACTTTCAAAGTATTTAGACAAGAATTCAAATCCTTTTTTAACTGCACTGTCACAAGTCATTTTAGGATAAATTTGAAAGTTTGTTAAATTTCTGTAAGCCTCAGTTGCAATTTGAGCAGCAAGATATGGAGGAGTGATGCCATTGAAGAATAGAATAGGAGCACTGGCTGCTATTGAGCCATCAATCAAGTGTGGAAATTTAAATCTCATCCTAATTGCAATATTATAATTATTTGTGATGACATTAATAGGTAACTTACCAAGCAGCTAAATCTCCACCATAAGAACCTCCAACAAGAATCTTTACAGCTTTAGCTTGAAAATAATTAAGATTACTTACTATTGGATTCTTTCTCTTTTCGTCCAATCCAAAGTTTTCAGTGAAAAACACAGCCAAATCATGAGTTGCTTGCTCAATGGTGAGATACCTTTGAGGATCTTGATTTGGTGGAATGGTCTTTCCATAAAAACGATGTTCAATAAATATTACAAGAGCTCCATAATATTTGGCCAACTCAAACACAAGCCCTGTATTTTCGTAAAACTCTTCCAAAGCACCTTCATTTCCTGGATATGCAATGATTGGAATGAAAGGATCAATCTGTATTAAGTTGTTATCATCTACAATTACGGAGGAACGAGTAGAATGCTTTACATAGAGGTCGCAAACAAAATAACGTTGGGGAAAGGTTGCAATGTTGGTAAAATCAAAGTGATCTAATCGTTGTGTGAAAAATCCAGTTTGATAGGGAGGAATATCTTGTGAGATGCATTGTGATGAAATTAAAAGAAAGCAGAATAAAACAACAAGCACAGAGAGCAGATTGACCATTTTTTTCTTTTGAAATTTGATGATCGTATTTGTTGTTATCGCACATAATCCAAAAGTTGTCCTAAAGCAGTATTTTATTCTAGAATTGAAGAAGTGATAGAATTACAAAGAAAATGCCAAGAACCAAACTATATTCCACTCTTACAGAACTATTGACGTTTCTTGAGGATTTTGATGGGGTTGGTACAATTGTAGACGAGCTAGATGGATTAGTAGATCCACCTTTAGATGAGGTATCTTGTGGTTGTGGAGCTTCATATCTCAACATGGTCACAGACACACTTGATTCTTGGTTGACTCCACTATAGGCAAAAATAGAACTAGAGCAATATGAAGATGGCCATGTAAATAAATAACTTTGTCCATTAGAGAGCGCACCTGTATCAATATTTGACTTGTTTTGACATTGCATATTCAAGAGCAATCTGAATTGACCACCACCTGTTGTCTTGGCAGTAACATTATATAATACTCCACTTGTTGGGGATCCCCAGGAAACCTTAGCAAATCCGTTTGCACTGTAAGTTCTGAAGGTTGTCCTAGAAGTTCTATTAGCAAACACTACAGCTTGTTTCCATGTATCATAACTTCCTCCTGATGGTCCACTTTCTAAACCCCATGGACCTCTCATTGATAAAACATTTTGATTTTGTGTAAATGTGACTTGTTGATCATTTCCATTAAGCCAACCAGAGCATGAAACCATTGGACGAAGAGCTGCACGAATAACTTGCAATTCACTGGCTGCTACATTATTCCAACCACCTGGATGGAGTGTATAATTGGATCCCATTTCAACATAGATAAAATATGGTGTTCCATAATTTCTATCAGTGACATAAGCTCCATAAGTTTTCAAAGTTTCAGCAATCTTTTTCAATTTTGGAGTAGATATCAATTTAGATACATTGAATGAAGATGGCAAAAATAGACGACTGCCTTCTGGAATATTACCATAGTTAGTGGTTGCAGCATCACTATCGGCAGCTGTGGCTGGAAAGACATAAGTAGGATTGTTGTCCAAACCATTATTGGTCATGGACATGGTTAAAGCATGTCTATACATGGTATCACCATCATTTACTTCATGAGTACGAATCAATCCTGCAGAGGAGGCAATACCAACTGCTCTAGCTCCAGAATAAAAAGTAGCAGGAGTTGACCAACCAGGTCCATCCAATGCAGACCATCCATAAAGAGTTGCACGCCATGTACCATTCACCTTCTTCAATTGCCAGAAAGAGTGAATTCTATTATCAATTGGATCATAAATTTCACAATGGCCATCACCACCTGATGCAGGAATAGTATTTCCTGGCCATCTTGGAATTACAAGACTTGGTACTTTGGCGAAAGCTTCAGAAAGATTAATTCCAACCGAATCAGAAGGACCATAAACTGTCACTGATGGATCAGAGGCTGATGCAATATAGACACCTGTTGAGAAACTTCCTTCACCAATTGCTGGGTAATATTTTACTTCAGATTCTGGTATGGTGACATTTTCAGCAAGGACAGGATTGACCGGACGACTATTCCACAGAGAATCAGCAGAAAATGGACGATAGACGGTAGCGCATGGATAAGGTGCTGCGCATGCGTTGTTGATAACAAATGCTGTTTGGCATGTGGTGTTTAGTTCAATAATAATGTAACTGCTACTAACCAATCAACGAGATGACAAGAAGAAACACAGTTGAGTGTTGCATTTTTGTTTTGTGTGATGATTTGTGAGTTTGTTGTACCTCTTTGTTATGATTTTAAGAGATCTCCAGTACAGAGTGAATGTTACTGCTTATTCGTCCGACTTCACTTATTATTCCTTCCATCTCGCGCTTATCGTGCCCATTCGTTAGAATGGTTAGTGGTTGTTTTTATTCGAAGGTGTTGGCCACTTTAAAAAACGTATCACTATCAACCTCTTTGAAACAATTGCAAACAAAATCAAAATTGTTGGTTGTGGATTGTTTTTTGAGCTTTTGTTGAAGAGAAACAAGGAAAATCTTTACAAAATTTAACTCGGTGATGAAACTTTGACCAATTGTTTTTTCTGTTCCTTCCGTTTTGAAATTTAGAGGGAGAAGGTCACATATCTTATCAACAAGGAGTGAAATCTTTTTGTGTACGGAATCGAATATCGTAGAGGAGTTGAATCTAAGGGTGACATAATCTCTTGCCATTTCAATGAGTTGAGGATTATTGAGAGAAGTACGTAAAAGCTCAATGGTAACTCTCTCTGCAGCATTTTCAGAGCTATTGCTCAAAATATTGAATTGAGGTAGGATATACTTTAATATAGCATAAATATTTGCGATATAATTGAATGACACTTACTGAAAGAATGCATGATTTTTCAATAATTAATATTTCTTTGGTTTCCAATGGGTTAATTTGCTTAGCATAGTTAGTAATGTGAGTCAGTGAGGTAAGTCCATTATGTTTTAATCTCTTCGTTGAGTAGAGCTCTTCAGAAAAATCGACCATTACCTCTTTCTTCGTATCTTGAATTGAAAAGAGGTTAATTTGTTGAATAATAAATGTTTTCCTTTCCAATATTACTTCAAATGTATACGTAAAATCTACATTATTTGGAGTTTCATAGCCTAGTTCCTTAAATTTCTTCCATATAATTTCACAACTAGGTTTTTCATTGTGTAACATTTTCCAATTGTGAGTAAAAATGTCATAGTATATGTGTACCATGAGATTTTCTATATTTGCACTGGCTTCAATATTCCAAATGGTACAACCATTTTTAATATCTAGTACCTTTGGTTGATAACGATTTCCAACAGGAATAGCTTTCTTATGAGGGAGGCAGATGAGTTCCGTGACATTATTGAATTTACCGAGTATGCAACCATTAAACAACTTCAGGGTAAAATCTGAATATAGAGGAGTTTCATCTGTTCCTCTAAAATATAGATATTCCACATTGTTTTCATTTTTGTGTGTAATATCCAGTGAAAAATAGCTTTCCAATTCATCTGAGATGGATTGGAAGTCATTATTCATTCTAGTGACATAAACATGAATACTGTTTGGAAGTTTTTCAATTTCTTTCACAATTGGTGGTAGCATTACTAGTTCATTTAGTTCCTCTTTCATTTTTTGATATCTCGCATAGTAAATTGAATCAAAATAATTCCAATCAGTTTCCTCTTTTCCCATTATTTCATAATACAAATCGTTGGACTGAGAAAAGTCAACAATTCTTCTGAATTTCACTATTTGAATAGCAAATAATAAATCTCTAAAAGTATGAACAATATACTTCTTTGGTCTGTATGTGTTAGATGAGCTCCAATATTTCTTAGCAAGCCTATAATGACTACTTGCTTCAGCAATGGCACTCAGAGCTATCTTTCTGAAATATAACTTGAAACAAGTGTGCAGTTCAGGAAAATCCAAACTTGGAACAAATTTTTCACTTGCACTGTAGCACATGATGGATTGAATCCAGTTCGATTCTAGCCTTTTTTTGAATGAGCTGTAATTGTAAAGATTTACATTCAGCTCAGTTCCACAAGAGGTTTCCAATAGTAAACACTGAAATTCTCTTCCCATACCAGATTTGCCCTCTTTTGACCATTCAGAAGCCTCATTATTTAGTTTACTTTCCAATGAAGGTCTATTATTTTCATTCTCTGAAAAAACAACCCACGAATCTTTAAACTTATTATGAAATCTCAAATTTTCCTCACGACTATAATTCTCGTTCAAACTTTGATAAAAATCATCGGAAATTACCATGAAAAAATCATAATCAGAATCATCCCTATGAGTTCCATATACTCTCGATCCAATTTAATAAATATTACAAGATAAATCCTTTTCAAAATTCAAGGCAATTAATATTTGTTCTCTGATAGGTTGAAAACAAGCCTCCGAATCCACATTCTTCTCCATCTATCTACTATTCTATCCACATAAAAGAACAACAAATAATTTCATAAGCAAGAACTTCTTTCCCAAAAAAGAGATGAATCAAAGTTGTGCAACAGTATATGAGGAAGTATTAATCGGATTTTTTTAATTAATAAAAATAATTTTTTAAAAATTGCAAAATCTAATTTTAAAAAATACAACCACACTACGACAGCAGGAATATAACGTAGTCGCAGCAGCACACAACTTTTTTGTTTCCACAATAAGTACTGAGGAGTAACAATTCAAGTTTTGAGGACTGTGTATACTTTCGTTTCAAAGCAGCAGCAACAACTCGGCAACAATTTTTATTAAGAATATATAACAACAGGTAGACTCCATCAAGATTCTCCATCAAGTCAGCAACACTACATCATATAGTAAAATACACATCAAATGGTATGAAATCATCAACATCATCAAATTTCTAATTTAAATCACATTTAAACAACATCATATTTATATTTATAACTGTATGGTTCATGTTCAATTATCAACAATTTTGAAAAACCTCCAACATGTAAAACCGTTATTATCAACAGACACCCGAATCACCACAACGTAAAAACAACAACAATACCAACAACCAAACAGATTCTAATCCTCAACATGCACACCACGGTGAACATCAAGATAATTATCATGACCTTCAAGAGGATGAGGATGAAGAAAATGAATACAAGAATAGTTTAACCGATAACTCTAGAGTATTATTTGTATTTAACTTGACTGTAGATACAAGAGAGGAGGATATTACTAAGGAATTTTCATTATTCGGTAAGGTTGAATCTGTAAAAATAGTTATGGACAGAAAGAAACTTATTAATAGAGGTTTCTGTTTTGTTACCATGGCCAGTGTTGAGGATGCAACAAGACTTAAGGAAGCCAAAATTGTTGTGAAAGGTCAAGCTCTTCATATTGAAAAAGCTGCCAGAACAGAAGGACACAACTCAACACCTGGACAAGGTTATCAAGGAAAAAGAACACCTAGGGAGCGTTTAATGCCAAAATCAATGCGTGATAAGGACCATCCACGTGGTTCTAGAGGTGGTAGTGGAAGAGACAATGGTCGTGGAAGTGGTGGTGGTGGAAGAGGTGGAGGTAAGCCACCATTCAGACAAAGAGGAGGTGGTCATACACCAAAAGGAGGTAGATTACCACCTGGTTCTTATCTTCCTCCTCAATCAGGTCAACCACCATATGACTATTATAACTATGGATATTATGGATATCCACCTTATGGCCAATTTCCACCTCCACCAGGTACTCCTCCATCAATGAGTGGTGAAGAACACACTCGTGGAGCCAGTGGTGCCTCAACTGCAAGCTCAACAAGTGGAGGTAAGGATGCTAGACCATTCTCTGGCCCACCTTACTCTGGCTATACAGGATATCCACCTTATTCAGGTTATCCACCTGGAGCTTACTATCCACCTGGAGCCTATGGATATTATCCACCTTATGGACCTAATGGAAGTTATGATTATCCTCCATATACTCCTCCTCCTGGAACTGGAAGAGAACCATCATCACCTCCACCAGGTTCCTCTTCAAGACCAACTTCTAACAGAATTTCACCATCTCGAAATCACCCAAGATACTTTTCCTCTGCAGGTTCTTCTAACTATAGATATAATCCTTATCCAAGTGTAAGTGAAGGAGGATCTGGACCAGTTGTACCTTCTGGACCACCATTACGTCCACCATCACCAGGTGCTTCTGGCGACTATGAATCATCTTCAAACTATGGAGTCTATGGCACTGAAAATCAACCATGGATCAATAAATAAAGACTCTACTGACTCTAATGCGCAATAATGGCAATAAATGTCTCGCTGTATTTTGATTGTCTTTACTGTGTTTTAAAAATTGAGTGAAAACCATTCGCTGGGTGGTACTGCTGTAATAAGTTTAAGAAATTGCCACCGCCCTCTCTACTTATTTTTCAGCCTTAATAATTGAAAACACATTCAAATGTCCTTTCTATGTGATTGCTTTGGATTTGGAGGCAATAAGAAGGGCAACTCATCATCATTAGCCTCCAATCCACCACCCTCCGTAACACTCACTCATCAACACAATAGAAATTCTGCCTTTTCCCAACTTTCCGATGATAAGAGCAAACCTCTTCTTTTCCATGAACATCATCGTTCTATTATTCCCCAACATCAAAACAATAGAAACTCTATTAAATCTACCAACATTCAAAATACCACTTCTACCCTTGATAATAATAACATAAATAACAATATTGACCCAACAACCTCTTTATCCTATGAACCTCCAACAATACCAAGTATTCATATTGATAATACTCATTTGAAGGCTATGAAGGCACTGCCAACACCACCAGGACACTATCATCAACATCTTCCATCAGTGGAATCTACAAAGGAATCGAGGGATGCTCATATTCAACAACAAGAACAAATATGCAACTTTCAAAAAGGTTTTAATAATAAGGAGAGCGAAGTTTCTTCCCACTCAGAGATCAATGTTTTGATTGAGGAATATCAACATAATCAGGGGTCTACTAATGAAGACTCTTATGAACAGTTAAGCTCACCTTCTACAACTTCACAAACGACTGATGAAGTTCTTCCTTCTCCTCAAATACCAACTCGACCAATTCCCATTATTCCAGATCCAATTCCACTTATTGTTATTGATCACGTTGATCCTCCTTCAGAAAAGAGCAATAAGAAAGAAGAGCCATTTCAGATTCCATTTCCACAATTTCAAATTCTTCCCAACTCGTTGGTAACTGAAGGTTATTCCACTTCTCATATGAATACTCCACAAAATATTAATCCAATGTTGTTAAGTGCAAGTCAATTAGAAGTTGTTTCTAATGTCGATTATGAAATGTATTCACAGGATGAATTTAGTGAATATGATGATCAGTCAGCTGGGGTTCTAGATATGAGTAATTTGGAGCCTCAAGATGAAGATGATACAGGATTATCTTCAAGAACTGTGAGTCCTCCAGAGTGGAATCTTGATCAGATAGATGATTTCGACGAAGAAGAATTCTACATGGATGAAGAATATGCCATCATTGATAAATTGGATAGTTCAATATTCGAAATTGAGGAAAAGAATAACTTGGAAATTGATTATAAGAGAATCAGATTGATAAAGGAATTGAAAAAGACAGAAATTAATTATCTGAAAACACTATCCACTTTTCAAATTTACTATATTAATCCACTGAAGGAAATGAAACAAAGTATTGTCCCTAAGGACTTTCTTCAAAAAGCCATCGGTGAAATGGGTATAATTTATAGAGTCAATAAGATGTTCTATGACAAGTTAGATCACATTATTGACATTCCAGAAACTGATGAAGACAGTGTACTTTACGAGTATTGTAAAAATAGAACAAATAATAATATGGAAATTGAGCTAGCAAAAGAAATTTCCAAGTTTGGCCATACATTGAAACTCTACATTGGTTACATTACAAAATATAAGAGTTCAATAGAACAATTAAATATCGAGAAGAAGAAGAACAAAAAGTTTGAAAGATACTTACAAGAAGCATTTCTTAATATTGCAAAGGATGGATTGATTCCTTCACCTCCAAGTTCTTACTTGATTGCTCCAATTCAAAGAATTCCAAGATATCAATTACTACTTTCAGAAATTGTTAAATGCTCCAAACATTTACCAGAAGTTCATGAATTATTGGCTAAGGCAACTGGAGGAGTTGTAAGTGTTGCCGAGTATTGCAATGAGAAGGAGAGAGAAATTCAGAATATGACCAAGATGCACATCTTATCAAAGAAGTTGAGAAATAAGATGATTATTCATCCTTCAAGAAAGTTCCTTTCTGAGGCTCTTTTTGATTTTAAAAAGAAGGGAAGAAGTGGAACTGTAACTTTGTATCTATTTTCTGATATTCTTTTGGTTGTTGAGAGGGGAATTGTTCAGAAGTCTAAAATGATTCCATTCAATGCTGAGAATTTACTCAAATTTGAAGATCATGGAATATACAAATTTTTAAAGCAGGGTGAAAATAAGATTTACACACTCACTCCTAAGAATGGTGATAAGGCACAAAAGGAATTCTTTGAGGCATTCTCAAATATGTTAACTAACATGTTAAATAGTGCTACTACCCCTACTACTAGTGAAGTAAAATAATTTATTCTTTCTGTACATGTTTCTTTGGATTGTAAACTTCCCACTTGGAGTATGGAAGCTCGTTTTTGTGCTTTTCATAAAATCTTCTATCTACAATTTTGGAGGCGTGCGCTTCTTGTTTTTCTACAGTGGCATCACTGACAGCTCTAATGTCATCGTGAACGTCAAATCTGAACATGACACCTGTTTTACCCTTAGTATTATTTGCAATTAAATCATAGAATGAATAGTGGTGGGGAATGATCAAATCTTCCTTAATGTACAATAAATCCGAAACTGAAATTCTCTTCAATTCTTTCCAATCTTGTTGGACCTTGTATAAAAATCCTTCAACTGTTATACCCTTCTTGACCGTTATAGATCGTCTGTGACCACGACCATCCCAGTAACTGTATGTAATTTCAATATCCTCGTTTTTAATCTTGTCTTGCTCATCAAGCCATTCCTTTCTTAATTTTTCAATTTGTGATTGTTCATCCAATTCTCTTTGTTTATCAGGTAAAAAGCTAGTATCTACTTCAGGATTTTTCTTTATCTTTTTCTTTTCTGATTCCACACTTTCTTCCTCCAATTCATCTTGGAAGGACAGGACGTGAACCAACTTTTTCTGCTTCTTTTTTTCCTTTTGTTTCAATTGTCTTTCCTTTTCTCTTTCCAACTCCAATCTCTTCCTAGTAAAATCCTCCAATGTGACCAAACCAACAGTATGTTCAACAAGATTTTGTTCACTATTATTCGTCTTTTCCGAAAACTTGGCTCCTATCGATCCCAATTTACTCTTCTCTTTCAACTCGGAAGCTGTTTTCTCAAATTGCTTTTCCAACTGTTCCGCACGTTGCTTCTCCAACATGAAAGCTCTAGCCAGGTCAATCTTGTCTCCTTTGTATTCTGCCATTTTTTTTAAATTGTTTTTTCTAATTTTTTTACAACAGCTTCAAATTCCGAATCCAACAAAACTTTGTAATCCAAAAAAAATCCAAGATAACGCCAATCCTATTGATGATGATCTTGCAGAGCCGTGAGGTTAAGGAGAGTAATTATTTCATATTGATTTTTAAAGAAAACTTCCTTTTTTCACCTCAAATAAAAGGGCGGGAGATTTTCATATCTTATAATTTTAGGCTTTGAAAAAAAATGAACGTCAACGTGGAGGATTTGTTGGCCGATGAAGAGTTTTATGATTTGATCAATTACTACAATAATCATCATGGTAATCATCAGGCTAATGGTACATCAAATGCTCATCATGGGAATGGTGTTGGTGCTGGATCGTATTTTACAAATAGTGCTCCATCTTCACCATTTCTGCAGAATTCTTCTCCGATGGTGGTTGCTTCATCATCAAATAATGCTTCAGCACAATCAGCAAGTCATCATCAGCAATTGACTACAACAGCAAGTAATTCTCAAAATGTGATTGATGTGGTCATTCAGACTGCTATCGATGATCAGTTTCTTCAACAATGGTCAAATTATGATTTAAAGAAGGAAGATGAAATGTATGAAAAGTACAATGTTGCACTCAAAATTACAAATAATACCAATAAGGAGACACCTCCTCTCCTATTGAATTGTAGACATGAGATTCATGATAAAGGAAATATTTGCGAAATGTTAAACAGGAAAAACAAAGTTAATGGATATTATTTGGACTTTTTATTATTCGAAGGAAAACATTTCACTTTAAAACCAAACGAGGAGAGAATTATTCTAACTTCAATTTCTAGACCTTCCAGAACAATGGTTTCTCACGGCAAATATTATATTCAATTTTTTGTTATTACGAGTGGAGATTTTCAATCCCTCTGTCAAACTCAACAAGTTAAAGTATTGACAAGCAAGAATAAGAATAATAGAACAAAGAAAGTTTCACTAGATCCAACAAAACAAGACATTAGTGTGAAAAATCTAGTTCCGAAAGAGTGGCAATCATTGCAAACTTCTCATCAAGTATTCGAATCATGTTTCTGGGAGGATATTGATTTAACTGGAGAGAAAATGAAGTACACTCCTCCTGCCACAGTCGTCACCAGCTCTTCAAACAACAAGACAGTCATTTCCCATTCACCAACCACAACAGCCACCACCACAACAAATACACCTCCAAATAATAACATCATCCAACAACAATTACCAGCCATTAACAATGAAATTCCACCATCTCCTCCATTCTTCAAATCTTCACCTTCTCCTGGTCTTGGCCTTTCCTCTCCAACTGATTTTTTTAGAGGTAGTCCATTTAGAGATAATGAATATCACTCAGGTTATGGAGAACAAGAAGTCTACATTCAAAACTTTATTCCGATTAATACTCATATTTCCATCATCAAAATATTCCAAAAACAATTGGATTTCTACAAACAACAAATGGAAATTCTCTTAACTGAGCTTAAGAGACACGACAAGAGAATGGCAGAAACATTGTACAGACAATATGCAACCATTTTGAAGAGAGATTTGGTTTCAAACTCTCCATGGGAAGAGGAATCTAGTAATTTACCTTCTGAGGAAGATTTGGAAGATATGTTTACTAAAATGAAAATTATTAAGGAACAAGTTGAACAAAGTATTAATGATTCCAAAAAACCACCATGCTCACCAGTCTCACATCATTCATATGGAACACCTTCCCCTTCATATCACAGTGTTGAAAATTCAAACTTTTCGCTTTATAATCCAAGAGATTATGACTTTTCATTCGAGGATGATGTTACCATTCCAGACTTTTCTGAAGTCAAGTGTGGTTCTGTGTTCTTAAAAACATGGAAAATATCAAATTGTGGATTGACAATCCCTTCTGGAACGAGAATAGTTGTAAAATCAGATAAGGAAACTCCATTAGAGTATGGTGAAATTCTTCTTCCACTTGCCAACACCGATGAAAATAGAGTATTGACAGAGCAAGAGTTGCCACATTACGGAGAAACAAAGAATGTTTCCATCTCAATTAAGGCACCACCAATTGAGGCTCTTTTCAGAAGAGAATATTGTCTTCAACTTCCAAACGGAATTGAGTTTGGTGACAATCTCGTTGTAATTTTCAAAACTGTAAAGTAAAAGATTTATTGACTCTTGATCTTGTTAAGGACCAAAGGTTCCAAACCTCCCGAGACAATAAGCTCTTGAGCAACTGGGCCAACAGGGTGGAATGAGTATTCCTTAGTTTCTTTTGGAGTTGTTAAAACAAGGGTAGAATTTCTAAAATCAATACTAATCTTGCTATTTTCCAAGAGAACAGTTTCCTTAGTAGTTCCCACAGATTGCTTCAAGTAGTCAACGAGGGCTGGAACTTCAATACACAAGAAACCATTATTTGTGGCATTTCTCTTGTATGTTTCACTGAAACTACCACCAACAATCAATTTAATTCCCATAAATTTCAAACAAGTGGCAGCTTGTTCTCTAGAGCTACCAGTACCAAAGTTGTAACCAGCAATAAGAACGTGACCCTTCTTGGCAATCTTGGTAAAGTTGACGTCATAATTTTCCATAGCTACTTGAGCTTGTTCTTCTGGAGAAATATTTTCCTTATAAGTATATTTACCAGGATAAATACCATCAGTGTTCAAGTTATCTTGATGAACAAAAACAACTTCTCCTTCTATAACTTCTGGGAATCCTTCAATAATCTTGGTTGTTGATTTTTCTCCCTCTGATTGATTTTCACTAGTCTTGGTGAATTTTGGTAATGGAGCTTGAGATTCAGTATAATATTCAGGAAGAGTAATGACACCACTCAAAGCACTGGCCATAACAACTTCTGGTGAGGCCAAATAAGCTTCAGCATTTCTTGAACCCATTCTACCCTTAAAGTTTCTGTTTGTACTTGAGATACCAACTTGTCCATCTTCTAACAAACCAGCACCCAATCCAATACATGGGCCACAACCTGGTGGAAGAACCTTGGCACCAGCTTGAACCAAAACTTGCCAATCGCCAAGTCTTTCACTTTCCTTCTGAACCTTGTCACTGGCAGCTGAAATGTACAGTTCAACTCCTTCAGCAATAGTCTTCTTTGAACTCTTTCTGATGACGTTGGCAGCTTGATGTAAATCGTTAACTCTACTGTTAACACATGATACAATGTAAGCCTTGTGGACCTTAATATTCTTCTTGGTGATTTCTCTAACACTTGACATGACCTTGACGTGGTTTGGGCCAGAAACGTGAGGTTCAACACTTCCAAGATCCAAAGTCAAGGTTTGAACATATTTAGCATCAGAATCTGGTAAATACTTCTTGTAATTATTTTCCAATTCCTTAATATCATTGGCCTTTTCAGATTTTTGAGACTTTTTAAGCCAATCAATGGTCTTCTCATCGACTGGAAAAACACCAGCAAGAGCACCCCATTCAGTGGTCCTATTAAATTTGTTTAATATCTACTGAAATAGTTCAAAAACCTACATGTTAGCAATTGATAATCTTTCATCAATTGATAATGAAGAAACTCCTTCTCCTACAAATTCCACACAATGATTCAAAACATCATCCTGATTGAAAATTCCACACAATGTAATAATAACATCCTTTCCACTGACACCTTCTCTCAATTTTCCAGTCAATTCAACTCTAGTGACTGGTGGAACTTGCCACCAAGTGGATCCTGTTGCCCAAATGGCAGCAGCATCAGTTCTGACAACTGGAGTACCCAAACAACCAATACCACCGTACATATTTGAGTGAGAATCACTAGCAGTAGTGAATGTCAATGGCCAGGCATAACCTTCTTCAATCATAACTTGGTGACCAATACCTCTTCCAGCTGGATAAAAAACAACTCCATTATCCTTAGCAAATTGTTCAATTTTCTTATATTTTACAAGATTGGCATCTGAAGTGTCTTGAATATTGTGGTCAAGAGCAAAAACTGGTTGTTTTGGATTGGAGAATTTCAATGGTTTCTTACTTTCCTCAAAGAATGCTTTGAATTTAATCATCACAGCACTGAAAAAGGTCACAATTAATATTAAATTGCAATTCCTCATTGTTCTACTAACCTTGTATTGTCATGAGTCAAAATATGATGAGGAGTAATTTGCAAATAATCTCCAGAACTCACCAAACCATGATCTTGAGGTGCATATTGTTGTAAAATCTTATGTACCATAGTTTGGTATTGTAAACTCGAAATACTATATGAAAAGTTTCTCGATCCTACTACTGAAGTGGTGGTAGCTTGTTTGTTAGTGGAGATTAACTTTCTCGGAGCAATTTTTCTCTTTGAAACAAGAGATGAAACATTTTTCAAACAAAAAGAGGAGGCAGACATGTTGTGCTTTGGGAGTTGTTTGGAACGACAGGATTTTTCAAAGCCTTTGAAAGTTTGAGAGATCGAGTAATGGATCTTTTTTTTTTGGTGGGAAAAATCACAAGCATGCATGGAGAATTTGAGAAAAACGCGAAAACAACAATGTTTCCGTGTTTGGAAAGGTTTCCAAAAGGACTGTTGAAGTTGTAATGGTGATTCCTTTAAGGTTTTTTGGAAACATTTATTACAATAGTTCGTATTGAACAAGCTCAACCATATTCTCGTATTAGCTTGTTCAAGATATATTGGCTGTAATGTGAAAACTTTTGGGCTGACACCAAGACTTCCCATGTGAGACTTTTAATATTTAAATATTAATTTAAAACTATAATGTAAAAAAATGCAAAAAGCCATTCGTTCCATTTTTTATCATCACAACAACAGAAGAATTAATTCAATTCGGAATCATGTTTTGATGAATAATATTGGCAAATTAAATTCACGATTCTACTCTTCAGCACCAATTAATGATTCGGAAAGAAAGGAACTTTTAAATTATATTAATGATGGAATTTTAAAACAATCAACATTTAAGATTTTTTCAATGGTACAATGTGCTGTGATGAATAATTCACAAGGAGAAAATCAAAATAATTTTGCAGAGATTTATTGTGGAGAACATACTAGAGTTTATAGAGTGGAATTGAAAAGGAATGGAAACCGACAAATTATTAGTTTTTTGACGACAAAAGTTGGAGGAAATGAAATGAGTAATGAAAAAAAGGAAATTGTGGAACTTTTTGATGAGAGTTCACCTCACTGGGATGTCATTATGACAATTTCTGGATATAAGAGTGTGATTGAATGGTTGGAGAGAAGTTCTGCCCAATTTATGAGTGAATTGAGTAAGTCGACGAGAAAAATTTCAATTTTGGATTGTGCTTGTGGGGGAGGTTATACAGCATCAAGCTTACATGAAAAGAGTAAGAGTTTTGGAATAGAATCAAGTCTGATGGGTCTCGATATTTCTACTGGCATGTTACAAAAAGCTCTGGAAAAAGGACCAGATTTGTTTAATATTGGAATGGCTTGTCATGACCTCGATAAAAAAATAGACATGATTCCAGATAATTCATTTGATTTAATTTCTTGCTTGGGTGCAATTGAATTTCTTTCCAATTTTGAAACAGTTACACTTCCAGAATTCAGGAGACTTTTGAAAAAGGAAGGACAAATGCTTCTTACCACCCAATACCAACCAAATGAGAATGAAACTCAAGTGGAAGTAGATAAGGATGGTCACAGACTTTATAATAGACAAATTTTGGATAGAATTTTGGCTGAACACCAATTAGTGGCGACCGATTACGAGATTATTGAGAGAGCATACACGAGTGACAGAAAGAAAATTCCTTTCATTGCTTTCAAAGTAAAGCATAGTCAATAAATTATTTTCTATATTCCTCGATGGCTTTCTTTATATCTAGACCAGTTGTTGAAGGAATTTCAATATGTGAAAAGTAAGCCTGCCTAAATTCTTCATTCGAAACATTAAAAGATCCATATCCAGCATCATCAAACAATGCCACAATACCATGAAATTTAGGGAGTGTATCATTTTGAGATGTATTACCTCTCCATTCAATGGAAGGACCGCCACTGAATCCCTTATTGATGGTGTTCGTAAAAATAGTGATATCTGCCTTCTCTGAGTTACTCTTTTCCGTTCTTAAATATCTTCCAAAAGAAAATACTGGTCTCTTTTGATATGTCATCATTAACCCATTCAATTTTTCAAAAGTATAATCTAGTACTCGCTTATCTCTATATTCTTTATACTTTGAAGGATATCCAACTATTATATTATTCAAATTATCATCATTTTCTTTAAATTCACCAATCTTAGGCACAAAATATTGACTAGGTATCTCAGTAAACCCATTCTTTTCCAAAAATTCCTTCCTAGAACATTTCATAATTGCAAAATCCACATCTCTATCTCCATCATATTCACAACAAATTATTTGACACTCGATTAACTCTCCACTATTCGATTTTAGTTTTTGATTTGATATGGAACCTTCCTTATTCTTTGGAATGAGTCCAACTTTCTTTGCCTTTCCCTCCTTATTTATAACACAGTGTGCAGCAGTCACCAAATAAATATATTCACAAGATGGATCATTCATTGGACTTGTCACAAAACAAGTTCCACTAGAAATATTTCTTTTCAAATTACCATCATCCATAGGTAATGATTTTAAATTAAAAACCAAATAATCACTAATCAATTCCAAATATTTACAATCAATATCTTCTACCATCGGATCACCATTAGAAAATTTCCTAAACTTTAACAATTTACTAGTAAACAACAAGTGATCTACTTGCATCTTCTTTTCTAAAAACTCTTTTTTAAAATCTCTCAAATAATTCTTTCCGAAATAACCCAACATTCCTCCAAAAACAATCGCTCCTCCTCTCCACACCATTCTCTGCATTTTTTTCTTTCAATTTTTATTTTTTTTAATATTTGTTTTAATGCAAGACTGTTTTTTCCTTATTGCCACTGGTTCATTGGCAAAATTTCTAAATGAATCATCTTCCTTAAATGTCCTACAATTTTCAAAAATGAATCAGCATTGGCTGTGACTAGTTCGCTTAAGAGAAAGAAGTGCGATATTATAAACAACAGCTTTTCCCACCACAAAAAAACACATCAACAATGACGCAGCCAATTCGCGGCAGGGCTATTTTCGCCGCCTTAATCAATCATAACACCAAGCCATCATCGTCTCGTACGACAGGTTTTTCGATAATATTTTTAACTTTGATGGCTGTGCTGCTAGTGTTATTAAATTCTTCTAGGATTGAATGTAAATTGAATAAGCTAGGTGAGGACAGTATTACATGTGAGGGAATGAGAGCAAATGATACGAGTGTTTGTTCAGGGAGAGGAGCATGTATTTCATTGAATAACTGTTCTTGTTCGAGTGGTTATGAGGGTAGTAATTGTCAATTGGAAATATCGCCAACTTTTTGCGATAGAATTATTAATTGCACTGGTCATGGAGAGTGCAATATTAAGGGAGAATGTGAATGCCACTCAAGTATTAAGGAGGGATTTTGGACAGGCCGTTCATGTAGTTCATGTCAATCAGAGTATCATGGTGAGAAGTGTTCATCAAGGGTTGTAGGACCAGCAGTGATATCGTCAGATTTTAAGGGTATAACCTTTTATCTGCATTCACCTTATGACTTTATCGAAAAGGATGTTCCATGCTCATCCTTACTACATCCCTCTGACATTAGCAAGAATGTGTATGGCTCGATAACAAACATCAAGTGCCAATATTTAGATAAGGTTAGCGGACTCTTTATGATATCTTTTGGTTCTGTTGATTATGATATTCAACCAGGAGAGACAACAATTCAAATTAATGATCTTGCTTTTGAAAATGAGCAAATCCATCAACAATACATGCCATTGACTGTGAATGTACCTCAAAATATTTCACCACCAAAAGCTATCATTCAAATGGCCAGTACAGATATCTATAGTTCTTGCGACACAATCACTATTGATGGCTCTTCGAGCTATTCCATAGATGGCAAGCAATTATTGTATTATTGGTCACTTCTAGATGCTACAACCATGAATCCTGTCTCAATATTACAAGGACAATCCATCTTTACACTTGATTCTTCTCTTACAGCTGGTGACTACATTATGACCCTCTATGTTAAAAGTAAGTGGTTAAATTTGGTGAGTAGCACTGTGTCTTCCAAGAGATTCACCAAAGCAGTAAAACCACTTCCTCTACTCAGTACAAGCAATAAGGGAGAGACAATTGTAAAGTATACAAACCAATTCCCTCTCACTGTAAAGAAAGTGATTACACCTTCTGTATGTCAAAGTGATAGTGACGTATTGCAAGTGGAATGGACCAAGTTGAGTGGCTCAGCCATAACATTCAGTTCAGACTCTTACAATAACTTGTTCATTCCTTCTGTTAGCAAGTTTGGGACTCAAAATTACACTTTTGAGGTGTCAGCTTTTTATGCTTCCAACCCATCATTGAAAGCATCCACTATCGTTAATATTGTAACAAAGTCACCTGACCTCATTCTTAGCATTATTCAAAGTGAATCTACCAAATACCATACCACTATTGAAGTTGATTATTTAGACCCAGAAATGTCATTGCATGATAGCTCAATTGAAACATGGACTTGGACCTGTTTGGATAACACAAGTCCTGAACTAGTTAATTTGCTCAACAATGCAGGCTCAACAAAGGCTTCAGAATTTGTAGTGTCAAGCTCATTGTTCTCTACTATCCCATCCTCTGTAGAACTTAAACTGAGAGTTGAAAAATTAGATGGTCGATCAATTGAAAAGACAACCACTGTATTCTTTGGTAAAGTTCCTCCACTATTGAACATTCTTCATATCGAGCCTTCCTCCTCTATTTTACTTCCTGGACAATTTTTGTCAATTCAAGCCCTGCTTTATGCTGAATCTTCCTCTGTGAATGCTACCTGGTTGCTGAATGGAGCTGTTTTACAAAACACCTCTTGTAGTAACACAACAATTGACAAGACAATCACAATTATTATTGACACCAAACAGCTCGAAGAAGGTTCAACCAATGTTGTGACATGCATTATTTTTGACAAAAAGACTGGTTTTTCAACTCAATCAAGTTACTCATTCACCATTGCTGTAACCCCAAAACCTTGTGATTGTACTATTTCACCACTCAAGGGTCAAGCTCTAGAAACAGAATTCAAGTTCTACTGTTCCAACTGCAAGAACATTGAAGCAAATATTGATTACAAGTACGGATTCATTGATGATAGATCAGGATCAAAAATTGAGCTCTACAAGTTTGGTGACATTTACTCTTCAAAGCTTCCAGCTCCTTTCAGTGGTTCTACCTTAACGTGTTACTTTGAGGTGATTCAAACAGTTACTGGTGCCTCAATAACTACTTATCAAAATTTGACCATTTCAAAGCCAGTCATTAGTGATTTTTCAGATGCCTCTAAAATTGTTAAGGAATGGGCTGAGAAGAGTTCTGAATTTACCTCTAAGGGAGAATTTAGTTCAAGCTTCTATCAATCAGCTACAACCTCAAGAACTGACTCTGTCTTGTTACAACAGCTTTTAAAGAAACTGTACAGTGTATCATCCAAACCAGTAAAAAGAACTATAGAGTGTATTCATGGAAGAGACATTTCAGGTGTCTGTAAATGTGAAGATGGTTGGATTGGATCTGATTGCTCAGATTCTATTCAAGCTTTTTCTGATATTCAAGGAACCAAGATGATAGTACTCAGAGATATGATTTACATTGCGAATAGTACTGACGGATTCGTAAATGATTACTATCTCTCCTTGTTATCATTCTCAATTGACTCTCTGTTGATCAATTACCAATTGCTCAATTCCAAAACAATATCAGAATCGCTTTTCACATTGAATATGTTCCTTGAGTATGCTTTGGCTGATCCAAATCTTAAATTAGCTCCAGAGATTGAAACATTGCTTGTCAGTAGTGTAGAATCTGCTTATAGTTATATCATCAATAGACAATACTTTGTAGATCAATCAACCAACTCTCGTAGATTATTGTCAGCTCTCAAATTGTCCACTTGTTTAATTGGACGAAATATTGTTGTGGGAAGTAAGAAACAACAAAAGACAGGGTCATTCTACTCGATGACTGTAAATAGACACACAATATTTGACATGCCTACCTCAATTCATGATGATGTTAGTAAGGCATCTGTTCAAATGGAAAACTACATCTTTGATTTCAGTCCTCAGGTTACTACACTTTTCAAGAAACCATTTGTATATATTTTCTCAAGTTCAATTGATGTATTTTCTTTGAACACAAAGTTAACAATCTCCCAAAAAGTCGATTCACAAACCTATCAAATGTCTAGCTTAGTTTCACCAATTGTTTCCCTTAAACTAATTGATTTGTCTATTCCAGTTAATTCGCAATATTTGGTTTATGAAATTCCTATCAACAAATCTATTGCAATCCATGAAGTTATTCACACTACATTAGATTATATAGAACAAGAAGTAAGATATTCTTGTGGCAATTTTGATGATGGTTCAACAGAGGTTGCAGTTGATTGCATAATGCTATCAATGAATGATACATATGCTGTATGCAGATGTAAACAATTAACAAATGTTTTCATCATGGAAACAGTAACAACAGTATATCATTCATTCACATATGTAGCAGGTGTTGTGCTCTCCACTGTAATGTTTGCATTATGTCTGTGCGTAACTCTTGCATCAATTTTCTTCTGCATTTGGTATGGAGCTAGAAAGACTCAAAAAGTTACATCAACTTCTGGTGAGGTAACCTATGGTGGTGGACAAGTTTTTGTAAAATCGAACAGTGTAGTTGTTCATAAATATGAAGAAACCCCTCTTGAGCTTTCAGAAGCTACAGAAGAACAAGTCCATCCAACTCTTTCAGCTACATACAATAAGGTTCCTCCACTCAAACTTCAAAAATTGGAGGATGCAAATAGTTCAGTTAAATTTACTGAAGTTGACTTACTAGATTAATAAATCCATTTTACTGTTTTGTAAATAATGAGGCTTGTTCAATTCCAAAAGCAAAAGTCCAAACCTTGGCATCAATAGTAAATCCCAACTTGGCAAATTCCTCCAATTTTTCCATAATATTTGATAATTTTACAAAGTGAATAGTAATGTTTTCATCATCTTCCAATTGTTGCTTTGGTCTTTCTGAAATTTTGATAGATTGTACTTGACAATAAATTATTTTACAATTAGCATTGGTTAACCCAACTTCCATTCCCAATATTGGCGAAACTCTATTAACCTTTTCAACCATTAGTCCAGTTTCCTCAAGCATTTCTCTTCTAGCAGTTTCTTCGGCAGTCTCACCAGCATCACTCAAACCAGCTGGAAATTCAATACAATAATTTCTCATTGGAGGACGATATTGTGAAATGAGGATAACATATTTTCCACCTTCTTCCTGATCACTTTCGGGAATTGCATCAAGAGTAGCAATAATATCAACTCCATCAATATCGCTTGTTCTTGTTGATCTCTCTACACAATCCCATTTTCTAATTGTTTTAGATTCATCTTGGTAGGTGAGGGTTTTTAATTGTAGCCATCTGGTACTGTGCAATAATTCTTCGGAAATTGGTTGAGCTTTCTCTTCTATCATTTTTTTAAATTAATTTTGATTTTGAACATGCCACAAATATCTCTTCATGTTGTAAAAGAATTCAAAATCAAAATGTAATGGAATGAAAAAATTTAAATCCTTGAAAATTTAAAGAAATAATTTATTCCCATTTATATGATTTTAAGGCTGTACTAACACTTTCGTAAATCTTATCAGCAGTAGTATTTTGAGCAAAATATTCAGACAAGTGACCATATGGATCCATCAAGTAAATGAAAATGCTGTGGTCAACCAAGTAATCTTGTGATCCTTCCTTGTAATCAGGAGCATTGTAATAAACTCTATATTTCTTACAAATTCTACTGATTTGATCTGGAGTACCAGTTAATCCAACAAATCTTGGGTGATAATCTTGAAGATATTCAATGACAGCTGTGCATGAATCACGAGGTGGATCACATGAAACAAACACTGGAACAATCTTGTCTGCCAACTCTGGATTTTCCTTTTCAATTTTTTGAAGTGCTTTTGTCATCTTTTTCATTTCAGTTGGACAAACATCAGGACAATTAGTAAATCCAAAATACATGAACATGAATTTTCCTCTAAATTCAGAATCTGTAACAACTTCTCCTTTAGTATTAACAAGAGTGAAAGCACCTCCAAGTTTTGGAGCTCCTACAGCTTTAACAGCCTTGCTACTTGCTTGTTCTAATTATTCCAATTAATTCCATTATTAATATTATTATCATTATCATTGTTGAATTATTGTATTATTACTATTATCATCAACATCACAGAATGAAAACTTACTCTCCAATTCAGCCTCACGTTTCTTTTGACGAACATCATATGATGCAAAATTATATAAAACAATTCCGAACACGGCTGGCAAGATCAAATTGGCTGGTGAGAACAATCTCTTAAAGTAACTCTTTTTTTCTTCCTGTTGTTGTTGTGATTGTTCTTCGGATCTTGATTCCTCTTGTTTCTTTTCTTCACTTCTCTTGAATTGTGTTTGTGAAAATCCTCTATAAATTACTTGATTTGATGAAGTAATAAAGGATGATGGAAATCTAGTGGCAAGATGGGATTGTCTGCTGTTGGATAATAAGCATCGGGAAGCTTTTTGGAGTGAGTACATTTTTTTGAAGTTGGGAAATTAAATTTGGCGGCCGAATTGAGACCAGATATGGTAAATTAAGAAAACAAAATGATTGAATTGTTGGACAATTAATAATATTAACACACATTGTTTTTTCAAAAATAATAAGATTTTAATTTTTTACTCAGATCTTATTATTCTATTGAGGATGTTTTGAAGCCTAGTGTTATTTTTGTGTTTTGCCAGTGCAATCGCACTCATTCCACTACCACTAGGTTGGTAAATATCAGCTCCTGATTCTATTAATGCTTCCACAGCAGAAACCGAATCACGAGCGATTGCAATATGTAATGGTGATAAACCAGTTTGAGTATTGATATAGTTAATATCTTTTTTGTAATATTTTGCTAATTCTAAGACGACATTTTGTTGATTTTGAGCAGCTGCCACATAAATAGGCCGTATGCATCTGTCATCCTTAGCTTCACTAAAGTTAAATCCTTTAGATTTCAGGAATGGTATCATTTCAGTGTGTCCTGAGGCACAAGCAAAGTGTAAACAAGTTATACCAGTTGAATTCTTAGAGTTGATATAGTCCTTTCCATTAATATGTGCTAGCATGTTTGTTGCCTCTATGGAACCAGATGATGCTGCAACATGTATTGGATATCTCCCAAAATAATCAACACATTCAACGTTGGCGCCTTTGCTTAAAAGTAATTCTATTATTTCACAGAGTCCCTTCTTGGCAGCTAAATGGAGAGCTGTCCTTGGGTGACCATCATTGGTATTTGCGTCCAAATCACAGTCAGGTTGTTCTACAAGTAATTTACAAATGTCTAAATTATTAATAAATGCTGCAATGTGTAACAGTTTCTTGCCACTTGGAGTATATTCACAAGTTGATGCACCAAATTTGAGCAATACTTCAACAACACATGTTGCTCCTCTCTTCACTGCAAAGTAGAGTGGATACTTTCTCTTTGAGGTTTTTGCATTGACAGAGCCAGGATTATGTTCCAGCAATAGCTGAATAATCTCGGTATTATTCCTAGAAGCAGCTTTGTGAATTGGAAGGTAGCTGCCTTGAGTTCCAATTGTTGTTGCATCTTGAAGTTCTGGGCAAGCTTCTCTAAGCGCCTTATCTAGACTCAATAGGAATTGTACAGCATCAGTATTGCCTTTTTCAGTTGCAATTATTAGGGGTGTTCTTTGGTTTTCGTCATTTGTTTTGCTATTCACAAATTCATGAATGACTCTCGCATTTTGAGGTGTAATGTAAATTTCAGTGTTTCTTCCTTGGAAAATAAATTCCTTGCCTTGTTGGAAAGTCAAATCGACGCCATTAACATGACAATATCTAGCAACATGTCCTACGAGGGTTATTAAAATCTGTAAACTACCTCCATAGGCTGCAAAATGAATCGACCTAGAACCCTTTGAATTTTCCAAGTTAATGTTCAATGTTGGTTTGAAATGTTCGAGTAATAATTTGAGAAAATCCGTGTATCCACAATTGCAAGCAATATGTAATGCAGGTTGATCCTTGAATGGATGAATATGATTTGGCATATTAATATCAAAGTTTGTAGGTACTTGTCGAAGTAACACTAATAAACAGTCCAAATCACCATTATTAATAGCCTTGAAAAACAAATCCTCAAAAGAGTCAATAGATTGTTGAATACTACTTTCAAGATCAATCTTTCTCTTCTTGCTTTCCATCATGTGTACAAAATCGGGAAGGTTAGGTTCAATGTTCAAAAAGTTTGATGGCGTTTCATCATAATCGATAGCGGAAACCTTTTCCTTTGTATTAATTAGCATTCCATCCATAAAATCGTCAGAACTCTCTGTCTGCATCATGGCAGGCAAAACCCTTTTGGAAGTGTTTTCCCTTCCTTCCAGACTTCCGCAGCTGCCGATAACTGAATAATAGTGGTCGTTATTGGAGTATTCGTCAAAGGTACGTTTACTCATTTTTTCTCAGTGTTTTTGAAAAATATCTGCTGCTGTGAGGAAATAATATTGAAAAATATTTTTGTGTAACTGTAACGAACTTTGATAAAATGGGTAACCGTCATTTTATAATAAGCGAACCTGTACAGTTTTTCAAATCAATTATCAATCTAATATATCTTCAGAGGCTCGCCTTGACAATGTTATTGTTGGATATAATGAAAATATCTGACAAAATCTTGTCGACAATGTATTTCTCAGTCATTAAAATCTTCCAATTCTTTGATGATTACCACTACCAATATCGGAACAGAGATAAATCTTGAGCAGAGACCCAAAATGTCACATCACTACAGTTAATTTTGTGGCGTTGTTTATCCAAGGTGCACACAAGAGCAACGACAATCGAATGGTTCTTATTCAAACTTTTACTCTTAACTCCAATACAATTAAACTCTCACTTCCTACCTAACATACTTTCGGTTAATTAATTTAGAAGCCATTTGAATTATTTACTTTGTTATTTGTTGTTGCTCGTTGGCTTTGTAACGAAATACAAGACGTCAGCAATTACATCACCACACAACAAAAATAGCATCACACAGCAGCATCACGCCAACGAATAACACAAGAGATTTTCATGAGACTGCTTTGATTTACTCAATGAAAAGATTGCACGGAAAGCATCCTCATCATCACTATAATAAGAACCGAATAGAAAATCATCATGTTCATGAATAATATTACAAGTCTACTTACTGATTGGGCATACGGAAGAGAGGATGCAGAGGCAACTGATAGTCCAACTACCACTACTTCTCAGCATCAACATCATAACAATCATGCTAATACAAATGCTGTGCTTGTTGATCAACAACAATCATACATTCCGACCTTTTCAATGTCTTCAAATCAGCAACAGAATGATTTTAGGAATTTATTTAGACAAACATTGAATCAACATCATCATAGTAGAAATAATTTGAGGTCAACATTGGAGGAAGAAGAACATTCGTCTAAAGTATTGGAAAAGACAAGATCATTAATTTTGAATATTTCTAATGATGACCTATCTGAAATTATGTCGTTTTTGGGGAAGAGGGAAATATTTCAATTCTCTCTTTCATGCAAACATTTCTATAATATTATATTTTGTGAGAATGTTTCTAATTTTTCATTGTGGAGAATCTTGTGTGTTAGGGATAAGATAATAGAGCCATCTTGTTATGATGGATTTAGTAAACCAAGAAATAGTGAACTTTCAGATAATGACATCTCCAATTATTACTATGATCCATATAGAGATTTATATTTGAACTATGAAAATAATATTGGATGTAGTCAGTGTGATTGGTTCTGTAAATTTGATTTGATTAAATTGGAATGGACTCTCAATGATAACATTCTCAGCCAACTCATTGAAAAGATTAAATCTAAAGAGATTTGTATAGTTACCGCTTTGCAATGCTTCCCTGATAGAACTAAGAATAAGGGAAATGCCAGCGACATTTTGAACCAATTGTTGGGTATTACCAATGCATTCCCAAGCTCACTTTCCGAGGAAGATACTGAGCTTCCATGCTTGTACATGTATACTAGACCTCTGTGTAGAGTTAGAAAATCACACAAGGGAAAGAACCAAAACGTTCTATTTATTCGAGCTTATAATTTATTTGATTATGATAATGAGACAGATTTAAATATTGAGGAGGATATTTTTGATTGTAGTAATGAATCCAATCTCTCCAGTATTAATAATTTGAGAAAGAACCTGATGAGATTTATCATCTTGTTCAGTTCTACAGTCATTGTTTGTAAGGACAAGTCAGACGACTCGTGGATGTACAACCTTGACAATCTCATTGAACCAACACATGATCCACCATTGTTTGGTTCCTACTCGAGTATGCCATCCCTCCTCGTGTGTAGTATGGATACCTCGACGAAGGTCAGCAACTCCAGTAATAGAACAAGTTCTATCGAATTGGATGACCTCATGCTGGAGATTAAGGATAGAATCTCTGAAAATAAGAATCAATCTCTCAACTTTATGTCTGTTTTATTGAACTGGTTTGGTAAAATTCATGGCATTACTGTAAATATGAATAATTTTGCACGACTCTCATACGATGATGAGCTTTGGTGCTTTGTCAATGACATCAGTAGTAAGCTCCAATTTGGATGGTCAATCTCTCGATGGGATCAAGTGAAATCAAATGGTGAAACATGTAGACATTATTTGGAACATTGTGTAGCAGAGAGTAACCAAACAAGACAGAGTGATATTACCAACGGGCACATGCTAGATAATGGCTCTGTATTATACGAGAAGATTTTGAACGATTTTGCCAAGGCACTCCTCGAAAAACAAATGCAAAAATCCATCGAATTCTATCAAAGAGCTGTCAAAGCTGATCTCAATCCAGCTTGTCCTTTGGAGATGGAGGCCATTGTGAAATTATCTGAAATGAACGCAGAGGCTGCCATTAGAATGTTTACACAAACAGTGGCTCCAGCTTGCTTCCCATCTCAAGTCATTGAAGAGGTTGAACAATTGCTCAAGCACGGTATTAACAATAACTTTAGAATTCTTTGGAGAGAAAATGCAAGAAATTCTGAGAATTATTGTCAACAAGTTTGGGAAGCTTGCTTCAAGTGGATGAAGGCAGAATTCGATTGTCCTGGTGATAAGGAGGATTTTTGTACTCTATTCGAATCTCGTTTCTTCTCTTCATTGAATGTTTACCTTCAAAATGCCATTGGTACCAGAAAGATATTTGTCATGAATTTCTGCTCCAAACAATATTTGGAAGATTACATCATTCCAACACATCCTTCCATTAGAGAATTGTGCCATAATATTATGGGAGCTGTTGAAGCTCTAACTCTTCAAGAAACCATTGAAGTGGACAAGAATCGTTCTCAATTACAAAAACTCTCTGCCATTAGATTGAAGCTTTTAACTATTGAAAATAATATGGAAAGACTCAAAGAGGAAATTCATGTCAGAGAGGAAGATATGAGAGTTTCTGAGGAGCAAAGTGGTGTTATTGAGGATAGAATGAAAAGATTGGGACTCAAATATGAGAAATCTCTCCTTGGAAGAATATCCTCCATCAGAAAACTTTACATTGACTCTGCTTTGATATCCTTACAAAGCAACATTGAAGCACACAAAAAGTTTAGTGAAGAGTATGAACAACTCAATAGTAGAGGATTTAACAGAACTCACATCGAGTATGACATGCTATTGAAATCTTTTTATCATAGAAAAGACTTTGAGAATGCAAAGGAGAGAAGAGCTCACTTCTTTTTCATGCAACAACAAAGTAATTTGAAAATATAAAGCTGAAATATTTAGACATTCAATATTTGTTTTTATTCTTCTGTTTGCTCATATTTATCTATTAAGAGCAGTTGGCCAAGCTGGGGCTGTGGAACCATCAATCTCAGTTGCTAAACGATTAGAAGCCAATAGTGTATGATTAGAACCTCCAATTTGTTCTCCACAATCAACACAAGTACTCTGTTGCATGGCTCCTCCACAATCACCAATGAAATATGGATGACCATTTGGACAAGTGAACCAATGACCAGAAGCATAGCCAGCAGAGACAGCCTTAATAGCTTGCTTTCTTTCTTTTTCCTCCTCTGCCTTTTTGTAAATTACATATTTGAGATTTTCCATTCTTTCAACAGATTGCTTGATAGAGTGTTGATATCTTGGAGAAGTAAATATTGGAGTTCTACACACTGGACATGACAAGTATTTGATTGAAACTCCTTGTTCCGTATCAAAGAAGGTTTTCACACAATTATCCATTGATTCAAGTTCAATGGTGTGTCCACATTCAGGTAAATGATAAACCCTCGAATCGTCGCTTTGAATTAAATCTTCAAATGTGTAAAAAGAGATTGGGCATTGCCACATTTCTTCCTCCTCTTTCTTCAGAGTATCGCAATACATACATGGTGGACATGGCTCTCCACAAAGTCCCATACATTGATGATTACATTTTGAACAGATGTTTGGACACTTCTCATTGCATGGCTCCACATTACACAACTCATGACAAAGATTTGTACATTTTCTGTGTGGGCATTGAATTGGACATGGCTCCTTACACTTGTGACACATTTCATGGCAAGCAAGCTTGCATTGAATATTATGGAAACATTTGAATTTACAACTATGGAAATTATAAAAATCAAAGCATAAATTGAAATACTTACATTTCCTCACATTTTGGACACGGATTACTACAAGTATGTTTAGCTTTACAAATATGTCCACAAATGAGTTTTCTCTCACACTTGAATCCACAAACTTTATGAGTTCCACTGGTTGAGCATTCACCACACTTTCCAGAACATGCATGTCCACAAGATAGTTTGACAGTACAACGATTTGTACAGATTCTTGGCTCTGAACATCTTCTTTCATATGGTTTCTTACAAGTTTCACAATAATCTTTGACTGTGGCAATACATGGTCCACAACCAGTTAATCCACATTGTCCACATTGTCCTCTACAATTATGTCCACATCCAAGAAGTTTGTTACACGTTGATTTGCACAATTGAGTAGTATTTTTCAAGTGGCATGCAACTTTTGTAACATGTCCACATGCCACAAACTTGTAGTCAACTTTAGTTTTACATTTTGGACAGGATTTTCCATGATGACACTTGTCCTCGCATCTATGACCACAATCTTCATATTTTTCACCACAAATCTTTTCACATTTTCTTTCCTTATGTAATGAATCATGATGGCACGGTAATGAACAAATGTGTCCACATGGATAACGATAAGTACATGGTTTCTTACACCCTCCCCAGATAACACCATCAAAATCACTTGGTTCTCTTATGCATTCTCTTTCTTCAGAGTGTGTTGGACAGGAGAGAGGTAAATGATCCAAAATTCTATCCGAATGTTTTAGTCTAGCAAAGACCTTTCTCCAATCTTCGTTATTTCTTAACAAATCGTGATTGCCAATAATGTAGAGACCCTTCTTTGCTCTACTCAATGAAACAATAATTCTGTTGGTAATCTTAACAAATCCAAGATTTTCAAAGTTATTCGATCTCACCAACGAAAGTAAAATAATCTCATTTTCTTCTCCTTGATAATCATCAACAGTAGAAACTCTCAATTCTCTATACAAGTCTTGATTAAGCAATTCCCTGAGTGTCTTTTTAATCAAAATAACTTGTCCTCTATAAGGTGTCAGAATTGTAATTTGACTTGCCTTGAATTGTCTGACATTGAGAAGATACTTTGAAAACTTGCATAAAAACTCAGCTTCATGTGGATTGGTCAATGATTGAACATCATCTGAGGTCTTTTCTAATTTCTTGTGTTCAATAAAGCAAACATTCTTACTCACTCCATTAACATTTTCGAATTGTTTAACACTTTCATGGTCAATTAGTTTCTCATAGAACATATCGACTAATTCTCTAACTTCTGGTCTCATTCTTTGTTGGACATTGAGTGAAGAATATTCCAATCCATTTCTGATCAATCTTTCGAATAAACTCACAGTGAAATCACAATTCTTCTCCAAGTAGTAAGAGTTGACTTTAGGTTGAAGTTGTTTCTCATCACCAATCATAATTAAATGTTCAACATTTGGATGCAATACAGAAGTAATTTGACATTCCAATAATTCAGCAGCTTCTTCAATGAGATAGACAGGTGACTTTAATCTATTCAATAGTTGTCTATTCATGGAAGCAGCTGTAGAAGTCAATCCAATAACTGAGGCAGTTTTCAATTTGTCATAATCTCCATCCATAATAATTTCGTATTTTCTATTCTCATAGTGGCTTCTAAGATGACATAAATCAATGAGACGTGCCTTGAGTAGTTTCTCATTCAAAATTCTCAATGGGTTGAGCATTGAAATTCTCTTCTTGAGAGGAATTCTGTAAATATCCCCACATTGCTTGACTATTTGCTCTATTTTTTGGATTTCTGCTCGAGTTTCTGATTGAATATCTGATGCATCCTCTAAATCTTCATACATTTTAGTAATAGCAACTTCATTGGTGATTTCATTTTCTTCATAGCCAAATATATTTCTCATTTCTTCATTAATCAATTCGGCTTCAATTTCTTCTTCGATTTCATCTTCAACTTCTTCCACAATAACTTCTTCTTGTGGAATGATTTCTCTCTGAGGTTCCTCTTCAATAATGAGCTTCTCCTCCTCCTCGTCTTCTTCTTGTGTTTCATTGTTATTTTCTTGTAGAACTCTAAAGAAATTAGCAGTTCTATAGGCCTTTTGCATGTTCTTTTGTAAACTCTCCTTTCTTCTGAGATCGTCTCCTCCTAACCAAGCTCTGAACATGGCTTGTAAGGTTTCTGGAGGTGGATTTCTCTTGCTATACAGGTGAATTGGGAATTTTGAGAGAGCTCTATTAAATACAAATGATTTTGCCAAGTGGCGAAGTAAACTATCGTCTGGATTCTTGATAGAAAGTTCTGTTGCACCAATTGTGAGTGACAACCTTCTCAATTCAGCTTCACACTTTTGCTTTTCTACATATAGATATTGTGGCAAATATCTCATTTTAGAAAGGTTTCTATTCAATAGTTTCTCATTCTGACTCTTACTTCTACTGCCAATTCTGACAATATCTGGGAAATAATCAATTAAACCTTCTAAAAATTGATCAAGAGCATGATTAGTATAAGTAATACATATTAATTGTCTATTTTTCATATCTGGGTGACTCTTCAATAATTTAGCAATCTCAATTCCTGTAAACGTTTTTCCACAACCTGGAGGTCCAATTACCTTTCAAAATTAGAGCAATAGTTTGATTTCTTATACTTACAATTGAAACTCTATTTCTCATAACGTGTTGAATGGCCTTGTTTTGACTAGGATCAAGGAAAGTCTCATTATCCTCAATCCAATTACTCAAAATATTAGTTTTTCTTCCAGTAGATAAATCTGATTGAGTCGATCTTCTTTGATCTCCCTTGATAACATCTAAATTCATAAAACTATCTCTTTCGATATATTGTGGTGGAGTTTGTTGTTTCAATTTGATGAATTCATCATAAAATGTAAATTTGGATTGGTCAATTAAGGTTTCATTGAGAATCATATTGAGAGAATCAATGACAGGTCTAACTCCAGCGAAATAAGCAGGTGATTCAAACATGACATATTTTCCAACGAGAGAAAGTCTCTTGAAATCCTCAACTCTACTCAAACCAACATAAATTAATTCTTTTGAGACCGATTTTCTATCCAAAACTGTTACAAATATTGGCTCTGATTTTACAATGGTTGCATTCTTTCCAGAACCTTCTTGTGGGAATAAACAGAGAAGGGAACCGAAAGCTAATTTTTTGGTACATTCCCAATTGATCCTTCTCCAAGGATAATGGAATGAAAGAGAATGAACTAATTCACGTTCATTATCTGATGAAATAACAGACACGAATTGACAATCTGTGAAAACTGAAATTGATCTATGGTTACAATTATTGGAAAGGAAAGATTGAATGCCATCCTTGAGTGGATGAATAAAATCCTCTCTCAATAACAATATTTGAGTCCTAATATATTCTCTCAAAGAAGAATAAGGGCCATCAACATTGTTTCTAACTTTGAATCTTTCATTCGAAGTCAATTCATTGAAAGTTGGAAAGACACTAATTTCCTCAAATTCATTTTCATCATTTTCGTTGATTTCTTGTTGTTCAGGTAGTGGTCCTTTATCCATCTTTGAGTTGGCCAATTTGAGTGCTTGCTTCCTTTTCTTGATTGCCATAATGGATTCCTGATAATCTTGAGAGACGAATTTGTCAATGTACACCTTTTCTAATTCTTCAATGAAAACTCTCTCAGCTTCCTGTGGACAAAACTCCAAGCATCTGTGAAAAACTGTGATCAAGTCTTTAACTTGTTCATCATCAATTACATCCTGTACAATATATTTCTTTACAACTCTTCTCCAAAATAAGCTATTCATGAGATGAGAAAAGATTGGGGTGATTAGTGACTTGTTAGTTGATAATTCTATTTGCTCATGGGCAAAGACCTTCATGAGCTTTTCAATAATTGAAAAATTAACTTCTTGTTCCTCTAAAAGACCTCCCTTATTGAATATTGATTTGAATTCTTCTTGTGTTAAGTTCTTGATGAAATATTCTTTTTGATTTTCATTGAAAAGTGAATTGTCAATATAAAAACCAATACCCTTAACAGTTTTGATTGTGTAATCTTTCTTTTCCTTTTTTGGAGGCAAATCTTTTTGAACTCTTGCTTGAGACAATTGACCAAATTTTGGAGAAATGTTTCTGATGAATGGTGATGAAGATGACGATCCTTGATTGTTTCTTCCAAAGATATTATCCACCTCATTGTTGCTTATAAATGGGATTGATGTAATCGGTTCATTTGGTTGATGATTCTTCTTTTCAAAACTCTTCTTGTTAAATTCCTTCTTTTGAAATTTGTTTTCATTCGTCCCACTTTCTACTGGTTTCTTTCCATTGAAATCCTTCTTGAAAGAACCATCTCTGGAATTATTTCTCGATGAATCTTGAGAAGATACATGACGTGGAGGATATAATCCATAATCTCTCAATGAACTACTCAAAGTTCTCCACTCTTCAACATTCATTACAACATCTTGTCCATCATCATTATTCAACTCCTTACATGAAACCTTACAATCACTACCATCGAACATTCTTTTAGGCAATTCAGTATCTGGATAATTGCCTGGAAATCTAGAACCCACTTTTTGATTACATGCTTTACAATATAACATGTGAGTCTTTCGGTACTTTTCGTTTTTCTTTTCAAACTTGAAATTGGTTTCCTTCTCAATCAAGGTATTCCCAATCACATTTTGATCCTTCAGAACAGCATGTCTCGTACGATCATCTTTGAAAACACTAAACATGTGAGAGGCTTCCAAAGTATTGGCAGCAAGACATGAATTACATTTTCCACACATTAAAAGTACTTGTGAAAATCTCTTGTTTGCATGTTCGGAGGGTTTAAATTCTCTACCTTTCTTACTGAATGTAGATGATGATGATGCAGATGCTTCGGATGATGGTGATGGAGGTACAACAACATCCAATGATGAAGATGCAGCACTTGATTGACCACCAACATTCAATGCATTTGATGACGCATCATTCTTCTTCTTTGGCTTGTTTCTTTTTCCATCAGTAGGAGATGTATTATTCAATACTACAGGCTTCACATTAGCATCTATAGTAGTGGTGGATAAAGAAGTGTTGGTCTTCTGGTTAATATTCTGTGGATCGATTGTGTCATTGGTTGAGTTTGGAGTGATTGGAATTTTAATAAAACCACCTTTGTGTGGTTTCTTATTATTAGTAGGGGTTATTGTTGGATATCTCAGAATATTGATATCATTATCATTGGGAGGTGGTTGAGTGGGTTGTTGTGACATTTTTTTTATTTGACTTTGCATTTCTGATTGTTCCAATTTTAGAATTTTTGAATCTTTGTGAATTCCCAACCCTCTTGATAAGAACAGAGAAGGTTTTGAAAATCAAAAAAGACAATTTTTAGAAATGTTGCTAAATGTTTATTGTAGATTTCCCATGACTGCTTTGGCTTGGTAAGGTTCCTCCAAATATTTCAATTCCTCTTCTGATAATTGAATATAACAAGCTGCAATGTTAGCTTCGATATTTTCCAATTTGGTAACGCCAATGACTGGAGAGGAGACGAATGGTTTGTGGAGCATCCATGCGAGAGAAAGTTGAGCATTGGTGCATTGTTTTTTGGAGCTCAATTCGTCCACTCTTCTCAATATTTCCAAATCACTTTCCTTCAATGAATTCTTCATGGCCTTGGCATAGAAATCTGAATTGGCTCTTGTAGTTGCTGAGTCTTGATTTTCTTGATTGGTTTCGGCTCGGATTAGTTCACTAGCTCTTGCAAGTAATCCTCTGGCTAACGGAGACCAAGGAGTTAGAGTAACTTTTTGATCGATACAGAGAGGAATCATTTCACGTTCCTCCTCACGATACACTAAATTGTAGAGATTTTGCATGGAAACAAACTTTGTCCAACCTTTCATTTCGGCCACGTGTTGTGCCTTGGCAAATTGCCATGCCCACATTGAAGAGGCGCCAATGTATCTGACCTTTCCTGATTTAACCAAATCGTGGAGAGCTTCCATAGTTTCCTCAATTGGAGTATTATTATCCCAACGATGAATAATGTACAAGTCAATATCTATTATTCCCATAATATTAAATCTTTCGAAAAAAATTAAAACAACTTACAATCAGTTTGCAAATTCTTCAATGAATAATCAACAGCATGCATGATGTGTTTTCTTGACAATCCAAAAGTATTTGGAATTCCCTTTCCCAAACTCTTAATCTTATTCTCTTGTTGACCTGAATGATCCACTGGAGAGAATACCTTAGTGGCCAAGACAACATTCTCTCTCGGAATTTGATTCTCCTTCAAGAATTTACCCAAAATTCTTTCACTTTCTCCATTCGAATAAACATCAGCAGTGTCGAAAAAGTTAATTCCCAAATCAAAGGCACGTTTGAGGATTTTCAATGATTCTTCCTCTTCCAAAACCCAAGGTTCCCATTTCGAGCTGCCAAAACTCATGCAACCTAAACAGAGTGGAGAGACTTTCAATCCAGTATTGCCAAGTCTGACATAATTGGTAATTTTAATAGGAGTATTTTCAGAGTTGTTGTTGATTAGAGACATTTTTTTCTTATTGTTTTTGGTTGTTGTTAAGTGGCATGTGTTCTGGGCATCAAATTTATAGGAAAAGTTTTAGCGAGGTTTGTTTTTTCATTGATTTTTTAGGATAATGTGCTGTAAAAATGTCCACCAAAAAATGTCCATTTTCAAAAAAATAATATGCGTTAAATACTATTATTAAATACCATTAAATACACTTTACAACAATTTAAGAATCTATTTTTAAAAAAATTCATTTTCAAATAAACCCCTCTTTCCACAGCAATCATGATTGCTTCTTTAATATTCTTCAAAGACCATTTGATATTTAAAGAAATTAAAGTTAATTGTGAAATGCTTCCCAATAAAATTCTATTAAAAAAAATTCAGAAAAAACTTTAAAAAAACGAAAATTAAAAAAAATGATGCAAACCGAATTGCAAGCCGTATTGTTGGCTGGAGGAGATGGATTGAGACTGTATCCTCTCGCTTCAGACCACTCACCAAAGGCAACACTGCCGATTGCTAATCATCCAATGATTCACTATTCATTGTCTTATTTGGAGAGGAATGGATTGAAGGATGTTATTGTTGTTGTTAAAGCTGGACAACAAAAGATTATTGAACAAGCCATCGAGGAATATCCAGGGAAATTAAAAATTGATATTAAAACTTTGGACAACAAGGATTGCGAAAGTGCTGAAGCTTTACGACAAATTCATGATTCTATTTATACAAATTTTGTTGTGATGAGTGTTGATACATTTACTGATGTTCCTTTGGTTAATGTTTATGATATTCATAGACAACATAATTCATCACTTACTCTCCTTTTGAAGGATGAATCAAATATTAATTCTAAAGAGGATAAATCCGATTATTTTGCATTGACAAATTATAAGAGAGAAATTGTTGGTGAACCAACAAAGAAGAGAAGAGATTTATTATCAAAGAAGCCATCACGTGTAATTATGAATAGAATTATTGACTCGGATGATGCAGATGATGGTTCCGAAGAACATTTATCAATTCCACGCTCATTCTTGAAGAGATGGTCAAACTTTTCAATTTCCAAATTCCTCAAAGATTCACATTTATACATCTTTTCAAAGTGGGTCATTGATTTATTGGTTCAAAAACCTGATATTCACTCTATCAAGTCTGATTTGGTTCCATTCTTGATTGACTCACAAAAAGTTTCTTCCGATAAGTTAGATCCTGTCCTCTCCACTGTTGTTACGCCATTCCCATTATCAGAAGCTTATAGAATGAGTACATCTGAATCTGAACTCAGTGATGTGATTCGAGTTTTTGCCCATGTTGTTCCTCCACACGAAGATAAACCAACTACCACCACCACAGCCGCAAAGACCCCAACAAGACAAGGAGTTTTTTGTAAGAGATGTAACGATGTTTCTTCTTATTTACATGTCAATAGAGAGGTAAGTTATTTTGAATAATTTATTGTAATTATTTCACAATAATTTTAGCTTGCAAGAAAGAATAATATTGATTTTTATAGTGAAATGGTTCAAAGTACACATGTCACACCACCAGCTGATCTTGTTTTGTTAGGACCTGATTGTGTTATTGGAGAAGGATTATCTGTCACTAAGAAGGTATCCAAACCAACCATCAAGAAGAGTAATATTGGAAAGAATTGTAGTCTTGGAAGTGGAGTTTTAATTGATAATTCAGTCATTATGGGTAACGTAATTATTGAAGATAAGGTTCATTTGAAGGATTGTGTGATTAGCTCTGGATCTGTTATTGAGGCTGGAACTAAAATGGAGAGATGTAGAGTCGCTCCAAACTTTACAGTCAAGAAGGATGACGAAACCTATACTGACCAAGATATTATGGCCGATGAAATGGAAATTTAAAATAAATTATTTAGATAAATATATTAAAAAAACGTCTTATTGAATCAATTCGAAAGTTAGTGAATTAGTGAACGAGTTTGCCTTAAACAATATCTTCATTCAATAAGCTTTCTTATGCATGTTTGCAAAATTTTCAATCATGGCCATGTATTCCATTGTCTCTTGTTGTTTGAGAAAGTAGTTTCTGGTAGCGCTCTTCTCCAATGTGACTTTTATAAGCCTCTCTAAGGGTTCTAAAATCGTTTTTTCGTTATCACATCGTTGCACACCTCGTTTTCAGGCTTGCTAGGATGGAATTTGAATGAGTAAAATTTTTTCGGAGAATCGAGTGACCTAATCTCAGATACTATGGCAACCTTAATATATTTTCTTATCAAGTTTTCATCAGAATAATAAATATTCTCAGAAATTAATCAGTTACAGCATTCAGCATTTATTGAAACCAATAATAATAATAAAAAGGCGACTGAGGGAATTGAACCCTCGACCCTCAGTTATCTCAGCATTTCTGCCTACAAGACTGATGCACTACCACTGTGCTAAGCCGCCTTACGTGGATGAATTTTAATATTGGTATTATAACAAACCTATTATGATTATAAACCAGAAAATCGAGTCGAAATCAACATTGCTTTGTTATGACTGCAAACCTTTCGTTGAGTTTTTGCTTGAATTTTGTAGGAAAAGGCAAGGGTAACAATAACGATCTTGCAAAGTTCTATTGAAGTCAGAGGAAATATGCAAATCTTCCTAAGCTTACTATATCAAATAATTCATCTTCATCAGCAAATAAAAGAATAAATTATATATTTATATTTTTTTTTATTTTAGGATAGAGTAGATTTAGAAGAGACCACCGAAGCCCATTTCTTCTTCTTCTTCTTCTGGTTCTTCCTTCTTTTCTTCAACAACAGCAGCGGCAGAAGCAACTGGAGCAGATGAAGCAACACCACCACCGACAGCAGTCAACTTGGTGATCAAACCTTCAATCATAGCTGGAGTAGCATATTTGGCGAAAATTTCAGCGGAAGCCTTGTTGACATCCAAACCAGCAGCCTTGGTGACAGCGAGGATGTTTGATGAGGTGATATCCTTTTGAGCATCAACCAACAAAAGAGTAGCGTATGTGAGGGCGTCAGACATTTTGCGATGTTTTTTTTCAAAGAATTTTTAACGCTGCGAGTAGTTGAGTAGGTACTTGATTTTTTACAATGAAAGTTGTGTCACCAGACTAGCACAGCTAAAAACCACACAAGCTGACGTCTTTAAAAAAATAATTAACACAAATTATTATTACCTTGCCATGAAGTTTTGTGTTCTGAATAAACTTAGCATCTTGTCGTTATTATGATGTTATTTTGAGCATGATGAACACGAGTCCCAATAATGTCTGTTTGGCCCGATAGATTTTACACCTGAAGAAATTTATATTGAAGATTTTAGATAAGAGTTGTTTGATGGAAGGATACTGGTACAAAAGCATCTCCTGGTTTTAACTCAATAATGAGTAATCAGCTTCATTAATTTTAAATTTACAAAGATGACGTAATCCCCCTTAGCTCAGTCGGTAGAGCGTCAGACTGTTAATCTGCAGGTCGGTGGTTCGAGCCCACCAGGGGGAGAGTTGATTTTGCTTTTCAGTTGTTCAATATTGTATTTTGCATTTCAAAGCCTTAATATCAAAATCTAAAAAAAAATGGTCAATCATCACCACCTAGAAGAACTCTCTCAAAGCTGGCAAGAATATTCAAGGCTAATGGCTGAACAAGACATGGAAATCACTCGGAAAGACGATCAATATGCAAATCTCATCCTTCAATCAGATGCCAAAATGTACAAGAGAATGGAAATGTGTGAGCAACAAATTGGAGCCTTGAAAAAGTGGATGAATGAAACCTATGAGAGAGATTCATCTGTGTTGAGAACTTTCAAACAACAATTACAAGAGGAGAAGGAAAAGGCTATGCAGGAAGGTAAGTTTTCGCTCTCCTTGTCATTATAAAGGTGATGGTGATAAATTTGATAATGAATATATTATTCTAATTAATAATTGTGCTAACCATGAAATATTTCTTGTAGCCTTGTCAACCGATGATATCAATGAAACGTTCAAGGATTTGGAAAAGTATTACAAGCAAATGATTTAATTCATTCTAACATACGTATTTGATAATCTAACATGTAAATAAACTAATGTACATACTACTATTATAGTACACATCATTAAATATATCCAAAAAGAGATGACTCACACAGATTTACACAAATACCACTTGACCGGTCAAACATTTGCAATATTACAAAAAAATGTTTTCTCTCGATTCCCTACCTGATGAAATACTCAACGAAATCTTCTCCTATCTAATGATGAACGAATCTATCAGGACCATCATTTCACTCATTCATACCTGCTCTACATTCCGATCACTCTTTCATGGTCAGAATTTTATATTGTGGAGTAATTTTACCTTTAACTTTACTCATGATTTTTATCGAATCAATTCACCGAATAGGTTTATTTCTCAATGGAAAGCTTATATTAATCCCAGTAGTGCGAAGGATCTGATAGTAAATGATGGAAGTGAAATTAAAATTGCAAGAAAGTGCTATGAGAAATTTGTGGATTTTCTAAATATTCTGGTTGGTGATGGTTTTGCACAAGAATTGGTGAGGAAAATTCGATTTGATAATAGTATTCGATTTGATGGTGAGGAGTTTGGTTGGCTTCAAGAGAGACTTGTGAGGGATTTCCCCAATCTCACTGGGCTCTATGTATTGGGAGAGGGGAATATGTTTATGAATAATTCTTCAACATTTCCACATTTGAAATATTTGGAAATACCAAATGCTAAATTCTCAGATTTTGCAATGGATCATTTCCCAACTTTGGAATATTTAACAACAGGTCAAAATTTCCCAATATTGGATTCGAAAAGATTAAATCCAAAAGTGTTCTTTTATAGAGTTTTGGATAAGTGTTATGTTGAAAGCCAAGAGGAATTGGACTTGATTTTAACAGCATCTAATATATTCATTCCAAATGTACAAGTACAGTTGAAGGATTGCACTTGTTGTAACACGTTACAATCTCTTACAATCAGAAAGCCAACACTAGATCTTTCAGATATTAATTTTCCTAATCTTACTGAACTTAATCTTGAAAAAGTTGTAGATTTGAAAGCCAATAATTTACAACTACCTTCACTGAAATCACTTTCTATAGATGTGGAGTCTGGAGATTTTTCATTTCTCTATAACTTACCCTGTCATTTAATAACCGATATTCATGTTAAGGGAAGAAATATAACATGTGACGAATTATCAATTATAGAGGATAATTGGCCAAGTCTAAAAAATATAACCCTCATCGTAGAATTCAACGTTCTAATTCAATTAAGAAATATCAAATATCTATTCATTTCTAGAAGTAGATCTATAAGTGTAGTTTCGGATACCATTGAGAAGTGTACCATTTTTTCCTCATGCTCAATGCAGTCAACAATTAGAAGAATCGACTATTTGGAAATACATTCCCTTGAACAAGTAATTATCAATGATATAAAGTTGGAAGTTGGGAAAATACGATTATTAAATTACAATCTCGTTCTTTACAAGGAAAAAATCAATAAGAAGTTACTTTACAATAAGATTTCAAAAGTCGATGAAATTATATGTGAATATGATGATGGTGAATATACATATTTGAATGATTTAGACTTTGATTATTTGGAAGGGAATAATTCACATTTTCTAACCAAGATGAAATTAAAAGGTCAAAAAGGAGTTGGATTTAAAAATTGTACGAAATTGGTGGAAATTGCTGGTTATTCAAACGAAATAGAGTTTGATTCAACTATCAATAACAATATTTCGATATTTTTGGATCAACTCATTATTCCAAAGATGAAAGAAATACCTCTATTCAGATCGGTAACTGTGCTCAAGTTGACTAACTCAAAAATTGAAGATTTAGTGTTAGCAAGTCTGCCAAATCTCAAGATATTTGAGATTGGAAGATCCCAACATATTAATTCTATCACTATAAGTTCGATACGGCACAATTCAATAGAATACATCCATATTTTTGAAGTGTTTTGGTTACACATTCGAGCCTTTTTGAATACACCAAATCTTAAAGAGTTTCTAATTTGGAAATGTGATTTTATGGATGGATCTGAAGTACATTATCTCAATACACCAAACTTGTTGCTTAATCATTGTGAAATGTAATAAACTATTTTTATTAATAACGTGGATTCATTTCCCAATATTTTGCAGAGACATGTTCCCAAACGCTTTGATATTCAGAATATTTGATTTCGTTGAATGGTTGGTAAAAGTACTCTTGTTGTGAAAAGAAATCATAATTCTTCAAGATAAATGATACCAGTTGTGGGATATGGAATTCTTCAAGACGTTCCTTGTGGAATCTGTAAAGTTGACTCTCAGACTTATCTACCAACTCTAGAGTGAGTCTAATTCTCTCAGCGACATTTTCCAAAGTAATAGGTCCAGAAAGATAAGTATAATAAAGGGAAATATCTTGATTAATAATTTGAGGATTTTCCAATACCAATGATGAGGAAAGAAGGAAATTGTCAACAAAAGAAAAGATAGTTTCAGAACTTTGCTCGTTGGAAAACTCTAATAATTGGGCAAAATTCTCTTCATCAACAAGAGATCCAATAACATTTTCACAAAGGTTTTTCAAACCGTCAACCATTAAATAGTCAGATGAAATGAATAATGAAAGATAGAGGTTAATTTCATTTTCTTCTGCGCAGAGATTAGCCGAATCTTGTTTCGTTGATGTGTCTTTTTCTGAAAGAATGTCTTTCAGGTCGAAATATCCCATATTTCTTGGTTCAAACTCATTAGGATTAAGGGTTGGAATAACAATAAAGTTATGATAAAGGTAATAAATAAATGCATCAACAGATTTCTCATCCTTAAATATGTCTCCAATATCAAAATTGTCCGTGACTCTGTCTGTGTAATTTCCTTCGAAAATTTGTCTGAAAAATGGTGAACGGCATGCTAAAATATATTTGTGAACTTTTCTTGTCTTCTTTTCCATTGTTGTATGATCAACAAATGATAATTGAAAATCCTTGGTTTCTTCATCGTTGTACAAGCTATGAAGAGTAAAACATGTATTCGAAGGATCTAGCCCGTCCAATTCATATTCTTCTCCATCCTTTAAGTCTTCTGGATCATCTGAGGAATAATCTCCCTTATAAACAGCGTTATACTTAATTTCATAACTTCTAAGTAACAAATAAAAATTTTCTGTATCTCTATTATTGTCGTTCATTGGTTGGAATGAACCCAAATAATAACTTTCAATCCAATGGAATACCATATCAAAAGTGAAATCATTTTCATTGTTAAGTATAAAACCTTGATTTCTCTTTTCAGGAGTTGAAAAGTGTTCCTCATACATTTTAGGACATCGGTGTTTGATTATTGGTGTGTATATGTGCACTCTATGCCCATTAAGCTCAATGAAGCTGTCATTGTAAAGATTTGGATCATTGAGGAAAAGCGTGATATGATCAGCAAAAGTACTGTTATTCACAACGTAATCGTAATCTGCATTCATAGTAATGGTTTCGTCCTCACTCATTTCATTTCCATTTGGGTCCGTTCTACTTAAAAAAACTTCAAGTCCCTCAACTTGTACATCTTCAAAATTTTCAGGGGTAACCATTGGTTCTGTAGTGAATTTGAGTTCTCCAATAGGAATATACTTCTGCTCTGATGGCTGTGAAATTTTCAAATCAGGATAATGTGTATAATTGCAAATATTTAGTGCATCTACAATGTCTAGCTTGGTTACCAAATCATCTCTCTTGATCACCATCAATGTTTCAATTATTCTTGAGATGAATGATTTCAAAGAAAGAAAACCTTCTACGAGAGCTCCGCTGCTGAAAGACATGTTACCAGCCCTTCTGAAAAGTCTATTGATATCAATGTGTATTGAGTTTTGGGTTGGAGGCTGATGTCTTGCATCACTAAAAACATGAATAAGATGGTCGACAGCTGGAATGGTCATGTTGCCATTTTCTTCATCAAGTTCGTTCGGGAATAGAGAAACAATCTTTTGCTGGTGAAGAGGTACTTGAATTTCCTCTTCCCCATCTAATTTTTCTTCAGTATATAGCCAATCACTGGATGATTCAATTGTTAAAGGAACAGGACAATATGAGTTCAGTTGATAATTATTCAACATTACAAGGTTTTTCTGAGAAAGAGGAAAAGAACTCCAAAATGGATGTTCTGACCGAGTAAATCTAACGTTGATATTACCTCCACAAGGACCATATTGAAAGTTTTCATACCGAGGCTTCTTAAAGTCATCTCTGGCATGCTCTCCATATTCAGAGAATAAAGTACTATTTTCGAAGTCATCATCAGTTTCATCTATTACTTCATCACTGGATTCACTTTCTGTATCACTTTCATCAATCTCAAAGCCATAATCATCATTATTAAATATTGGTTTTGAAATATCGAACACATTTTTCACTTGTCTGATATGTTCCTCAGTTATTCGGCTTTCGAGAGATTCTGAAAATACTCTTCCATTCATCTCCACCAAACCCGGTGGTTGCTTGAAGTAAACTTTGTTTGGATCAAAATCAATTAAATGATCAAGAACAGCCCTTACTATTGGCCTTCCAGTAAAGTACAAATAATAACGTCTATTAAAGGCAAGAGAAAGCTCTCTATTTAAGCAATCCAAAATTAATAATGAAAGTCCCAGTCTCATTGGCGATACCAGTAAATCTTGATGTTCTTCTTTGTATTCATTATTAGTGGACATTCTAATTGTTTTCTCTAAAATAGAAAGGAACGGATTATCTTCTTGAAGAGAAGCAGCATCCTCTGTTAGAATACCTTTGAAAGGGCTAATGTTATAACTATGTTCTCCTCTTTCATCAGGGAGTGTCTTATTGAATATATATTCATTGAATAAGTTGTCAATAATATAATCATCACTAGTTTCCTCTATTTCTTCACATTTTTCCTCTTCATTATCAATCATAGTTTTGATTTCGCTTGGTACAGAAAGATTACAAGAGTCAAGTAAGAAAGCATAACCGTCTTCTTCCTTTTCATCATATTGCATCGAGTTCAGTATTTCATCCTTCTCCTTCTCTTCCTCCGGACTTAGTTTTTCACTTTCCTCATTTGATTCTATTAGATTGAGTTCATTTTGTTTTTTAACAATTTCAGGTAATATGTATTTGAGCCAATATTTCAATGTGTTAGAACCACGAGGATAATCCTCTGTTAATTCTTCTTCTAATGTCTTTACCATATCGGGAATGTTTAAATTGCTAATCATCTCTTTAATATATTTTGTATCATGAATCGTAACCTTTTTAATCATACTCTCGGCTAAAAACAATGAAATGCTCTCAATTTCCTCTCTTCTTTCAATCAATTCATCTAACAAATGTTTTCCTTCACTATCCTGCCAATTAGTCAAATCAGCATCTAGAACATCTAGTATTATTTTTCTAACATATTTAACATGCCAAATATCTTCAATACGAGTCTCATCATCATCAGTATATAATTTAGAACCACTCTTGGGAAAAAGATCTTCATCTACAAGTCCAGCCTTCAACTCTAATTCAGTCTTGATTTTTTTAACTTGAGGTTCAATCTGATCATCTACAACTTCATTGAATGATGATGACGTAGTCGATAAATGTTCTTCCGCTGATTCATTCTTGTTATGACCAACAAAATCCTCCTCTCGCTTTCTCTTCACAGATGTTTCCTCCACTTCCGTGGAGTTGTTAGCACAAAGCATTTTTTTCTTCTTTTTAGAGGAAAAGACTTCAGCTGAGGAACAATGAAGAACAAGCAAGTTTGTTGTAGGAAATGCATAATAAGCAATATTGCTTCATTAATAAAAAATTGATGATTTACAAGATAACATAGCTCACAGATCCAAAAAACCGTTGGTTTTATTTGGTTTGATTACTGATGATAGCAGATCAAAAGGGTATCTCAACAAAAAAGATGGAATGATAGGAAAGAACTCTTTTTCGATAAATCTAAATAGCCCTTTGCACAAAATGAAATTGAGCTTTACAAAAAGTTTACAATCTCGTTGCAACCCAATTTCCTTAACAAAAGAAAAGAACCTCACAAGAATCTGATTGGGTCTTTAGAAAATCTTAACGACCACCAACTAAAAATAACCTGAAGAAAAAAATTTTCAAAACTCTGCGGTTGATAAAGTATTGAAGAGAAAAATAATTACGCGTGTTTTTGGCTTGGTTTTGTATTAAATCTATTTTACAGAGTTTGTTCAACAACAACAACAACATCACTACTGGTAATAATAGTCTAATACTTGATATTATTATTCGGGTAGTGTTATAGTCTCTAGAGGAATATTGTACTATATTGTACTATCATCACAACAACAAATTTTGTCCTCTAAAAAAGAAAGCGAAATAATGAATAATACTAATATACCTAGTGGGTTTATAAATACCAATACATCTAGTTTAAACGGTATTACTAACAATAACAACAATGGTTTTACCGGTATTCATAGTAACGTTCTAAAGAGTTTGAGCAACAACAAAAATCCGTTAAATTCTTTTATGAATAATACTAACGTTAGCGTTACTAACAACATCAACAAACCTATAGATAAACAACAAAACGGTAACTTTAACGAAACATCTAGCGTACCACTATCTAACTACTATTCAATGAATAATCAGTTTCCAAACTTTCACAATGGTAGTAATGGTGTGGTTTCTAACGGTTCTATGAATAACCAACAACCAGGTTATCACTACTCTAGTTTTCAACCGTATAACAACAACAATACTAAAAAATATAGGAATAACGATCATTTACTAGATCAATCATTGAGCTATCAAATTGACTTTAACGATCAATATACGGATAATCAGTCATATGGAAATAATTATTATCAAAATGTTTCTAACCAACCACCACAACAACCTCTAGATCATAATTTTGGAAATAATTTTTTCTTGAACAATAGCGCTCCTATGTTTGGAAGCAGTTTTGGTGGTGACTATCAAAACAAACAACCACTAACAACAAATATGGGACCAATTTTGGGAAATCAACCATCGAGGCAATATCAACCGTTCAATTATCCAAATAATAGCTATAATCTAAATAATCTAACTAATGTTATCAACAATGGTAATCAAACTGCTGTTTCTCAACCTCCATTACATTATAACAACAGTAATTATCAATATTATGTAAATAGTGATAACCAATATCCAGCTGCTAGTACCAGCACTACTAGTTATAGTACACCTCGATCTACTACGGCATCTTTTGAAGGAAGTTTACATCAATCTGTTGGTGAAAACTTTAATCAATTCCAAGATCCAAACTCTAGTAACACTTCACAATTTAGATTTGAAGTAAATAACCAAGATATTATTCAACCTCCACCAACTGCAACAGCTAATGATACAAATAGTAATACTGTTACTGATACCAGTAGTAACAATAGTTCAACTGCAAATGGTAGTGGTGTAACTACATCAAATAAGAACAAACCACAAAAATCTAAAAAGAAGGAAAAGAAGAAGACTACTCCTTTATTGTTAAAACCTATCGAAATAATTGTTCTTCAAGAGTTATTATCATCTGATTTGGATACAATCATGAAAGATTTGAAAGTAACCTATACTTTTGATAATCAAGGTGATAGATTAATTCTTGAATTTAAGAAGGTAACTTTTGAAAAGGTTGAACAACAAGTGAGAGATCTTCTTAAAAAGGTTTTCTTTAGAGAATGTTATTGTGAAATGAAGGAAGAAAGAAGAAGAGAGATTCAAAAGAAGGCATCTAAGTACAACTCTCTTTGCTTCTTTGATTCTGCCAATGTTTGTCACGTAGCATCCCTAAGTGAAGATGATATGGAAAAATTATCTAAGCATATCTACTGTTTTATTGGTGTTTATAAACTCCATGAAAAGGAATCTATCGAAACTATCCTTAAACATAATTACAAGTACCAAATCAAACCTCAAAAGGATAAGCATAACAACCAAATTGAGAACGAGATTGCACTCTACTGTCATTGTCCATCTGAAAAAGCTAAAGCCAAGTTAGAAAAGAAGATTGCCAAGAGAGGTGATTCACCATCTATTAAGATTAAGCTTATTAGAAAATGTCATCCAGAGCTTTTGAATCCAACTGATTACTCTGAAAGAGATAATAAGGTTGTATTGAAAGATAGTAGTGATTCTAAAGAGTTGAAGAAGTGGTTAGATAGAATTGAAATTATCCATATTCATGACATTACAGGACGTACAGAATTATTTGGGGAAACTAAGAAGGAATTAGAGAATTATCTCGACTCCTATAGTAGGATGGCATATCAAATCACTCGAGACATAGACAAGAAGAAGAAGGTTTATGTAGATATTGCCATAATTTCAGATGAGTTTGATACAAACACAAAGAATGTTTTAAAGCAAAAAACTATTGAAATTATCCGAGGTTACAAAAAGATGATCCCATCTGATTCACTTCCTGTTGATGTAGTTCAAAACCTAACAAGATACATCACCACTATGAAACTACCAATCGGTGTTTATATTGATCATAGCGATCAAACTAAAATGTTTTATATTAGAGGAGTTAGAATGGAAAAGGTAGAAGAGGCCTTTAGAACTTTTGATGTCGAGATGAAGAAATACTTAGAAAAGACTGTTCAGATCTCGTTTACTAACGGGACTGAAAGAGAAATGGGATTACCCATTCTTTTGAAAAAGGTTTCTAAAACAAGTAGTTTGAGACTAACAAAAGGTACTTCAGACCTCTCCTATTCTTTGACTGGTCCAATTAAGGAATGCGAACAATTCATGAAGAATGAATATGCAGATATAATTGGTCAGGTTAAACAATCCATTCTGTACATGAATAACAATAACTTTAACTTTCTCTAAATAATAGCCCTAGTTCGACTAAATAATAAATATCTTTACATTATTCTATTATTTGGCTTTGTTGGTCTTTGTAAGGTGGAATCTAATTGGATTCAAAAGGAGAAGGAGATTAGAGAATAGGATTCGTTATTACTTTCACAATTAAAAAATGAGTAGAAACAATGCTTCGGAAAGGACTCCAATACTTGGAGGAGGATCAAGTGAACATCAATCCAACACCAATAACAATTACCACGATATTCACATGGTCGCTGTGTTTTCACGTCCTGGTCCATCTATGGAAAATAATTATTTGGCAACACCACAAAATTCTAAAATATATTTTCATGGTGATGCTGCTCTCAGACCACAATTACAGAAAACAACAGAAAATCTGAGGTCTACTTGTTTTAAAGTTGTGGAAAAACAGAGAACTGATCTCAATCAATTTAATGATTCATCTCTTGCTAGTTCAATTTTTAAAACAACATTTCAAATTGCCACTCAACAGATTCATGTTTTGGAACATCATTTCAATGGAAGATTTTATTTCTATGTTTGCATTGCAGAGGAGAGGTATGTGGTGAATTTATTGTGGAATTTAAATTATGGAATTATTATAGTACTCATTTGAGAATTTGTTTTGGATTATTGGATAGAGTGAAAAATGAATTTATTAAATTATTGCAAAGTATAAATTATGAAATTTTCAAATCAAATAATCAAAGATTACACGAAGATTTTTACAAAAAGGTGGAAAAATTACTTGGTCAACAATTGGATTATTGTACACGAGTGGAAAATGATAAAATTGTGCTGATTCAATCTCAAATTGAAGATGTTAAGAAAATCATGGTTTCCAACATTGATAAGATTATTGTAAATATGGAATCTACTAGAGACCTATCTCAGAAAACTACTGATTTGAACAGTGACTCTCAGACATTTGTTTATCAAGCAAAAAGCACCAAGAATCGAATGATGTGTAGAGTAGTGACCGTTATTTCAATTATTGCTTGTATTCTGATATCAATTTTAATATTCATCATTCTAATGATTAAATATGCCTAAATTTAAGCCTGTAAATGTCAAATTTGTAAAACATCATTATGTGAAATTCATAATTTTCTTGAATTCATGAATCTTCAAACCTAAAATTTAATTCAAACCTGTGAGAGTAGATGCTCCACCTCAAGAAATTCAAATCCAGGTTTGAACAGGCACCAATAATTCATTCTTCGATCCAACTCCAAAAAAATGAATCAATTGCCAGAGGAAATTATTGCCGAAATTTTCTCCTTTCTTCATGCAAAGTTTGTCTTTTTGATTACTTCGCAAGTTTGTAAGAGATGGCTGGTTGTGAGAAGATTAGTTCATCTCCGATTGAAGTTTACTTCAAAACAGGAATTTTCTAAGTTATTACTTGATCATCAGGCTGATGATTATTATTTTTCTATTAAAAAGTTTTCGGCTGTTGGTTGTCATTTAACAGATAGTGAGATTGAAAGAGTGTGTTCTTCCATGAATGCAAATGCTTTGGAATATTTGAGTTTGAGAAGAAATGAATTCAGCTCGAGTGGTTTAAAGTTAATTATTGACAAATTTTCAAAGTTAAAGTCTTTGGATGTTAGAGAATATACGTCAAATATGATTATCAATATTTGTTAGAGAGCAGGGAAAGACTACCTAATCTTGTCGAGTTGAAAGTTGATTTTGCATATACTTCATATTTGGTAGATAAGATGCTTTCTATCAAACCACAAATTAGATCACTGGCTATATACAGTGATCGTTTTGAAAGAATATCACCTCTTCCCAGGTTGGATTTTGAAAATCTCGAATCATTAGATTTAGAAGGAAATATCACAATAGAAACATCCATTCTTCCTTTGGGATTGAAAAAACTCTCCATAACACACTGCTATACTAATATTGAAAACTTTTCAGAAAACTTGGAGTATTTGGCTCTTGATGATGTGCAAACTAATGGATTTGAGAATTTTGAAAAGTGTGAATTCAAAAATCTAAAATCACTTACTTTAAATAATATGAGCAAACGTTTTTGGGAAAATATCTACAGTTCAAATGAAATCAAGCCACTCCACCTGACATGTTTAACTGTAAATGGCCATTCATTTGGAAAAGGATTAATATCCAAAATTTGTAAACTGGAAGGGTTGACCTCTCTGGATATTTCTTCAATTAATATGGATACGAGGAATTTTACAGAGCTTATGAGTGAATGTGAATGGAAAAACTTAACAAGGCTTAATATTTCTGCCAACCCTTTGACTGAGGGTATCATACCAATTTTAGAAGGTTTACCTTCCCTTAAAACTTTAATTGTCAAAATCAACTTGATGAAGAATGTTGAAAGAGGACTTTTACTTTCTTTAGGATCGAAGAAAAATATAGAGGTTGATTGTGCACCAACCAAGATGAATATTGAACACGAAAATGATGTTGAACCATATTTCAAGTTTTTAAATTCTTTAATCACTCAAACTACTGACATTGCAAAGAAGGACGGTGCCATTTGCTCTTTCGATTTTGATAAGAATCTGAAAATTTTCATCAAGGGTATACAGGGAATATCATACTTTCACACAGACTTCAAACCTTTCAGTACTCTTTCTTTTGTAATTGAATGCAAAATATATAGCAACGAGACCAGTGAGAGAAAATATACCAAGTGTATACCACATTCGGATTGTTTGGAATGGAATGAGGAAATTAGTTTTGATAACATTCGTATATCAGACCTTTCTTGTGATGGAATGATAGAATTAACACTATTCTGCTTAATGGTAAACCCTATTACTGGAATAACTAAAAGAAAATACGTGTCAAAAGTAGAATGCCCAGTTTTCGATTCAAATTTGGAGCTACAACAAGGAAATGTTAAATTATTTTCCAAAGATACCACAATAGACGGTATTGATACAACATTTTCTGTTGACGTTTCATTCGAGAATTATGAGCATTCGGTCATGTATGAAATAGAGAAAATACCACCACTGAAGTTTAAAGAATCTTTGGAAGTTTATGAGGAAACACAAATTGTTCTTTTTAATAGAGTTGAACCAATGAACTTAACATTGAATGATTTACCTTCTATGAAGGAATGGAAACAAAAGGATGTTAACATTAGTAATCCAGACAAGATTGTACCATTTTTGAGAAGTATACCATTTCAAAATCCATGGGCTGTATATTTGGCCAAACAATATGTATCTAAATGGAAAAAACCACAACACGTGATGAAACTATTGAGAATTCTATCAGAAAGTGTTTCCAACAGTGTTTTTATCAAACTTACAATTACAGAAATGCTGCAAGATACCACTGATGAAGATTTTTTGGTATTGCTACCTTATCTCACAAATTGTATCAAGTTTGATAGTGTTAATGGAGTACTGACTCAATATCTTGTAAGAAGATCTCTTACATCCAAAGTTATTGGAAATCAATTTTTCTGGTTGCTGAAAGTGGAATCACATCGACATCCAATCAGCAAATTTATACTTTCCCAATACATGTCAATGATTAATACTGAGGAAAAGGAAATCATTCAAAATCAATGTCTCTTTTTGGACTCAATTGAGAAATTAACTACGGGAGGTATGAACGGTGAATTTTCCAAACCACTATTCATACCATTTTACAGCATGCATGATGAGGTAATGACAGTTATTCCTTCTGTTCAAAAGTTTTCCATATCCAATGTAATACTGCAGTTCAAGAGTGGGGAAGTATTGGAATTGGAATATTCACCATTAGATCAATTATTTAACTTGATTATCAACAGTTTTATTGATGTGAACAGATTTTGGATTAATGTTCCTTACACAAATCGTAGGGTTAGAAATTTCCCCACTGCTTTTGGAAAAGGGTTTAGTCTTGTTTCTCCAATTCACTCACAAAGAGTTGGGGGTAAAAATTCTAAGCTCTCTGACTTTACAACATCAAAATCTCAATCATTCAAAGATATTCTCTTGCAGACAGCAGCATTTGATGCTTTTATTGGACATGTTTTCGAGAGTTCATCTCCTTCCAAAATTTATGTGGATAATGAGGGACATTTAGAAAGAAGCCACTATTATCCTAAATCTTTCCAAAGAGTATTAGGTTTAATAATATTGATGGAGAGAATGATTTACAATGAGTTAGCTGAATATCTGCGTAATAAGAACTTATTTGGACCATTCAAACAGTTGATCGATGAATTATCAGCTAATTTCTTAGATAATATTAATCTTATCATTTCTTACATGAAACCATTTGGCTTTTAGAAAAGAAATCTTATTACAGATCTTGAAAAAAGATTAAAGGATCTAGAAAACTATAAATATCAATAGTAGTATGAAAGAAACATGTACTAAGTGATAGGTGGTCCATTATCAACTTCCTGATATTTTAATAAATACAATATTATGATCTTTTAGAGATTCATTCCCGCCTTAATTTTTTATAAAAAATGCCAAAGAGAAAACTCATCGAAAGAGCAGAAGAAGACAGCAAGGAGGGACTAAAGCAAAGTCTACAACAAGTAATTAAGGGAATTGTGGAAGATGAAGGAAAACTTGAGGCTTTTGTGAGATTTTGTGAAAGAGCAATCATTTCCGAAAATCAGGATCTTCCCTATTGGGCAAAAGAAAGTGCACCTTTCTTCTCAACACTCGACATTACACCTATGAGTTGGAAACCTGATTTTTCATTCCCAAAGGAAAGTTTGGAAAGGATTACCGACATTTACCAAGAGAAAGATAGCTGGGAAAAGTTTGAAAGTTTAAAGCTAGAGCTCGAATCCTCTTTTGAAGGGTGCAGAGCCAGTATTGGGACAGTTATGGAGTTGTTATGTTCGACACGAAAGTTGTTCGATATTTATAAAAGAAGAGAACCTTTGGGAGACATGGTAGTGTCTTCAGCCATTAATAGTCTATTTAATGCACTATGTTCAAATTTTAACAATATCAGTTTGAATGGGTAAGTTTCTTATTAATAGAAATGCTAATAGGAGAATATGATCAGGGACAAACAACATTCAGTTTGTTTATGTGATGAGTTGCCTCTAATTAAAGTACGAAATGATGGGTTTTTGCAAACTGAAGAAAGTAGATTTTTGATAAGGGAAGATAAGGCAATCGACCATCCAGTGAAGTGGAACAATCCAGGAACAGACGGCCAGAAATTGATTATTTGTATGAAGAGTTTACTAAGGTAAGATGTTATTCACTTGGATTTAAATAACTTTTTCAGAGAAAACATGAAACACTTTCGTTTAAAAAAGGAACAAATGGAAAAGTACAGCAAAGTGGAGGGGTTGTTATACCTACAAAAAGTTGCCTTTCTGTTCGTTTTGGAGGCTAAATTTGAAGAGCAAGTCATCAATAATCAAACATTAATAGTGCCCAAATATTTTCTCTACATGAAGGAATTTGATAACTTACATGCTGTTCAATGTTTGGAATTATGGTTGGATATGGCCATTTTTATTCAGAATTATGTACCAGAAACTACTGTCTCCACATCGAATCCTTACAGACCAATATCTGAAACACCACTGAAGAACTAGGTAAATCTCAAGTGACTGAAAATGTTGGTACAACACTCCAGAGGTTTGTGAAAATATTGCATATGACAAAAAAATTGATATTTATAGCTTGGAGCTTTACTTCTCTATTTGAAAAACCAGAATGTGGTTATTGCTCAACTTCTTGAAAATATAATTGTCTCATATCCAGAAATAATGCAATTTTCTAAAGCTTTCGTCTTTTGCACAATAAAAAACTCACAAAAAAATGATAAGCAAGGGAAATATAGTAAGGAAAACAAACTACAAGAAAACTTCGGTACCAAAAACCAAGAAAACAATTCGAAAAGATAATATTGTGTTGTATATTTGTGGAGTGGTCGTGATACTTTTATTAAGCATTGTTGTGTTTTATACTTACGAAAGTACTCAGGAATATGTTGATTCCGACAAGCTACTGAAACAAAGGAACCAATTTAAACTATTTTATGAGGCAGAGACTTGGAGAGAAGAAGAGATGAAAAAGCTGTACGAACCGTTTAGAAGTACTTCCAATTTTTATGAATTGGTTGAGGATGGTGCAATATATCAAGGTTATGCCAGTTTGTTTCAACATCCTTCAGAAATTGAATTGGGTAGGCTTTACTTTTTCTTATTTCTTATTGGTTTAAGATGAAAATGATTTAGCTGTTGTTGAAGATTTGTCCCAGAGCTTTAACTTTGATATGAAAGAAATCCTTGCCAATGACACTCTGGCAAGATTTATTTACCATGGAAATGCCATTGAAGGTTGCACTGCTTCATTTTCTCAAACAAGTCAAATACTTTCTGAGGTTGCTGCCAAAGAAACTTCATATATACAATTTTTGGAAGTAATGAATCACAAAACTGCATTTGATTATATCCTTAAATATATTGAACAAAATGAAACATTAAGTGAGGAAAACATTCAACAAATGCATCACTCTAATGATGTATTTATTAAGAGAAAATGGAGCGTACCGAAAAGTCAATGTTGCAATTGGCTTTGAAAAGGTGTTGTTAGCTGATTTTAATGAAGTTCCAGGTCTCATGAGGAAGTTTATTCAATATGTTAATTCTGCATCATTCATGAATTCCCATCCAATCAAACAAGCTTGCCTTATCCATTACAATTTTGTTCAAATTCATCCATTCAAAGATGGGAATGGAAGAATATCTAGATTATTAATGAACTATGTCTTGTTGAGGGGTAAATATCCAATCACTATCATTGAAAATGCTGACAAACAAACATACTTTCGATCTATTGCGGAGCATAAAGGTAAATCCCATTCAACTAAACCTGTACAATCTCCATTCTGTAATTTCTTAATGAACCAAATCATACTAACCTTCAAGGATAACCTGGATTCATATATTAGTATTAAGAAACGTCATACAGGAACCAGATATAAATTTGCAAACACACCTATTCTTGGTGATGCATAAAGTTAAATAAAAATTGTAAAGAATTTCACAATTTTAAAGTATTCCAAAATAGTTGGTGAACCTTCTGGAGTACAAAATTATTAGACAGTTGTTGTTAATTAGAAATCTATTAGAAACCTTTAAATTACATTTAATCACGTTTTACTATTAATAATAAAATCAACGATTAAAAAATATGTTAACACGATTAACCAAGTTTTTCAAAACAAACTCGCCACGTAATTCAAAAACAAAATCTCATCCTCAATTAGTTGGTGATGTTTGGGTCTTGATCATGACCTTCATAGAAGATGAATCCTTGATCAGAACACTTCATCTGTTCAAATCTTTGAGGTTGATAGATGATTCAATGATGGCTTATGTTTTACGGTCGAGAAAAAACTTGTTGGCTGTTGAAAAAGGAGATTTCGAATTTGTTTGTAAAATTGTAAATGGAAATATGAGAAATCTGGAAAGTGAGAATTGTAAATATTTAAAAGTAGACAATTTAGAAAAGATGCCTTTAGGAGGTGCTAAACTGATGGCTCAATGTACAGGCTTGGAATTAAGGAATATTTATTGCTTGTCAAAAGATGACATTTGGAATTTGTTGAACCCTGACAGTCATATTCAACATTTAACCATAAGCTATTGTAAATTGGTGGAAGAACCATCACTGATTGCTCATGATGTAAGAAAATCTCTAATTCTTTCACCAAATTTAAAAAGCATTACCACACAAGGTCCGTGCATTTTATACGATACCATTAGGTCTCTACAAGTGGATTTAGAACAAAGATTTGGCAAGAAATTAAAGTTAATATTCAAGAATTCAATTCTTGAGCTGGAAGAAAATAGGCTCATTGAAAAGCTCCAATCATGCATAACTTGTTTAGCACTAAACTTTTCGAATGCCACAATTCGATACTCAGCCGAAAAGATGCACCTGAACCACATTCATCAATTTAGTTCAGTAGCAGCAGATTGTAGAACCTTAGTGATTGAAGAAATGGACTTTTCAGAATGCAAGGTGTTTAGAAATGCCAAGAAACTTTGTCTTAAGGACATTAAGGGAGAAATGTCAATGACACAAATTATGGCTATGGTTGCACACTTCTTTCCCTCTTTGGAACATTTAGCCATTTCAGAATGTTTTGCTAGATTTACAAATGGTGAAAATATTGATATCAATTTCCAATCATTGAACAGTATTCAAGTTCTTCATTCACATTATGGATCAAATGCGGATTCTGGTTTTTTGAAATATGTACTCGAGAATAGTTTCCCACTTGTTGAAGTTTCATTCAAATTGGACAAATCATTTCATTTGTATGCTCGTCCAAGAAGTGACATGCTGTCACTAATATTTAGAAAGATAGATAAAATGGAATCAGATTTCAATTCAGATCCACTATTGAAAGAATATGTGAGCGATTTGAAACAACAATTCATTCATGTCTATTCCAATCCAGACGATGAGGAAAAACTAGCAGAACTAATTGAAAATGTAAACTCTGAAAGTTTTCTTGACTTTATTCTACCAGATGTAAGAGCAGTTCAAGAGAGAAGACTCAATGAAATCAAACAATACATTCAGAATTATCAAGATCTTGTGGGTGAGGATGAAATACATTTGGAAACTGTGGAAATTCTTAAAAAGGCAGATAGTGCCTTATTACTGAATTCTCATTCAGAGTTTTCGAATAGACTAACAGAGTTGGAATCTCAATTGAAGGTTATGGTAAATGCTTTGGAAGATGTTGGATTTTCGTCTAAATTACTCTTTTGTAATGATAGCTTTTTAGAAAGTGAGTATTTACCTGATGAGGAAGAAATGGAATTTGATGTTGACTCTGATGAAGAATAAACGTTAAATATTTTTGTAAAGTATTAAAGTATATTTATAATAATTGTTGCCTTAAATATAAGTTCCATATGAATGCGGAAAAATTAAAAAAACAAAAATAAAATTTAATAAAAAAAAACAAACAATGCCCTTTCGTCATCCATTCACAAATAACATTTTTGATCCGAAAATACCCACTCTCTTGATGTTAATACTTATCGGTGCTGCATCCATTACTCACTGCTCATTGCCAACATTTAATAATGCCAAGTTTCAATGTAATTCATCAGAACGTATATCATCATTTGATTATGGATCTCCGTACACCTATATCGATTATAAAGATAAATTAGAATTATTCTGTTCGAGTGCTATCATTCCCAAGACAATTATGTTTGATATCGGAAGAAATACATTAAGCTATGATTTGTTGTTTTCCTTTCCGACTTTGGGAGATGAAATTGATATTTGTCGATCGATGAGGATTTGGGAGGCAAGTAATGAGAAATATCAATGCAAGAATTTATTCAACCAAACAAGCTTTCAGTTTTACGTGTCAGATTTTGAAGAGAAATATTTGAAGGAAACTGGATTTGATACTTATCAATGGATTAATTATTGTTTCTATTGTGGAAGTGATAGGTATTTGAATAAGGTAAATGCAAAAACAGAAAATAGTTATTTCAGACAGGTTGGTTTTGTGATTGACAACTTTCCAAAATCAAAGTTTTTTTGTGGACTTGAAGAGTTGGGGATTCCAGTAGTAATGAAAAAGGAAAATGATAATTTTTTTCCATATGTATATGGATGCTATTGTTCAAAGAGTGATATGTTTTCATTGAGATGCCTTTCATCTAAAGTTGACATTTTTATCAATTACGGATTGATGGCTTTCAAATTGATCCTCACAGTTTCATTCAATTTGCTTGCATTGATCATCTTTCCCTATAGAGCAATAGAATTCTATAATAGAAATACTAAGGGAAAGAGTGTAGTATTACTACTGACAGGATCTGGATCTTTCATGTTATTTATTTCAGTAATGTTGGAAGTGTTCGATATTTATGGGGTTGCAAATATTTTCACTGCCTTTGCGATACTATTCACATTTATGGCACTAGTTGTCATGTCGAGAAACAAGTATGTCACTGTAGTGTATGCCATTACCCATACCAAGCCAAAGAATGGACTTAACATATTGATTGGTGCTGTCTTTGCTATACTTGTTATTGGATTAATGGGAATCAGTGCAGTGGATATAATAACAAATATGAAAGCTACAAGTTATTTCATGGTTTCTATATGTGCCCTCACTGTATTAGTAATGACATTTCAATTGATTTGGATGCATTTGGCTTTGAAAAAGGTTTCAGATATTAATATTTTCCAAACAGGTGTAAGTTTTTAAGAGATTTATGAATAATTGAAACAATTGGAATTTACAATAGACTGGAAAAATGATAGCATTATCAATTTTCATTACAATTATCCTTGATGTATCGTTCTTATTAACTATTGCAAGAAGTGTTCCAGCGAAAGAGGTTACAAATGCACTACTCACCACATTCTCAATAGCACTAGTCATGTTAATTTTGACTGGAATTTCGATTGTGGAAATTGATTTTTTGGAAATGTTCAACACTATTGGAGCTAGATTATTTAAACGAAAGAAGGATGAACATTCGGAAAAAGAAACATCAAATGATTCTGAAACATCAGCAACAACCAATCAAGAGAACGATTCCTTGTTAAATTCTGAAAAATCCCCAAACATGCAATATTCACATTAAGCCAATCAAAAAGGCATTTTGATTTTCACCAACTTCATCTTCTTGAATATCAAAGATCTATCCTAATCAAATTGAAAAAAATGAGCAAATTATTAAATAAGAGGAAAGTCAAGATGGAGGATTTAGGATATGACAAACTCATGAATAGAATATCAACAATAGTGACAGGAAGAAAAACATATGAACAATCAATTGATTTTGAAAATTGGGAATGGCCAAACAAGACAACCTTTGTTTTTACTCAACAAGAACATTTGAAAATGCCACCCAATCGCAATAATATTATAATTGTAAAGGAAAATGTCAAAACATTTATGCATAAATTGTTGAGTGAGAAGGCAAAGGGGGAAAATGATAATATTTGGCTGATGGGTGGAGCTCAATTGGTGAAAACTTTTGCTATTGAAAAATTAATAGATGAATGTATTATTACAAAAGTGGACGAAACTCTTGGTGAGGGTATTTATTTGGACATTCCTGAATTTGAAAATGATTTTAAACTTGTGGACGAATTGAAAATTGCAAATGTTGTTCACCAAACTTTTGAAAGAAAGTGATGAACATTCAAGCTAATCAATAATAAATGAAATGTGGATGATATGATAGGCCTAGTTTGAAATTTTCCTTATTTCTGACGAGCTCAATGTTTTTCTCTTCTGGGAATGTAATAATCAAATCCTTCTTTGTTACAATAAAGCTAGCCCTTGCAAAATTCTTTCCACTTTTCAAAATATAATCTCTATAAAAGTTAATGAGATCATCCTTGGTTATTGTTTTAAATTCCTCAGCTTTCAGTTGGTATCTATCAAATCTGTATTGCTTTCTGTATATTTCAATATCGTATCGAGAGGATCGTTGAGCCATTGTCTTTTCTTTTTCCAAGTTTTTGGAAATGATTGATTCAATAATTTCGGTAAACTTTTCATCTGTAATTTCCTCCAAATGGTTACCAAATTTTTCAAAGAATAAATCATTCTCATGGAAGATGTGATACAAATCATCTTTAACTGTTTGAACTACACAAGCAAAGAAGGAGGCATTGTGGATCATTTGTTGATAGCTGCTAACAATGTATCCAAATTGATTTTCTGTTCTCATATATTGGAAATATTTGCTACTTGATACTTGTGCAAAAAGCTCCAAAATGCAATCCATCCTCATACATCTCGGGCCAATATGGAAACAGGAAAGAATTGCACTATTTTCGTTCGTTTCATTTGGATTTGGAATTACTAAAGCAAGATCCTTATTCGGTGGATAAATAGCTACATTGGTAAGTAAATCCTGACAAGGGAGAGGCGTCATTGGTCTTTTGTTTCTTTCTTCAAATAAAATTCTAGTTATATTATCAGATAGTCTCATTGCCAAATCCTTTTTAAAGTTACCATGAATAAGACACTCAACTGTCATTGTCAAACTCCAAAATTTAACAAATCCTTTGAATTGCTCCAGTGTAATTTTTTCTAAAGCATTCGCAAACTCCTCATATGAATAATCAAATGCCCTCAAAGAGAAATTGATGTATTCTGAACTAGCAAATTGATATGGTTGTCTCTTAAACTTTTGGTTCTGATAATACCTAACATTATTTTCCTTGATGTAATCAAACATTTTTTCAGTAAAACATGTATCAACATTATCGAACATGTGCACAATTTCTCTTAACATTACATAAATGACATCTTCCAAATGATTACTGAAACCTGATGTTGAAATCGCTAAACCTCTCTTGTTCATTTCAATTTCAGTGGAAATTTTTGCAAGTTTGATCATGTATAACTCTTCATTCAATGAATATTGTACCATATCACAAAATAATTGAACCATTACAGCATTGGATGGATCTGAATAGCTTTGTGGTACGATAATGTTAGCAATAATGTCACCTCTTGGAGTTTTAAAGTAATCATCCTTCTTGAACCAAGTTCGAATAGTGTCAGCATCTACAATCTTTTCAGGATATACGGTAGATTCTTCCTCCACAAGTTCCAAATTATAAGGCACATATATATTCTGTGGTGGAAGGTGTAACTCTTTGGAGCAATTAATCTTACTCATCTTTAATAAATTCAGAAAATCAAAATCCAATCTATCTGTAGAGTACTTGATATCATACCATCTCTCTGTATGTTTCAATTCATCTTGTGCAAAGGACTTGCTACAAATGTAAATGTTCATATTTTCTGCATGTAATTGTCCTAACACATTTGAAATATCAACCTCATCCAACTCATAAATAAGATAGTTAGCAGATATGACTTCATGTGGAAGGTGAAGTTGAAGACTCGATGCCAAATTAGAGGCATGGGTGGAGGTAAACTGAGCATTCTCAAAGGCTAGCTTTTTCATTTGACTAAGTTCATCAAAAAAGTATTTTGGTATTCCATCCTTTTTCAACATGCTGATATATTCGAAAATATCCTCTATCATTGATTGCCATTTATCTTCTCCCTTTTTTGTCAACTCGACTTTAACAATTAGGAAATAAAAAGATGTGTTTGGATCACTAACACCTCCATAACTGTAATAGTATGACTCTACACTTTGAGCCAGTCCTTCAGCTCGAAATTTAGAATAAAGAGATCCTTTACCTTCATGACCTAGCAAGTTGTTGAGCATAGTTATCGAGCTTTGTTTGTAGTACATATTTCTTCCCATCTCCTCAACAGGATATGAAATATTGATGGGGAACATGATGGTGAGAACAGGACTGTCAGATATTGGAATATATTTGTATAATCTGGCCAGATTTTCATTGTTAAATGGCTCAACTGAACTTGGATAATACTTGTATGTTTGCATATTATTGTTTCGTATTTCAGAAAATGAATTTCTTGCCCATTGTTCTAATATTTCAAATGGATAATTTCCAATAATTGATAATTTCATTTGATTACTAGAATAGTATTTTTCAAAAAATTCAATCATGTGCTCTCTCGAGTTTAAATTTTTCATTTCAGGTTCGGTTTTCAATGAAATTGTATTTCCAGTTCCAAATTTTCTAAATGGATGCAGTGGATTTGACGAATTTTTCATCAATTGATAGAGTCTTCTTTCTTCCAATTGTAAATTCTTTTTAAATTCACTATTAATTGCCTCGACTTCTCTATTGATTTGATGTTCAGAAAATGTTGGAGAAATGAAAAATTGAGCAAATCTATCCAAAGCTTCTTCCAAATAATCATTCGATATTGTAAAATAATAGGTTGTCTTTTCAGCGGAGGTCGATGCATTGGTTGCTCCTCCACGTTTCTTCAGAAAATCCTTATATTCACCCTCGATTGGATACTTTTTACTCGAAATAAAGGTCATGTGCTCAACAAAGTGGGCCATACCTGGAAAATCACTCGGATCACTCATATGACCAACTATTACATTCCACCACCATCACCATCATCATCACTCCAAAACATGTTATTAAATTTCTAATTACCTTTTACATTCATAGCTGCGGAGGCAATTAAAGCCTCAGGATCATGACACAAAATTATTTCCAATTCATTAGCCAATTTTATAATTTTATAATCTCTCCTATCGGTTGAGGGTTTAATGATCGGCAAGTAATCGCCTTCATTAGCAGCAGGAAAAGAATCCTCTCCAAGTTGACTCATTTTTTTTAAAATATTTTTGTATTTAATATTATTAAATATGTTATAAGTGCTTTACAATAAAATATCTTGTTTCTGAATTGAGTTAAAATAAACAAGTTCAAGGTTATAAATCGTTCAATTGCTTTTCACTTTTTTCCCATATCAATTTACATTGTTCAACATCGTCAACAAGTTTATGATATTTTGCAATAGAACAATTATCAAAATAATTTCCATTATTAGACAAAATAATTGGATCTTCACTTGTGGCCAAGTAGCAACTAGTGAATGCTCCATAAACAGAAGGAATGGTCATGAAATTCAATGAGAATTTCAGTAAGCTAGACCAATCTCTATAAAAATCGCTTGAAATTGGACCAGGATGACAACTGAAAGAAAGAATTTCCTTATCAGTGTACATTCTGGAAAGATGTTTGGCAAACATTACATTCAGGAGTTTCACATACATGTATTGATATAGTTGAGAATTGAAATTATCTCCATGTTCATTTACCATTCTCTTTTCCCATTCCAAATCCGAAAGAGAATCAGATTTCTTATTGATCTGATTCATTGCATAGAGGTGTAGCCCACTACTAACATTGATAATTCTACCTGGCTTATTAGTAATCTTGGAAGAATTAATAATGAATGGTAGTAACTCTCTTGTCAAGTAGAAATGAGCCAAATGACTTGTTTGATAAGTGACACTGAATCCTTGCTTTGTAATTCCAATCAAATTATCCTTGGAAAATCCATTCCAAGTTCCAGCATTATTCACCAATACATCCAATCTATCAAATGCATTTCCAAACTCTTTCAACATTCATTATTAAACAACTCTTATCATTTAGAGAAACTTACCTTTACATGCATTCGAAACACTGTCAAAATCAGCCAAATCCATCTCTAAAATTGTAATCTGAGGTTTCATTGCAGAATTTCTGGAAGGAAATTCAATCTTTTCAAAATCATTCTTCACTGCCTCTGCCTTCTTCACATTCCTACAAGCTAACACAATGTTAAATCCACTCGAGTACATTAATTTGGCAGTTTCTAAACCAATTCCCGAAGATGAACCAGTTACTAGACAAACTTTGGTGAATGAAGGATCAAAGGGAGGAGTTGGTGTTTTTCTGATGAGATTGTAGAACCAATTCATTGCTTTTATTTTTTTTTTGATTGTGAAATGTGAAATTGATTATAAATTGTTGATTTTTCTGGTTTCTAAATGGGAATTAAAAGACTATTTAGGAAAATGGGCCTCCATAATTCCTAACATGGCCACCTAGGTGTAACTAAAGACAATAGTCGGAATTTATTCTATTCCAATTAACAAATTGCTCTATTTCATAAACATTTAATTATTTAATTTTGTAAAATATTCTTCAATCTATAAATATTAATTTATTAAAATATTCAGATAACCCTTTAAGGAAATACTATTTTCTCGTTATAAACAATACACAATTTAAAAACAAATCCTTTTTAAAAACAATTCAAAAAATACAAAACTTGATCAAATCAATTAAAAAAAAATGTTTTCATCTCTCGAGCTTGGCGGGAAATTTTCATCCTATTACAACCAACTCTTCAAGGCTTCCATTGGTGATGGTCAATGGAAAAAAGCGACCTTTGTATATTAATGTATTAGTAGTATTAATAATTGTTGTAATATTATTTGTGGGGCTGGAAATTCCGAATAGGGTTGAATGTGCTAAAGCAAAGAGTAATAATAGGCATCAAGAAGTGGAATTTGATGAATTAAAAGAAAATTCGGATTCAGTTGTGAATGCTTTTATTGTTGCTCATTCTCATTGTGATTTGGGATGGTTGGAGACTGTAAACTTTTATTCGAAATATAATGTAACTGTGATCATTGATAATGTGATCAAGTATTTGAATGCTGATCCACAAAAACGATTTATTTGGTCAGAATCTGGTTTCCTTGAAATGTGGTGGAATAATAGTACACAGACCCAGAGAGATGCATTCAAAAAATTAGTTCATAACAAACAAATAGAAATAGTGAATGGAGGATATGTTATGACAGATGAAGCCCTTCCTACTTATTCTGCAATAATAGATCAAATGACTCAAGGTCATCAATTTGTACAAAAAGTAATTGGAGCAGATATTCAAGTTGGTTGGCAAATTGATCCATTTGGAGCTTCTCGTACCTTTGCTTATTTATTATCTAAAATGGGATTCAAATATCATGTTGTTGATAGAATTGATGAAAGATTGAAACATAAATATAGGGAAATTCCTGGAAGTGGAACATATGCTATTGAAAAGCATTTCGAATGGGAATGGTGTCCTTCACATTCAGATCCAAATTCATGCATTTTCACACATGTTTTAGAACATCATTACAGTGCACCAGAAATTTGTTTCAATGACGGAACGTGTACAGGTTTTGATTTTGAATCTGACCCTGCAAGCAATCCTCCAATAACTAATGAAAATATTGATGCAAGAGCTTCCTTACTTGTTGATTACATGAGAAACGTTTCCAAGACCTACAGAACCAACAACGTGTTGATACCATTTGGAAACGATTTCAGATTCCAAAAGGCAAATCTCATGTTTGACAATATGGATTTACTTATTTCTTACATTAACAAGAATTTCCAAAGATTTGGTGTTAATATGAGATATTCTACTCTCTCAGAATATTTTGAACAAGTCCATAACAAAACCAATCCAAATGTATTCCCTGTAAAAACATATAACAGTGATTCCTATAGCGACTACTTCCCATATCCAACTTGTTGGGGAGTCGATGAGGATCAATTTGGTGATTGTATTGCCTATTGGAGTGGATATTTCGTGTCTGAACCTCAATTTAAACAATTAGTTAGAGAAAGCGAAAGACTTTTAAGAAATTGTGAAATGATCTTTACAGCTTGTCAAAGTGAACTTTATAAGGTTGAGACAAGTCTCAATAGAAATATTGAAAAAGATCTCAATCAAGCTGAAGAAGCATTGCAATATATGAGAAATTCTGTGGCTTTAGCACTGCATCATGATGCCATAACAGGTACTGAAAAGAGATTTGTTCTTAAAAACTATACGGATATTATTCAAAATGCAACTGTTGCCCTAAAGAATAAGACTTCTTTGATTTTCGAATATGTAGCAACTAGAGGTGTTACAAAAGATTTGCTAAATGTTTCTCTCGACCAATCCCTGTTACTAGATGAAAAGAAACCAATCTATGCTCTCACCCTATTCAACTCTCTTGGATGGACAACCCAAGAATATATCAAAATTCCAGTCAAGGCCAACTCTATTTCTGTTTATTATTACTCACGAGAAACTGGAGATGTAACACAAATAGATTCTGATGTAGTTAAGGAAATTGATGGAACCACCTATCTTTACTTTAAAGCTTCTGTAGTTCCTGTCGGATTCTCAACCTATTTCATAATTCAACAAGACTTTAAAGCAACAACAATTGAAAAGAAGCAAACACAATATGAAAATGTTGTGAATATGGAAAATGGTTACATCAAGGCAACATTTGAGTTGACAAATGGAAAACTTCCATACGTCCTCAAATCTATTACTAACAAATATACTGGAACAACCACTACAATTTCACAAAAGATTGCCCAATACGTCTCTTATGGAGATGGTGCCTATATTTTGAGAACAACAGGTTATGCACAAGATTTAGTGTTCGAAACTGAATATCTTGATTGTATTATTTCCAATGGAAAAGTTGTTCAATCATTGAGCCAGAGATATACAAACAATGTCACTCAAACTTTTGTGATTTACAATGAATATAACATTCCAGAAAATGGCTTTGTATTAGACATGTCTACAAGTGCTCAAACAGGAGATAATAAGGAAATGATCACCGAGTTCAGTTTAGGAGATGTACAAACAACTCTTTACACAGACAGCAATGGGTATGAAATGATTGAACGTCCGTATGCACCATCAAGATTTAATGATAGCTACTTCTTTAACAAAATTGCTGGTAACTACTATCCAATAGTGGAATCATCATTCATCAGATCAAATGATATCCAATTAACGTTATTCACCAGACAAGCAGCAGGAGTTGCAAGTCTTAGAAATGGATCAATTGAATTCATGTTGAACAGAAACACTTTAACTGATGACGATCGTGGTTTAGGTGAAAATCTTAATGTAACGCAAACAGTTACTATTCCATTAAGAATTCTTTTAGCTCCACCATCTGACTCGAGTAATTATAGACCAACCATTTCAAAATTATTCAATGCCCCTGCTTTGAGAATGTTTTCTAACTCTATTTCATTGTACGCCTCACTTGCCACTGATAGCGACATTAAAGAGGCTGTCCTTACCTATGTTGGAAAATTCAATTCTGAATCGAGATTCCTCAATGAGTTGCCATCAAACATTCACCTTCTTTCACTTCAAACCAGAAATAATGTTACTACACCTAACCAAAGATTTACTGCTCTCAGACTTCAACATATTTATGAAGCCCAAGAAAGTTTAATTCATTCAAAACCAGTCACATTATATCCACAGGCAATATTCTCTGATTACTTTATTAGTAATATTGTGGAAATGACAATGTCGCTAAATTATGCTACGAAAAATCTAAACTTTACCAAGATCATTCTTAAACCAGGCGAAATTAGAACATTCAGTCTCGATTTATGGAATTCTGAACAAGGAGATGATTGGTTTAGCATAAGTTCTTTCCTGTTTGGAGCAGCAGCTGTTATTCCAGTTTTCTTAATTGTTATTGTTTTGATAAGTGTAACATTAAGTTGTCAGAAGAATCGTGAGATTTCAGATTCTAATCATCATAATGTCATTAATGAATCAACTAGATTCTTTGAAAGAGATGAGTAAATATTTATTCATCATCCTTATCAAGATAATCCTCTTTGAGATGTCCTGATATTACCGAATTATTCTTGATTGTTTGTGTTGAAATTGTTTCCTTACTATGTACAATAATTTTTTTCATAATTACTTCTTGTGCCACCTCATTTACAATAAAATAGTGATTTTCGTTAATATTAGTCTTGAATACAGATATGTCCGCAATTTCCTCTGTTTTCTTAACCTTGGAAGTGTACAAGAAAGGTCCTACACAACCAATATTTTCATAATGATATAAAGTCAATAAATTATGCATTAGGTTTCTGCTATTGATTTCTGACACCATAATACCTTGACCATGGCAGATGGCAATAACATTATCGTTCAATAATTCAACAGCTCTAACAAAGCCCTCCCTTGAGTTGCTTGAACTGGATAATATATCAGAAGAACTACTAGTCAACGATTCAGTAGAGAGTAATAAGTTTGTCGGGAATGATTCACCACTTGCTGGCGATCCCAAAGTATTACTTCCAGGATCAAATAATGGATAAGTCTTGAATTTTGGTTCAACAATAGTAGTGTACAAGTCTGATTCTGAATATACGATTGATGCAGAAGAAATATTAGAATCATTCATATCCTGTTTTTCCATTTGTTCTGCAATTCTCTTTCTCCTCAATTCAGATCCAATCAAATCATAAATAATTGATTTACATCCTCTATACTCCATTTCATATGGAACAGGTATTTCTAAAATTTGTGATAATTGCTGAATGACAAGTACTAAATATCCAAGCATGGCTGATAAATTCTGTGAAGAAGGCCAAGTGTCTTTAAACGATCCAACTTCATTCAATGCCTTTTGTGTATAATAATCAAAAGAATCAAATTTTGCAATTGCTTCAATAAAATCAAATCCTTCCGAAATTACAGAAATTGGCAATTTAAAATCTCTTTGCAAGAAATACAACTCCTTACTACTTGGATCGCATTGAATATGTAATACTAATTTGTTTGTACTTTTAGCTTGAGTGATGATTTTCCCAGAATTTGTAGAAATCGGAAATGATTGAAAAAGACTGAAACAACTTGTTCTTCTCATCTTTTCAAACTTTTCCGAATTAAATCCTTTCAAACTCTGATATTGAGTTTCCATACTCCCTCTATTCTCCTGAATAATATTTCTCAGAGAATTTCTAGCCTGTTCAAATTCTTCCTTTCTTTTCGTTTGATCATCAAACATTTTCTTACATAATTGTTCTTGATTTGTATTTTCATGTTGTATTTGCTTAATATACTCCTTCAGGAGCCTATTCTTCTCCTTCTGATTTCTTACATTCCTCTGAAGAACCGTTAATTGTTGTTGATCGTTTAAAATCTCCTTTTCAAGCCTTTCCTTCAATTCGTTACGTTTTTTCAGTAATTTTGCATATAATTCCGATTTGCCCCTGATGGCTTCCAGCGTGCAAGCTGCACAAACGAATTGTTGTCTCTTGATGCTTCCCTCACAGATGGAACATTGCATTTTTTTTTTAAAGTTGGAATTAAAATTAGAAAATTGTAAATTCAATTCAGCTAAACGTGATTTTATTTACAATGAAACAATTTATTTATTACATGAATTCATGACAGAGATGTTCAGGATTGTTTGGAGATTTAGGAGATGGAAGTGCTGTCAAAATGGATCAAGTGAAAAATGTCAAAAATCAATTTCTAAAAAAATATGAATCCACAAGACCCACAGATTTTATACTCTGCCATCACATCACTCATTAAATTTGGATCATTTAAAGAAGCACTCGATTTGACTGTTTTTTTGACATTTTCACCTGATGGATTTTCTTTTCCAATTTACAAAATATTTAAACAATTATTCGGAAAGGAAGGATGTAAAAATTACAAAGCCATATTTGAGACACTTTCCGATTGTAATGGAGAGAATTATTCTCATCGAACAATTCTTTTGGCCATGTTTGAATTGGAAGGAAGTTGTGGACACACCAAAGATATTCAAAACGCAATGGAAATATTGGAGAGCATGAATGATTTCTCAAGTGCACTCTCAATTCTGGGTTATATCTATTATAAAGGATTGAAAGATTCAGATAAATCCATCAACATTGATTTGGAAAAGGCAAGAGAATATTTCGAACAAGCTGCCTACAAGGGAAATTCATTTGGATTTTGGTTTTTAAGTGAAATTTATGGAAATATGATGAAGGGAATGAATGAAAATTCATCATCTACACAATTACCAGTTGAGAATCCAAAGGAAAAGTATGAATGGACTCTCTCCAAAGCATTGGAAAAGAAGAATCCATTTGCTCTCTACGATCAAGCAATATCATTGAAAGATAGCAAAACACTTGATCAATTGAGTAAATTGTTTGGACTCTCCAACAAGACGAGACATCAACAGGTGAACCTCTTGGATTACCTCTGTTAACGCAGATTCTTTAAGGTTCATCAACCTCCTCACTTGGATTCTAATCCCTCCTGTAATAACATCCAAATAAGTCATAAAATCCTTCCATAACCTTATCCACCGGTCTACCTTTTTGATTTTTGCATCCATTAAGGAAGAGGAATATTCATAATGAATGTTGAATTTTGACCTTCAAGTATTGTTCGATTGTTGTGTAGTGAGATTGTTTGTGGTCCTTTCATCTTGACAACACTATTTATTATTCACTAGCTGAGAGGAAGTATGAATATTTAATTCGCATACATAATAGTGAAGTGTTGTTATCATTTCAATTTTACTGTATAATTCCAAAAACGAAGCATGCCAATTTTGTGTATTGCAAATACTCAATTCAGCTAGAATGTCATGACTCAACCAGTCACCCCGAGTACATTCTCTCTATCATATGCATGTTTACCTTGAGTATTTTCATAATCTACAATCCCATCAACAACAACAACAAGTCGATGGTGATGATGACAATTGTTTTCTTTCTCCATTTCAATGTTCTTCTTTTCACTATCCAGAAAAAATATCAACACCCATCAAATTCTCCTCTCGGCCACCACCAAACAAGTCGAAGACGAAGACATCAAGAAAACAAACGGAATTTTAGAAATTCTTTGTGGAAGACGACGGTCTTATCGGCTCTTGAGGCTATCGTAATAGTAATATATTACATCAACAACAATATTGTGTGCTGATTTTGAAAAAGTGGAAATTTAATCAGCTGCAACACATACTTGATTTTTATCAACACTAGTATTATTCTAAATTAATAAGATCTTTTGGTGCAGTAATTGTACCAATTTTGTTGTTTGGAAAGTTTTTGGATCTATCTCTTACCACTGTCTAGTATCGACAAGAGAGAATTTTAGTTTTAAAAACATCAAATTTAGACTTTTTGTGTTAGATGAAGTTATCATCATCAAACTCCAAAACAAAGAACAAATCCACCTCTAGTTTAACATCTCCTTCCTCCTCCATAATCAATACACAACCCTCCGTATCAACCCAACAACCATCCTCAAATTATCATATTTTAGAGGAGATGAGCAGCACAAACAATAATAATAATAATAACAATTCTATGATACCCAATCCTCTAGGTACGGGTGAAGATCCCATGTTAATGATGCAAATGTTACAACAATATATGCAAATGAATAATAATGGAAGTAATAATAATCAAGGAAGCAGTACCACAACAAATCAAAATAATGGTGCTCCTCCAGTTGATCCAATGATGATGATGAAAATGTTACAAATGTTTTCTGGAGGTATGCAACAACCTCATGTCTCGAATATGCTTCTTACTCCTCCTCCACCTTCTTCTTCTAATAATTCTCATCCAACATCATCATCGATAGCAACAGCAGCTGCTAATACTTCTAATCGATCAAGTAACAGATCCTCTTCTCCAACAAGATCACCATCTCCACCCCCAAGACCTAGCAGTCCGACTGTTATCCAACAAGAAGATGATATGTCGAATGTTCCTTCAGACATTTTAGCTCAAAAGTATAACTTGGTGGAGAAGAAGAAGAGAAAGATGAGATGTGGAAAAAAGAGAGGACCACAAGAAGAGTTTATATTTCACTTGAAGCTGGAGCAAGATAAGAAAAAGAAGAGAAGGAGCGCACAAGCTGCCCAAGCTGCAACTGCTAATGCCTCTGCTATGACAACTTCAAGTACAGTTGCTGCTTCTTCATCAACACAACAAGTAACAACTAGTAGTATACCTGCCTCAAGCTCATCATCCTCTATAATAGCAACTGGGAATAGTAATAATGCCAATAATACTACCACTACAAAGGATGTAAAGCAAACTAATAGCAGCAGTGCCTCATCTATTCCTAACTCTTCATCAAAAACATCAACAGCAACCCCACCAACATCGTATCCTCCACCACCTCCATCTTCATTACAAAAGAAAACATCATCTTCAAACTCTATAGGTGGCACAGAGTTAAAGACAAAACAACGAAAAACAACAAAGAAACTCCAAGAAGCTGCATCAGGAAGATCTTCAAAAGCATCATCTAGTGAAGATATTTCCGAACCAGCAAGTACAAACAATATCAACACATCAAAAGAAAATCATCCAATTTTACCTCCTACCACACAACCATCCTCTCTTCCTTTACCAATGTCAACATCTAATCCTTCTCTATCTTCAATACCTATTCCAATGTCAACTAATTTTATTAACAATATTCCTACTGATATTACTAGTTTATTAATGCCAAAATTAACACCTTCAACAGATAATTTTCTTGGTACTGACGAAATGGAAACATGGCAAGATATTCCTCAGTTTACTAATACTATTCAACACTCTGAATTTTCTACTCCATATCCTTTACCTACTCTTCAACAAAAACCAAAAGGTTGTTACTATGGTGATAAATCAAAAGGTAAAAAAGTACAAAAGGTACCAATCAGTCAATCTAGTTCTAGATTACAAATTATTAATAATAGAAAAAAGACATCTATTATTGGATCTATTATTGATATTTTAAGTGATGACACCTCTATTACAAATCATACAATACCAAGTATGGTGACTTTATTAGATGGTTTTGTTGTTAAAGTCAACGAGGCTATGAAAGATATGCTTGGATTTGATTCTGTCAATGATATCGAGTTTAGATCAAATTTACAAAATTATTTACATCCACAAGATATCATAAAACATGATATTCTCCTGTTACAAATGCTAAGTACAAACTCGGATTCATGCAAACATAGTATCAAATTTGTTAATAGAAATGGAAAATGTGCACCTCTTTCGACAGAGTTTTGTTGCATAAGAAATGAAATGGGACTTCCTCAATGGATTGTAATCAGATTATCCAATCCAAATATGAAATCAACCAATATTGAAGAGAATCACACTGACATTGTACTACCTTCTCAGCTTAATCATACAGTTTCAGATTATGACATGAGTCACATTTCAAGAGAATCCCTTATTAATGATAGTCCGCAAACTTTCCAAGACATGTTCCTTAAGATTCTGGAGAGACTCTTTGGTTCGAAACAACCAACATGTTTTTACGATAAGCAAGGATATATTTTATGGAATAATGAAAGATTTGATGCATTGTTTAACAATCATAGAAAGAATTTCTTTGGTAGAAGAGTGTATGATATTCCAGAAATGAAAGGAACCATTATGGAGATTTTGTCAAATTCAGTGCTTATGGATTTCCCTGACAAGTTGGAGGCGCAAATGTCACCTGATGAACATTCTATGAATTCTTCTCAAATTTATGACTCGAGACTGAAAATGAATTGTTATGGACAGAAAGTTACAGAGAATAATGGCACTGTTTTTGGTTATGTATGGATGTTTAGCGTAATTCGAGAAGAAAGTACAGAGATTTCTCAAACCCCTATCGACAATAATTATAACGTAAACCAAGAAGACATGTTCGAGGATAATGGAGATTTTTTCCAATAAACGTGTTGTAAAATAACACTTCTTAATCCATAAATAATTCAAGTAATAAGTAATTTAATATAAGTTACAAAAAATTGATTCAAAGGTGTTATGAAATGATTTATCTGTCAAAACCTGAACCACCATCGAAACCAATGAAGCCTCCCAAAAGGAAGAGAGGGAAATAATTCTTCTTATTGATCTAAGATAATTTTGAATAAGAATACGAGAAATTAGAAAGATACTAACCTTTGAACAGAAATTCCAAGCACTTGTCAATCTACCATCTATACAAGAGCCAGCCATGAAAAAGTTATCAGCACCCGATCTTAATAATGAAACAAATTAGTAATTATGAAAACCACATAACTTACCCGTCAAATCCATGTCTAAAAAGATCGATCAAAATTGTCATCTTTGCTTCCTCTGGACCTCCAAATGTAGTATTGATATATTCTTTCAAGTTTTGATCCTTAATCATATAGTTATCAATTTCTGTAATTGTTTGAATGATTGGCTAATTCAAAAGTTTGTAAATAATAAGTGAAAATACATACATTCAAAATTCTTGAAATTTGAGTATACTTGTCAATAAACATTAAACTGTTAGGAACAGCATCATCACCCAAGTGAATAACTGAACTTCCTACCCAAGAAGAGGTGCTATTCTGTGTTTGAGATAACAACTTTTCCATTGCTCTTCTAACATTTGGACAGTATTGAACTCTGTTGAGACCTTGACCAGTATTTCTTAAGGAATAGGTATGTGTAGATGAGAACAAATCTCTTTCAGCTAAGAACCACAATTCAAACATATCTCTTCCAACATTTTTCCACAATGTAAGAGTTTGATAGACGAAATCAAATTGAATGGCATGATTGTGAGATAAACGAGCACCTTCATGGCCTGCCATAATAGCCAATGAGTGACCATCTTCATAATCATCACGCTTGAAATTATTCAGCAAGAAGGAGAGGATGGTTTCAACTGGATATACGGCTTGTCTAAGATATGCACTACTATCACCAATTGAGTAAAGACATTTTTCAATATCTTCTTCTTCCATTTCACATGACTCAGAGTAAACTTTACAAATTCTCTTGGCTGCCTTTTCCTTCATTTTAATTTCTTCTTCAACTTGCATTCTTGTCTTTCCATTTGCAAAAATTTCATTTGTGGCAGTGTCAATATCTTTATCCTCAAGAATTTCAAGAGCATCATGTTGTTCCAAGAACCAATGAACAGTCTTGACAGGTCTATCAAGTTTAAATCCTAACATTTCTTGAACTTCAGGTTGTTGACTGTCTTGAATAATATAACAGAGTTTACCATAGGTTCCTCTCATCTTTTCAGGATTCATAATCTTGTAACGTCTTCCAATTTCAAATCTATTCACAAAGTTGACTTGTCACATTACAAATATTGAACACTTACACATCTTGGAAAAATTCTTCATTATCTTGAAAGTTCTTATTGGCGATCAATTCTTGACCTTTTTGATAATCAGCAGCAACCATCAAACCACACAAAATTGCACAAATTTCCTCACATTGTTCTTTAATTCTCTTCAACTTTCCAAATGTTCTAATAGTATCAATTTTATCAGTATATTCACTAACAGTCAAAGTAGCTTCCAACAATCTCAATTTCTTTCTCTCCTCAAATGTCAAACGAATTGGAATATATTTGGCTCTTTCTAATACTGACTTTCCACTTGTCAATGAATCAAATTCTATTGAAGACATTTGTTTCTTCTCTCCAAAAGAAAAATAATAATATTCATCATCATCGGAATAATATTTATCGGAATATTTTTGGTTCGGATCAACGTTATCGTGATGACAAGGAAATATTTTAAAAATTAATGATGATCAAAAAAATTCCCTCCACTTTTTACTCACATTTTTTTTTACGAATTTTTCTAAATACAAAGATGCTGAACAGATTACAATGGAATTTTTCAAATTGAGCATTGAAAGATTCAATTTCGTTATCTAAATAAAACATTTTCCTACCAGTTGAAAAGGGTCAATAGTTTTTTAGATAATATCTTTTACAACAATTCGGTCAAAATGAAAAATGTCAAATGTATTTCTCTCCTCTTCACTTTACAATTGGTTCAATATCTTAAATGGCTCGACTCTAAATTGAATACTTAATTAAATCCCTGAATCCTCGTAGTCCTTCCGAAAGCAGCTGTTAAAAACATGCAATCTGAATATCGGAGTTGCAAAAAAAACACAAAAAAAATGTCCTCTTCACAACCAAGCAATTCATCTGTATCCTCTTCTTCTCCATCTTCAACATGGAAAGGATGGTTCAATCAAAAGTTTTGTGAGGGTCTTGTTTTGCTGGACATTGTTTGGTATCAAGTGATGCACATTCCGTGGTTTTTGAGGAATGAACTCAATTTAATTTCCCATATTGATGAATATCATGATCATGATGAAAAGAAAAATCGATTGAAATATTGGCTATTGAAAGGTTTTGGACAAGTGGTGAGAAAATTAAAGAGATTTCTCTATGGAAAGGATCATGAGAAGAATTTCTATTTGAATTATGGAATTAGATATGCCAATCAGAGAAGGAGACAAACTGTGCATGAGTATATTCCATTTAAACCAGATCAAAGTAATAGAGTTTATATATTCTTGCATGGTGGAACGTGGCATAGTGGATCTGCTGATTTGTATCATCGATTTGCTAGTTTCGTATCTGGACAAAAGAATCATGCATGTTATAATTTGAATTATAGTTTATTTCCACAAGTTCATTTGGAGGAAATGATTGAGGATGTAGATAGGGGTGTTAATTATGTTATTGAACGTGTGAATGAAAAAATGGATAATCCAGAAATTATTCTTGTTGGACACAGTGCTGGAGCTCATTTATTTTCACTCATTTCACTTAATAAGATTTACAATAATTTCAATTTTGAAAAGACGAATTGGAAACTTGAACAAGTTAAAAAATTAGTTCTCCTTTGTGGAGTTTATGATATGGCCACTCACTACGAATACGAAAAGACAAGAAAGGTTCATGATATTTCACCAATGTGGAAGATTTGTAAAGGCACTCATAGATTCCCTCTCTTTTCACCAACCTTAATCATTCGTTCGAATAATGTGGCCAATCCAGAATCTGTCAGTAAATGGCCATCCACTTCAATTGCTCATGGAAAAAAGGATGTAACATGTCCATGGATTCAATCTCAAGTTTTCCATCAGGAATTATCTGCACTGTGTCCAAACTCTGTCATTCAACTTCATCCATTGGAGCAATTCTTCCACGGTGATTTGATAACAAACTTTATGGGAATTGAAAGAGATTTCGATAAGAGAGATCAAATTTGGAAAATTATCAATTCTTCCCTTCAATAATGAATATCAGAAACTTTCTGGACTTTCGAATTTGGAAATCATGAACATATTTCACAAATGAACCCTCAATAAACCAACACATTTACCTTCCTCTATTACCCAAATATTCCTTCTATTACTAAACAATAAGCATGAGATTTGTGCTGCAAATCTAAAGTTCCTATTCGTCTCAGATTTTTCAAACGTTCTCCGAAGAGCCAAAAAAACTTCAGCGCAAACTGGAAGATAATTTTTAAATTCCTCAAGGAAAACAAATAGAACTCGGTTGTTGATCAAGCAAGCCTTTGAAAAATCTCAAAAAAGCCTTTTTTTTCCTCTCTTTGATTTTTGGGTCATCACCATTTGATATTATTGTAATAGTTTTTTAAATAGTTTTTAATAGTAATAATTATTTTAACAACAATATAGTAGTAATAATACGAGTAGTAGTAGTATTTTGTCTATAAATTGTAATTTTGTAATTTTAGAAGTAGTATAAAAACATCAATAGGCTATTTGTTGATCAACTACTACTCCATAGCAGAACATATAATAGTAGTAATAATATATATATTCAATTTATTAAATTATTAAATAATTAAAATCATCATTCCGAATGTCTAATACACCTACCAATCAACGATTGCTCTATTCATCCCTCGAGGATTTGAATAAAGCAGCCATTGAACAAATGATTGAAATTGATGATGATACTCCATTGGAAATTTACTTTGAAACGGCAAAGAATTTACTAAAGGAAGCTAAACTATTCAGAGAATCACAAGATTTAGAAGGAATGTACAAGGCATTGATACAATATTTAATTCTTGTTGTAAAGAAAATACCAACCCATGCTGATTTTGATGAAGAAGCTGAAGATTTTGAAAAGACTAAAACAGAATATGATTATAATTTTCAAAAGTGTGATCTAGTTAAACAAGAAATTGAAAAATTGAGAGGTCAACTGTCTGAATTATATGAAGTGTCAAGTCCTGTGATTCCACAACCAACAAGTAAGCCAGTTAAACCTGTTACTTTTCAAATTCCAACATCCAACTCTGCTTCATCTTCTCCAAAAAATGATTCTGATAGAAGAAAATCTGTCATTCAACCAATTATGCCAGTTCATGAAACAACAAGTACACTTGAAAAATTACCTAGACCAGTTTCTGCAAAAGATTTAAATAAGAGATTTTCAGTTGCAGTCAGATGTAAAGATCCAAATACTCTTTACAAAACTCCAACCATGATTGCACAACGCTCAAAAAACAATTCTAGAACAATTCACTATGTCAGATTACTTCCTGGAATAATTGAACATGAATCTCCAAATACTCCAAACAGTGTCTACCATTTAATTAGTCCAAAACAAGCTAGAATGATGAAACAACAAATTAGTTCGAACTTTTCTCAACAACAATATCAACAACCAATGTATCAAGGAAATTATCCTTCCTATCAACCACAATCACAACCAATATATCAACAACCACCAAAAATTTCACAACAACCATCTCAACCAATTTATCCACAACCTACCACTTATCAAAATTATGAACCAAACTATTCTGTACCACCACAATATCGATCATTCCAACAACATTATCAACAACAATATCAACAACAACATCAACAACAGCAACAGCCACAATATCAAGTATCAACTCAATCAGGAAATTATGTTCAAAATGCTTATAATAATGGATTGGAAAGAGTTGCCAATAACGATCAAGTTCAAGAATATGTTGGAAGACAAGTTGGAAATTTGGCACAAAATGAGCAAGTCCAAAGAAAAGTTGGTTCTGGAGTGTCAAATGCTGCCAAAAATGAAAAAGTTCAATCCACAATTGGAACAACAATTGCATCAAATACTGATAATGTGTTGATCCAAACTCTTGCTACCAACAAGACAGTTCAAAGTGGTATCGGTAATGCAATTGCAAACACTGCAGGTAATGAAAAAGTCCAAAAAGCTGTTGGTAACGCAATTCATAAAGCTGCCAATGACAAGGACATGCAAAAGAAGGTTGCTAAAGGATTCTTAGCAATTGGAAAAGGAGCATTCAGTGCTGCTAAAACAGGAGCTTCTGCTGGCTATCAATTATACAAGGACAGTGAGCAACAAAAGTAGAGATATTTCACAGTTTTGACAATTATAAACCTTTAATTTATTATTCATATTGAAACATATTGTGATCCATTTGAATTTCATATTTTACAATTTTATCACCCAAAAAAATGTCAGCACCATCATCCATGGAATCTTCATCATCACTTCAAAATATTGAATCCCGATACTTTAGAGCACGATCGGGAAGTTTTGATTATGGCAATTTTCGGAAACATTATAAAACCAATTTTAAAGATATTGGAAAGGGAAAAGATTTAACAAAATATGAATTAATATTGTACGGATTGCTGCTGATTGTTATCCCACTGATTTTACTCGTATTCTTTTGGATGAGTTATTTGAATTTGATTTTTCCAAGTGCCATTCCGATACTAATTGGACATAATGATGATAGTAATGTAAATTCTTTATTATCTCTATTGAAATGGTGGTTCTATGAGGATGAATATTGGAAATTAGTGTTACCAATGACTATTCCTGTTGTAATTTTGGCAATCTATTTGAATTGGAGAGCTTTTCAAAAATTCAAACACAATTGAATCAGGTAATTTACATTATGTGTGAATTTCTTGGTATGTTAAGGTTGTAAAGAATTCTGATTGTGGATGTTTATCTCGAGATTTGGTAATTCATCAGTGTCATAACACTGTATTCTGAATTAATCTCAAAAGAAGGAAATATTTACAATAAATTAATTTAATACGTTTTTGAATTATTCGTCTTCTTCTCTTTCGATAACACCAAAACCTAATAACATCTTTCTAAGAGTTGGTGTTGTGAAATTGGATCCTCCTAATTCATCCAAGCCCACTATCGAGTTATCAGTTCTTCCATTCTTAATACAAACAACAGTTGGCATCATCCAGATTTGTAAATGTTCCACAACGATTGGACACTTTTCACCATCTACTTTAATGAATAAGGTTTCCAAGTGCTTTTGGGCAATCTTTTGCAAATGGCTCAACACAATATCACAGTATTCATTGCTTGGACGAGTGAATAAAACTACACAGAATTTGTTATCCTTAACATGATTGAAGAAGTCCTTGGCGTCAGTGACATCCATAACCCTTCCGTGACCCTTCTGCAGAAACTCAGCCTTCATGTTATTCTTTTGTTTCAAGGCATTCATACGTTTTTGTTTAAGCATCATATAATCATCATCGGTCATTTCATCCATTTCCTTCAGCTTTTCATCCAAACTCTTTTCAATGATTTGGGCAGAAGCTAAGAGGGCATTATCGAGTACTTGTTTGTTCATTTTTTTTGTATTGTGTTTTTATTAATTGTATTTTGGAGATTTTTAATACGGAAAAGGCGGTAGGGTTTTGGCGGGAAGATGTGAAAAATACATTTGTATTATCAATTACCTCAAAAGAAGCCATTTTGTAAAATTTCCAATTTCATTTCCGTATTGTGTTACAGTGAAATAGTATTAATCTTTGAATCCGTAAATTATTATTGTAATATTACTACTACTATTTGGAATTATCATTGGTCTTATAAATTATTTCTTTTTACTCTGATGTCTTACTTGTAATCTATTATTTGTAATATCCTCAATTGAATTTGATACTATTTGCAAATAATCCTCTGCTAAATCAATTTTTTGTTTCAATAAATGTGTTTGATTTTCATTTTGTGATTGGAAATCCTTCAATCTATTTGTTTGATCCTCTTCCGATCGTATTAAAGTTGGTAGTTCATCTAACATTTTCTCAAATTCTAAACAAGCTGCTACTAAATTCTTTCCTGCTTCTTCAGATTGTTCTCTCAATTGCTCTGGTGTCCAAACAGCTTTTGTTGTATCGGAAACCATTGGTAATCCATTTCTAAGTTGATAATCTGTTATGGATGGAGGAGCATCTCTCTGTAAAACACCCAGAGAGTCAACCATAACCCTAGAAATGAGAGAAAGTTGATCTTGAAGACTTGTTATTTTATCACTCATATTGTTGTTCAAAATGTTACAAGATAATGTGTTTAGCTCGTTAATAAATAATTCAATTTTTTTTAATTTTAATTTTTAAAAATAATGCTGAACAACAATAACAAGGCTCCGAGTCATCAAGGATCTTCATCAAATCCTTTGGAAAAACATTATCAAAGATATAACAGAGAAACGGAAAAGCAAAAGCAATATACCACTACATCGGAGGAAATTGATGACTTGAAAGCACCATTTAGTACAAAACCTGTTACTTTGCAAGAAGTTGAAAATTCTATATTACGAAAGGGACTTTTTGATCAGTGGTGTGATCGTTTATTTGAACAATTTGAAACATCTGTAGGTATTGATTGATATTATCGGAATTTTTGATAGTATTTGATGATGATAGGATCTTTGTGAAGCCATACAAAAAGATGTTACCACTTTGATAGAAGGAATATTATCAAATTCAAAGGAAATACCACCAACAACAGAATTATTATCAAAAATTGATGGTCATGATGATATCAAACGTAAAATGAAGTGTTGGATTCATCGTAATTTATATCCACATTTCAGAACTAATTCCGAATACAAACACAATGTAAATCCAGAAATTGCCACAGAAATTGAGAAACAAATAGAGAATACTGTACAAGAACTGCAAAGTGATGCATTTGATAATACAGAAAAGTCAATAAGGTCTTTAACAAATAGAGGAAAAAGAGAAAAATTTGCCTCAAATTACAAAAACCTTACTGAGGAATTGACAGCAGTCAAACCAGAAAACCTAAATGATGAAAAGAGAGAAACACTCTATCAAGCTAAGCTCAAAAGAAAACAAACTCAAAAGGATTGGGATACACAGGGAGATGACATTGATTTGAATACAAGCTCTATCTCAGAACAATCCAATTTAGATGAAATTTTCCCAATGAAAAAGAGAAAGATTGCTTCCTCCTCAGGTCAGCCACCTGTTCCTCCACTTTCGAATCAATCAACAACCAATGAAGAACAATCTGAACAACCATTAGAAGAAATTCAAAAAGAATAAACAATGTAATTGTAATACAAAAAAAACCATAGCATATTCTTAGTATTGTTTAATTTTCTTCTTGCATGAAGAGTAAGAGTTTTCAAGTTCGTGATGATTATAACATGAACTGGATGTAGAAGCCTTTGGGTATTCTTTTCTTTTTTTTGGATTTTGTTTTTCGGCTTCTTCTTGTCTTAATTTGATTTGTTGTTTTACCCAATTTTCATTGAAAGGAGTTAAATAAGATGGAAGGATAACACTAGTGTCTTTTGGTAATGGTGCTTGATTAAACCATGGATGTTTAAGTGCTTCTCTAGCAGAGATACGTTCTCTTGGGTCCAATTTCAAAAGTTTTTCGAGGAGGTCTACAATTTGTGGACTGTAGTCAGCAAAATCCTTAAACTTTAAGCGCAAGGTGTTTGGGATTACCTTGTTGGAGAAGTGATCTCTATATGTTTGATGTTTAGAAGCATCAGGCCAATTACGTTGATTGGCTGTACCCAATAATTGTATGATTTTGAACAATTGTTCGACTTCAGTGTTGCCTGGGAACAATGGTGATCTTAAAAGCAATTCTGCAAAGATACATCCCATGCTCCACATGTCAACTTCTGGACCATATCGACTTGATCCAAATTGATCGACCAAGAGTTCTGGTGGTCTGTACCATAAAGTAATGATGTTTCTGGAAAAGTGTTGGACAACTCCAAATTCTTCAGGATGTACTTTTCTGCTCAGATTAAAATCTCCAAGCTTTACTTGTCCATTGGCGTGTATGAAAACGTTAGATGCTATTATTCGGTTGGTTGTTATGAATTCATAAGTAATATAACGTTGTTAGAATTAAAAGTATAAAGTTGAATCATACTTTTTAAATCGCAGTGGAGTGATCCACTGTCATGAATACAAGCAAGAGCTGAAAGCAATTGTTGCATAACAGACTTAACGAAAGCCTCATCTAATACGTTATTCAAACCGTTAACAATGCCAGAAAGATCATGTGGTACATATTCCATCACCATACAAAGGGTACAACCATCATCATTGATAAAGACCTCTCTAAGACCAACAATGTTATCATGTTTCAAAGAACGAAGGTGAGTAATTTCTCTGATGACAGAGATTGGAATACCTTCTTCGTCATTGGCAAGTTTGATGGTTTTAATAGCTACCAATTCATTTGTTTGACGGTTTACAGCAGAGAAAACTCGCCCGTATGCACCTGAGCCAATCTCAACGATCTCCTTGTATTTATCCCACTCAACACTATCATAATAATAATTATTATAAATTGTTCAAGTGTTGGTTTCAATGATTAATTAATTAATAAATTAAATTGTATGATGATGATGATAAGAAAAATTTGTCGGTTGGTACTACAAACCTTCTAAAAATTGCTTCAGAAGCAGAGAGAGAAAAAAGAGAGGGAGTTTGAGGCATTTTTGCAAAGAGCGGGTTTATTTTTAAACGCCAACACACCGTTATTTTTTGAAGTGTTTTGTATGCCACTATCTGGCTTGCTTTGGTAGGTACAAAAATAAACGTTACAAGTTGTCATCTCTCCAGTCTTGTGATGGATGCCATTGTAGAATTGAATACGAAGTGAAAACGTATGAGAGAAGGAATGTAAAAAGAATTAGAAGCTAAAAGAATGAGTCGGGTTATGATGGATATGATGTTATCCATTGGATTTAAAGAGCTATGATTCCTTCCAATATTTGATCACGAGTAACGTACTGTGATCTTGAAGAATCTTTTATCATTTATTCGGTATGAATGATTGCTTAGATCGAGACTGATTGAATAAATCTTGTCTTGAATTGTTCGAATGTACCTTGTTGAATGGATTCTCTCATCTTCTTGAAGAATAAAAGATATCTGTGAAGGTTGTGGCTGTTTTGATGTTGTGTTAATATTTCAATTTGAGAAATTGTAAAAATTACTTACATGGTAAGGAGAATATCACCAAGCATTTCGTGGGTGTTAAGGAGATGGTGAATATAGCCTCTAGTATGATTTCTACAGGTAAAACATGTACAAGTTGATTCTAAAGGTGTGAAATCTTTTTCAAAATTACGATCTCTCAAATTGATAGTCATTTTCACCTTTTCTGGATTATCATTTGGTAATTCTAATGGATACATGCTAGCCATTCCCATTTCTGCAATAGTGAATGGATAAATACCATCAAAAATATCAACACCTCTACTGACACATTCCAAAACTTCCAAAGGATGATCCTTTCCAGAGATGAAGAATACTAATTTTTCCAAATCACATTTTTGATTCTTCAATGATTCCTTAATTTTAACAATTTTCTCCAAATCGTCCATGTGTCCAATGTCGAAATTAATACCCTTGATATTGTCAGTGTTATTTTGGAAAACTTCTGGTATGAGTGAGGTCATTTCTTCACTTTCATAGAAAACTGAATAAATCATTTCTGGAATGCCTGTTTGTTGCTTATCAACAAGTTCTTGTCTCTTCTTTATGCAGGTTTCTCCCCACTTTTCAGTGCTTGTCTTGGCTCTTTTTAATTGTTTTGATGTTCCAAAAGAGTCATTAACTTTACATTTGATGTTTGTATCGTGAATTCCAATAAATATATCTGGTTTAAACATGTTGAATGTGTGATTGCAAAATTCTGCATCAGTGAATTTAGATCTACCCTTTTCCAAATCGGCATAAATTCCCTTTTCATTTGCATTACTTGTTGGGTAAGGGAATTCAACATTTCTAATACTTTGGAAGAATGGATATTTTTCAAGATGAAGATAATTTTTCAATGTCTTGGTTGGGTTCTTTTCCAAGTATTTGGTCAAAATTTCTAAACTTGGATTTTCCATCAAATCCCAATAATTCATATTCAAAATAACACTTTCATTCGAACCAGCAAACAAATTTCCGATTAATTCATCAAAATGGTCGCAAGTAATGCAAGGCACGGATCCCTTTCTTGTTTGCACAATATAAGTTGGTGTAGAGAACTTTTTATCAGGATACTCTTCAAAAGTAATCTCTCCGATTCTTTCACTATTGTTGGATGATGATGGGGAAGGAAGAACAGCAAACTTCATTTTTTTTCAAATTCAAAATTATTATAAAAAAAATTAAATATTTAATTATTCTTAATTAATTATCCACATGATGACTATGATATCATTAATATCATTTATCCGTATAAACAAACGGCCACTATTTTCTAGAAATTCACAACATCATGTCATTATTTTAATTAATAATAAAAAATGAAAAGAAAACTACAAGAAGAAGCAAACATTCCGAACAAGGAATTAAAAACAAATAATGATGAAGATAATATCGAGGACATTAAAACGCAATTTTATCAAATCGATGAACAAATATTAGAGTTGGAAAGTAAAAGACAATCTCTACTCCATAAATTGAAAGAAGATTCCAGAACAAGAATTTCATTTTCCAATGTGAGAAGATACGAAAAGACAAAGGTATGATTTTTTGAAAGACTATGCTTATCTTAATATGTATTTTCAAAAACCTAAAGGAATGTTTGGATAGTTTGGTTTTTCTTTCAATAAGCAATGATTGTATGAGAATTATATTTGATTTTGCATTTTCTAATAGATTGTTGGATCCAATATTTGTGAATGCTCTTTGTAGAATGACAACTTCAATGAGAGAGGCAATGTTAAATTGTAATTTTATATTGGATTTATCACAAGGAAAGTTTAAATTGAATGGTGGTAAAACTCCACCTTTTAAAGCTATTGGTGTAGAGTTGTTACCAAACATGGCAAATATGAAAATAATAGAAGAAATGACCAATGTTGGAGTTAAATTTGAGAATATTATAGTAAGACAAGATCTTATGCATTCTCATTCATTTCAATCAGCAATTTTGGAAAATGTTAAAAAGCTTACATGGATACAAAGCAAAGATTCCAGCAATGCTATTAATTTCACTTTCAAATCTGCCTTTGAAAAATTGTGTTTTGTTACATTCCTACACACAAATCATGCCAATTGGAATCAATCTAAGCATACGGTTTTTGCTTACCCACTTATTGGACATGAAAACCTTGCCACTTTCATGCAAAAAAGTGAGCACCTTACTTTCTTTAATCCTCACTGTAAGCCAGCTTCTGGTAATATCAACGAAGAAAGAGTTTGGAATGCAATGAAAACTTCAAAGGTAATCAAAAAAGTAGTATTCATTCAATTTGTTACAAAAAAGAAGGATGCTGTGCTTTCAAATCCAACTCAGGTATTTATTCACATCTACTCAATGAAGTCAGACGCGTCCATCTTAAAGATTGCAGAATTCAAAATTACCTATATTCCTTTAGATTTTTTGAAATTAATGAGAAATGAATTGGATTATGATTTTGATAGAGAAAATGATCGTAAATTCTGTGAACAATATCAAGCATATTTGAAAAGTAATTTCAAACCAACCTCTTTAGTTAGATCGGAGGGTATTAGTGATTCAATTGATATATAGAGCATTATTTTAAACAGAACAGAAATCAAAAATTTGAATAATTTCAAATGAAAGCTCATTACATGTTCTAATAAATTGTAATAAATGAATAGTTTTCACTTCGACAGATGAATAAATTGAAGGTGAATATTGTTCAGTGCCATCCGTTGGCAATTCAAAGGTGAATTTAACATTGCAACCTTCAAGGGAAGCCATTTTATGAACTTCCTCTTTGCTTGGAGTTTTGACTCTAAGTTGAATCTGTTCATGATGAGAAATGGCCAAAATTCTACTGGATTCTGGAAGTTGTCTTGCCAATTTCATGATAATATCTGAGAATGGTTTGTAGGTTGGTACAGTGATTTGGAATAGACCTGGAACAATGGTTTCAAAAATAATTCTGTCGTCAATTGAAACAAATGTCATTGGATTATCATCAACGAGAGTGATTAGAATAGTTTCAACTTGTCCAGAAACAACCTCTTTGGAAGCTGTTTCACCCAAGCCCATTTTGAGAGGAATGGCAAGAGCTTGCATTTGTCCCATCAAAACAGTCATGGCAACTCCTGGAATCAAATCAGTGAAAAATGCAGAGCTCATGAGTGATTTATCAAATCCATATTCAGAGTTGATAATTTTGAATTCTTCATATAGAGTTTGGAAATAAACTCTTAAGAATTCAATAAATGGAAATCTGTACCATGGTGTATTTTCCATGAATTTTCCAAATGTTTGAACATAATCCACTTGTAACCATTCCACCAATTTGTACCAATTAAATTCCACATTGGTATTAGCTTCACTCACTTTAAGAATGTTTGTCTCCTTAAGGTAATTAGAGAGCTGGGATTGATCTCCAGTCATGAATGAGAGGCCTACAGCTGATTCGAGCATAGTTTCAGCAGAAGTGCTCAGCTGATCGACTATTCCTCTTGTTGGTCTATTCTTTTCATTTTGTTTACATCTTTCTTGTTGAGCTTCTTTCCACAAATTGAGAATTGGAGTTAATCCAAGAGCCCACCATCCAATTTCACTATACTTGTTTAACTTTACATTTGGAGAACTGAGGAAGGCAGAAGCGCATCTGTTCCAAGGATTTCCAACTTTGCAAATGTTATCCATCGAGAGTGGAATCTCCTTCTTACTTTCAATAATCTCAAGGAGTGGCTCTTTCATTAAACTCCATGAAATTATATCGAGGAAGGAAACTAATTTAGGAGCCATTTCTTCTGGAGTCATCATGGCGATGGCCTTAACAAATGGTGTGATATTTCCTAATCCACCCCTTTTCAATTTATCCTCACTCAGCAAATCTGGCATTCTTTCGAATAGCTTTTTCATTAATTCAGTAACTTCCTTCACATCAACATCATCCTTTGAAGGAATTGTTATAGTTTCATTCTTGTTGGATGATTCGTTTCTTTCTTGAACCAATCCAGTGATTGAGTCAATAATCACAACAATTAATGATTCGACAGCACTTCTATTCTTCTTCCTATACAAACCTTCAATGAGGAGGAATAATTCTGGTGGAATAATTTCCAAACCATCTTCCTTAATTTTCACATCCAATAGGAGAGGAACCAATTTTTCCAAGAATTCCTCAATTGGTTTACAATATTCATTCAATATCTGATCAATGAATGGTTTTACCATCGAGGATAGATTCAAATCTTCAATCAATCCTGGAATCTTTTTGAACCATCCTAAAATCCAAGAGACAAACTTTCTGAAAAATTCAATCACAAAGTTTGGAACTTTGGCAAGTAGTGCATCAATGGTGAGAGCGATTCCCATTGAAGTACTTCCTTCAGGAGCTGTCTTGAGTTGTTTTGGTGGCAGTGAAGATTGATTTGTTGATTTGGCTGAAGTAGATTCCTCTGAAATTTGAGAGAGATCAGAACACTTACAAAAAGCCATCATCTCATCTAGAGTTGGATCTCCGTGTTCCATCTCATAAATCATTGTATCTAAAAATCCAACAGATTCTACAATTGTACGCCATTCCAAGATGGATCTGAATGCTCTGACTTCATTTCTCTCATCGAGAATGTCAACATTCATCACTGCATTAAAGACACTGTGGGCTATGTCAAGAAGTGGTTTGAGCTCTGGAGTGGCATCGTGTTCTCTCACAATAAAGATACCTCCAGGTCTCAAAATTCTGAAAACTTCCTTAAGGAAAGATTGCAAATGTTGAGGTGGAATGTGATGGAGACCTTGATTCATTGTAACCATGTCAGCCGATGAACTTTCTAAATCAAGGCAAGAATAGTTCAATTTCACAAACTTTCCAACAGGTTTCAAAGAACCTCTCTCCATATAAACACCCATATTTTCATCAGATGGTTCATTATCATTGACAATGTGGATATTTCCATCAATTCCAAGACATTCCTTAAAAGCCAAAACCATTTTACCACTATCACCAATTGAGACATAATCTCTAATCGATCCCATCTTTCCAATTTTAGATAGAATGGATGAAGTTTCTCTCAATAGTTCCTTCTTTTGACTTCTGTTTTGATTGGATCCTCTCCATAATTTCAAAACATTTGAAACTAATCCTTGTTTTGACAATTTTTGTAAAATGAAAGAGTAGATATCACTATCGTCTTGGCACTTGATATTCCACATGGCTGATGAGATTACATTTTCCAAGGTTGCTTTGCTTTCGACATTGAAAATTTGTTCAAGGAATGCCTCATAAAATTGCTTCCTCAATTGTGGATTATTGAATACCTTACGGTAAGAATCATTTCGTCTGGTTTCAACTGATTTAATTAGCTCTGTTATTGCTTCCTTATTATTACCAACTAAATCTGCAGTTGATTGACCAATGGAGTGATCAGAATTTTCATTCGCATACTTTTCAAAATACTGTTTACCATATCTATTAAACCACAATGAATCAAACATTCCACGAGGATCATATTTAGCTTTGAGTTTAAAGAAATCATCAATCATTGGATAAGCTTTCTTCAACTGTTCATCACTGTAATGATGTCTGTAAGGTAAATAAAAGATGCCATTCAATTTCAAAGTGGCCTCAACTAGATCATTATGAAGTGTTGCCAATTCTCTATCTGCCTCATCAGTACACTTCATTCTATAGTACAATACGAATGCAAATGATCCCTCATCATGTCTACCATACGGAAGGAATGTACAATTATCTTTCTTTACATAACGAATGGTGATATTGAGAAGTGTGAATTGTTTGAGATGAGATGGATGAGATTGAATGATTTTTGAAGCACTCATGATCCATTCCTGGAATTTAGAATGTGGTACAAAGTATTCCTGTAAAATGAATGTATCATTCACATCGAATAGAGGAGAATAAAGTTTAGCCAGAGGAGTCGAAGTTTCGTACATGAGTAAATTTCTATCATTAACGACAGACCAATCAGCTGGTCTTCCTGTTAAACGTTCAACTGAATAACGAATAGAACCTGCACTTGGAGCTAACCACTTGTAAATGATTTGACTTTGGATGGACATTGTCTTTGGATGGAGTGGCAAATCTGAAACAGTTTTTCTATCTGAATTCTTTCTAAACACAAAAATGTTAATATCATTAAAATTGGAAATATCCAAACGAGCCAATTTGATATTAATATCATTTTGTGGATCCTGCAGAATTCTCTCATAAAAATCCAAGAAATCATTTGCCTTGCATTGAATCATTTCCATAAATATTTGATGATTTGGAACACATTTTAACACGAGTTCACTAATGAAACCAAACATTCCAAAACCACCAATGCAACACTTGAATAATTCAGAATCTGGAGTGCACGTCTCAATTCTTCCATCCCACATCACCACTCTCATTTCTAATACACTTTCATGTGAACATAAATCAGTTGTAATTCCATGAGCATTACAACTGACAGTTCCACTCACACTAAAAGTTGAATAACTCTGCATTGTGTGAGGAGACATACCAAACTGATTCAAATAGAAAATCAAATCACTCCATCTTACACCAGCTCCAACTCTAACAGTTTCACTTTGAGAATCAAATTCCATTTTTAGTAATTTACGTGTGTCTATAACTAAACCATCTTTGGCAATGGTATGACCACCCATGCAGTGTTGGGTACCTCTCATTGATACTTTAAAGTTCATTCTTCTTGCATACTCAAAAACTCTTTGAATATCTTGCTCATTTCTGACATGAAAAACACGTTTGACATTTGTCATATTTAAACGTGCAACATCATCAACATAAACATTAGCATTCAACTTTGGATCAGGATCAGGAAAACATGCTCCTTTCAATGCAGAATCAATTGATCCGATAATTGAAACATCAGCCTGTTCCTTCTTCTTGACAATTGACTTGTCATTCTTTTTGCTTTTTGACTTGGCTTGTTCCTTTTCTTCAAGAAATTGCTTTCGGGAACGTGCAAAGGTATCCTCTAGATTCTTCTTGTTATTCTCACTGATTCTTTCCTTCACCTTTCCAATGACATAACGTGTTATCATTTTTTTCTATTTTTTGATGGATGAATTATGAAACGTGGCATGTGAAGAATCAAAAACTAAGGATGGAATAATCGTTAGATCTATACATACCTTTATACTCAATAATAATTTTCAACGTTTATTAAGAAGATTTTCTAAACGACTATTTGTCCGTTCCCATTTCACATAATTTGTTCGCTCAATAAAATCACAATTTCCAAAGTCAAAAAAAATAAATTCATAACACACATGTTGTTGGTTGTGTTGGGTGTTTGCCTCACCGGAGGAGCAATTGCAGTGATCATGATGTGGTCATTATGGAAAAAACAAGGAACGTTTAGACAATTGACATTTAGCAATATTTTAGATTGGTTGGTGATGAATACTGTTTGGAAGATGGCAACTTACAAACCTGAAACTAGTATTTCTGATCTGATACTTTCACAATCGAGTGAATATCCATCAAAGAAAGTGAAAATTGTTAGTGTTCATTCAAAAATTCCAAATGTGGAAAATTGTGATGAGAATTTATTGGAAATGTATCAAAAGAAATGTACAATTCTAACTCTCAATGATGGCTATGCTAGATTTAGAACTTCCTATGTACCATATTCTGTGTATTTTAATGAAATTGATGAGGAAGATTTGGTTGAGTGTGAAAAAATGTTAATTGAAGGATTGGAAAGGACTCTTTTCTATTTTCCAACAGTTGGAGGAAGATATAGAGATTTAAATCCAATGGATGAAAAGGATTTGGCTCTACTTTCTGAAGAGGAGAGAAATTTGGTAAAAGGGAGACAGAAACCATTTTTGGTTATTTATCATCACTACAAACTACACACCTCAGAAAGATACTAAAGCAAGAAATGAGCTAAAACAAAAAATTAGTGTGAAACAAAAAACATGTGCGACGAGAAAAGCAAGCCAAAAAGAATCGTTTCCTAATCCTTGCTTTAGGTGCGAATAGATTGTAGTGGAAAATCCAATGTTAAATGTTGCAATTATTGAAAAGCAAGTTGGAAAAGTTGAGGATGAAAGCGATTTATTGGAAATGGAGAGTGAATTGGTATTTAAACCAGAAATTAAATCACCATATTCGGAAAAGGAATTGTCAAGAATACAAATTTCATTTCTTAAATTGGAAAATGGAAGAATTGTACCTGTTATTGCACTTGCATTGAATCATTCTGTTGGTGGAGCTGAAGTTGGACACTTTTTTATGAAATTTTGGGCTGAGATGACATGTCAACAAAATCCAACTCAATTACCAACCATGTCAAGAGTCAACTTGATATTACCAAAAGAAAAGATTGAGTAAGTATAGATACCATGATGTAATTAATTGTTTTTTAGTCCAAATATTACCTATTCTCATCAGGAATTTTACAAATTCCACAAATATGTCTTTAACATGATTAATTGTCTTCGTCAATACAAAGCCAAAGCTAGAAGAATTAACATTTCCAAAAAACAATTAGAAATTCTCAAACAGAAAATCAAAAATTCCACTCCAAACAATTCAATTGTATCAACCAATGATGTTATTTCAGCAATTCTCTTTTCAATGATGGCTCACGCAGACCCAAGTCAACCAGGGGAAACTACTCTCTCCTTTAGAATGGTATGCAACTTTAGATTTAATTATCCTCCAATCAGAGATGACACTAAAATGTATATTGGCAATCCTCTTTCGAATGTTTGGATCTCTCAAAAGAAGAGCGAAATCCTAAAGATGTCACTTGCAGAGCTAGTGATGCAAGTTAGAAAGCAAGTTAATGAACAAAATACTGAAAAGGCAACTGAAAGATTTATTCAAGAGATGAGTAAATCCTACCACGATGAAGAACACATGGACAGATATAAGGTAATTATTGATGATGCAAGGATTACCTTCTCAATGACAAATTGGATGAAGTATGACTTTTTAAATGATATCAATTTTAGAATTTTGGGCCAACCAAGAGGAATGGTCAACTTTGAAAAGATGGATTTCCTTCATCATGCATTCTTACATGGAAATACAAGTGAAACTTTGCAATTAGGAATTGGATTAACAGATTTGCAATGGAAATATCTGGTTGAAAATTATGGTGATCTATTCGTACTTAGAGAGTAAATTCTACAATATTTCGCCCAAACTCAAGTCTTCATCGTCATTCCATATAATATTATTAAATGTATTTCGAAGTGATTTGAGTTGTTTCATGCTTTTGAGTGCTTTTGCGCCTTCATTTCCAATCATATTTCTAGCAATATCTAGTTTCGTTAATTGTTTCATTTTGCTAATTTCCTTAGCACCGTTTGTACCAATGTCATTATTACAAATATCAAGTACAGTCAGGTTTTGCATTCCACTTATTAACTTGGCTCCAGCTAATCCAATCCTATTGAAAAATATGTTGAGTGTTCTTAATTGACTCATTGTAGAAATGGCTGTTACACCTTCGATTCCAATATTATTTGAGCTAATAGAGAGTTTTGTTAATTGAGATAACTCCCGAATTAATTTGGATTCTTCTGTTCCAAATTGATTGATAGCATTATCATTAATATTTAATTCAGTCAATTGTTTCATTTTAGATAGATATTTGATACCAGTATTGCCAATACTATTATGAGAAACATCTAGTGCAGTCAATTGTTCCATTTCACTAAAATATTGGCAACCCTCAATCCAAAAGTTATTCCTTGCAGCAATAAGTGTTCTTAATTTAGTTAACTTACTGATATATTTCGCTCCTTCAATTCCAATAATAGTGCAATTAACATTAAGATGTGTTAATTGACTTAATTGACTCAAAACTTTTGCTCCCTCATCCGAAATATAATTCCAACTGACATCTAAATATGTTAACTGTTTCACGTTTCCAATTGGTTTGAATGTATTAAAACCAACATTATTAGAACTAATATTCAGACAGGTCAGCTGGTGTAATTGACTAATGGATTCTAACAGCTCTAATTTAGATTCTTTCTCCATAAAAACCATGTTATTCATATCCAACGAGTTTAAATGTTTCAATTCAGTAATACTTTTAAATCCTTCCAACCATATTATACTTTTACCAATATCAAGTTTAGTCAATTGTTTAGTTTTTTCAAAAATCTTGTAAAACTGTAACCTTGAAATACCTCTCACATTCATCGACTCAAACTGTTCTAAACACTCTCTATTCATCATTAATTTTATGGTTTTCTTACTGACAATTGGATTTTTAAATTCCACACAAAGTTTCACCCTTTCTCTCACAACATTCAACCACTGCTTCGAAATTAATGAACAAGTCAACAAAATTAATTTCCAATCATCAATAAAAGACAATATTTCATAACAAATGTCATCGTAAAATTGATAGGAAGAAGTGGAATTGTGTGAAATCATTGGCTCGTCTTGTTGATCAAATTTTGGAGGACACTTTTCGAATATATTTCGTCTATTCTTCTGAAGAGTCCTCTTTCGTACCAATAATTTCTTGAGCCTTTTCAAATTATTTGAAGATGTTTCGTGAGCCAATTTTTGATCAATCTTTTTCAAGAGCCTCTCAACGGAAGGACCATTAAAATTCAACAAATTCTTCTTCTTTGTGTGGGCAAACGTTATCATTTGGTTTTCAAATATTTTTTTCTGCAGTGGAACAAATTGAATTGCATTACAATAAATAATGCCTTCTAGCAAAAGATAGGAGTTCTAGTTTCGGTTTCAAGAACTCTAAAAACAATCATACAACGTTCATAAAAAATTGTAAAATTTACAAATGTTTGATTTGTAAAATCCAATAGGAAGCAAATTAGATCTTCTTTACAATCATGATAGAATCCCGATACTAGTATTTGATTGAGTAATAACCCATCATCATCACCTTGTTTTCTATCTTTCTTATTAGCGTTGTCTGTCCATAAAAGCGCGCAAATAAAACTTCAACAAAAAAAAATTTCTTGTCTGCTTACTTTTGTTGGTCCCAACACAAAGAACACAAGTTTAGTGCTGCTGTCGTATGATACAAACCTTCACAACTCACAATGCTTCCCTCTGGGGTGAATTTGGGAATAATGAAAAGGAGGGAATCTACCGTCCTTCTGTAACATCCGGAATGTTATCAGTAAATGATAACAGAAAGGCCCCACAAATTAAAAAGAAGAGTTTTTCGCTCGTCTTTACCCTTTCCCTTTTAATTTTGGTTGCTTTGGCAACTCTTTCTTTTGAAAATTATGTTCAACATGATGAAAGTGTGGCCGCTTGGTCTGATTCATCGTCAATGTTTGTAGAAGGCTACGTCCCAACAACAAAAAGATTTAGTAATGTTTTTGCTAGCAGTATTGATGATAATAGCACAATCGATTGGCCTACTGTTTGTGCCCACTACTATAATCACACTAATGGATCCTCTCATACTGGTGAAGAAAAAGATGATGAAGAATCTATTTTGAATATGCCTTGGTATGATATTGTTATTAACGTTTGTGCCAGTATTTTCTTTATTTTGGGTGCTGGTTTAATGTCTGGTTTTACACTTGGTTTGCTCTCCATTGATACAATGCAATTGGATATTCTTAAATCAACTGGTACCGAAAAAGAGAGAAAGTATGCTGCTCGTTTAGCACCAATCTTGAAACGTCACCACTTATTGTTGGTTACCTTGTTGTTGTGGAATGCTTTGTGTGTAGAATGTCTTCCACTTTTCTTGGACAAGCTTGTTCCTGAATGGGTTGCCATTTTGTTAGGTATTACTGCCGTTTTGTTGTTTGGTGAAATTATTCCCCAAGCTGTCATTTCTAGATATGGTATTGCTATTGGTGGTACTTTGTTTTGGTTGGTTTGGTTCTTGATTGGTCTTGCTTTCATCATTTCTTATCCAATCAGTAAACTTTTGGATTGGATTCTCGGAGCTGACCATGGTACTCTCTACAAGAGAACCGAATTGAAGGAATTGGTCAATATTCACTCCAAGGCTCACGATCCTAATTTCCACTTGACTGAACACGAAGCTAAAATTTTGGGTGGTGCTTTGGAATTTGCCAGAATTCCTGTCAGTCAAATTATGACAAAATTTGAAAACGTTTACATGTTGGATATTGATAACAAACTTGATGTTGAAACAATGACAAGTATTTGGCAAGCTGGTCACTCCCGTATTCCTGTTTTCAAGGGTGACAAGAATAACATTGTTGGTTTGCTCTACGTTAAAGATTTGATTCTAGTCAATCCTGATGAATGCTTACCAATTTCTACAATTTTGACATTCTACGGAAGAGAGGTTCTCAAAGTTTTCCCTGACACTTATTGTGATGAAATGTTAAAGACCTTCAAATCTGGTAGAACTCACATTGCTATTGTTCATGAACCAAGAGAATCTGAAACTGGTGGTGATCCATACTATGCTATTGTTGGTATTGTATCTCTTGAAGATATCATTGAAGAAATTATTAAGGATGAAATTGTAGACGAAACTGATATCTATGTTGATAATACTAATCAATCCAAGATTAACAGACCACAAAACTCTACTAGTTTATTACTCAAGTTGGAAAGAACCCACAGACTTACTCCAAAGCAAGTTGTTGCTGTAGCTTCCTACTTGTGGAAGAGTATGGCTACCTTCAGACTTTTACCTGAAGAATATTTGCATAGACTCCTTGGTAAATGTGCAGTTGTTGACATTAAGAAGACTTCTGATCAAGAATTGCTCCTCATTGAAAAGAATAAGGAATGCGATTTCTTTGCTCTTGTTTTCAGTGGTAAACTTGAGGCTGTTTTTGGTGAAGAAAAATTCACTTCTGAAATGGGACCTTGGAGTTTTATTGGTGAAAGAGCCCTTACAAGAGAAACCTTTATTCCAGACTATGATGTTCGTATTGTAAAGGATGTGTCATTCGTCAAGATTACCAAGAAGGATTTCATTGAAATTATTTCTCAAGTATTTATTCAAGAAGATTCCTTCTTCTTGCCTAAAGATATGGAATGGATGAATCCAATCCTCACCAACATGACTAAGAATCAAACTTCAAACGTCAAGATTTCATCATCTCCACACATTCCTCATAGATCCAGTGATAATTTAAATAAGAATTTAGAACCTGTAAGACCAGTTCTTGATACAACTCCTGCCGATACAGAAATTGAGTTAGATGTCGATCATACCATTTCACAAAAGAAGGGTTTCTTCCAAAAGTATTCCAAGTTCAAAGATGATATGAATGAAGAAGATGATATTGTTTAAAGATTTTAAATTCAACATAATGTTAAATTTACTTTAATTTACTTTCAAGTGAAAGTAGAAATCCAATAAAAGTTGTTTCATATCCAAGATAATAGATTGTTTTAAAAAAATGTGTTGGTTAGTAGTTGTGTTAACATTCATTATTTTGTTAAACCTCAAATAATTCAGATTATCTATATGTGAACTCAATGAAATATTATGAATGTACTAGGTTTCAATTGAATAGAGGACATTTACATTGGTCAATGAGGATAATAATGGTTTCTTTGAAATTGTCCTCTGTTGAGGAGTTTTTTCGCATTTACAGTAACAAAGTTTCACAACAATCAAAAAAAATGTCTCAACCACCTCCAAAGTCATCCTCGGTAGCTTCTTCCATTCCGAAGATCATGCCATCATCCTCTCGGGGAAATACAACAAATTCTAATTTAAATAGTCAAATTAATGATGGTAACTTTAATTTGAAAAGGAAATTATCTGACTTGTTGCCATCCATGTCAACCCTGAGAACAGTTCAACATTGTTCTGGGTTGATATTTTCAATTTTTACAACACTTCATTCTGTTAATAGTATTGTAGCGAATACAGAGTTACATGATGAATATTTAGATTGGAGTAGAGGAATATTTAGATATTCACCAATTACTGAAGCAGTGTTGGTGTTGGGTCCATTATTTACTCATATGGGATCGAGTATTGCACTCAGTATTAAGAGAAGTTTGAATAATGTGCAGAGGAATCAAGATGGCTATTCGAAATTTCAAAGTCTTTCAGGATTTGCATTGGTTGCCATTTTACCACTTCATATTTCAGTGAATAGAGTCATACCAAAGAATCCACTCACATCAGATCAACTCATTCCACAAGGTGTGAATCCATTCGCATGGTTTATTCCCTCTGCCTTATTATTAAGCTTGGGTTTATATCACACAATTTATGGAATCAAAACTGCATTGAAACTCAAATTGGGTGCTCAAACTCTTGTATTTGCCGTTTCAGCATTGTCTCTTCTTGGATTGGCAGGTCTTGCAAATCTACTTCAATAAATTTGCTGATCAATATTTCTCTCAACTTTTACAAAATATTAATAGTACCCTAATTGAACCTCAAAATGATAAAGGACCAAAAATCATGTTCTATTTTTAAATATTCAAATATCAAAAAAATGACAAAGAAACCATTCAGTTCCCAACAGAAGAAGCAACAGCTTCAAGATAAGAGAAAAAAGAAAAGAGAAAATGCAGAAAAGAAGGATGATATGTATGATTGGTCAAAATGGAAGGAAGTTAACTTTGAAAAGGAAGATGATGATGTGGAGGAAGTTGAGATGAATATTCCAAAGGCTAATCCTTTGGAAAGAATGGGAATTGAAGATGAGGAGACTGAACATGTTGTTGTTGATGAAGAATCCGACAATAGTGAAAGTAGTAGTGATGATGAATCCTCTTCATCAGCTGCAAAATCCATTAAACCAAGAGAATATACTTCCATGGTTACTTCGGAATTTAAGCTAAAAACAAAATTTGCAAAGGATAGTGATGAAGCTGTACAGAAAAGAAGAATGGAAAGTTTACGACCTTTGGATCCATATTTAAAGGGAAAGGCAACATTTGGTAAATTTAAATCATTGCAAGCTGAGGTTAATGAAGGATTTGAAATGATTCCAATGCCAATCAGACCTCCAATTTCGATTGGCATGACAAAGGAACAAGTAGAAAGACAAGAAGAAGTCTACTTCCAAAAATACTTGAAAGAGCAGATTTTAAATGGAAAGTATAAGGAAGAAGATTTGAATTACTTTGAAGAAAACGTTCATGTTTGGAAGCAATTGTGGAAAACTATTGAATTATCAGATATTCTCTTTGTAGTTGCAGATATTAGACATCCACTGTTTCACTTCCCTCCATCATTGTATGAATATGTTTCCAATGTATTGAAAAAGCCATTCATTCTCGTTTTGAATAAGTGTGATTTGATTTCAAAGGATAAACAGCAACGATGGATAAGGTGGTTCAATGAAAAGTATCCAAATGTTAGAGTTTGTCTCTTTACTCGTGGTACAGGATCTGGAAAGAAGACCAAGAGTAAGGAACTTAAATTGGAAGAATTAAAGATTGAAAAGGATTATGCTAAACAGATTTGGCAAGTAACAAAACAACTCTATGACGAATTCAAGATTGCCAAATTGAAGAGAGATAATGAAGAGGAACAAGAGAGGATTTCCAAACTGGTTGGTGAAGATTTTGATACTCTGATTGGTGAATGTGATAAAATTGAATTACCAACTCCAAAACCTAAACTCAAAATGAAGAAAAAACTTAGAAAGGAAAAAGAAGCAAGAAGAATGGGCAATATTAAAGAAGAAGAATCTGAATCAGAAGAAGAAGAGGAAGAAGAAGAAAACCAAGATATTGATAAGAGATGTGATGGTTGTGTTATTGGTTTTGTTGGCCATCCAAACGTTGGTAAATCCAGTATTATCAATGCTCTCACTGGTAAGAAAGTGGTTTCCACATCATACACTCCTGGACACACTAAACATGTCCAAACACTTTATTTGGAAACTAAGAATAAGATGATTCAATTCTGTGATTGTCCTGGTTTAGTTTTCCCAGCTGTTGGTGCTTCTAAGGCTCTTCAGATTCTCTCAGGTATTTATCCAATCAGTCAAGTTAGAGATCCATACAGTATTGTAAGATATTTAGCAGAAAGAGTTGACTTGGTAAAACTCTTAAAATTGAAACAAGATGAATACGATTTGGAAAATGACATTTCATGGTCAGCTTGGACTCTTTCAGAAGCATACGCAAGAAAGAGAGGCTACATGACAAAGAAGAATGCAAGACCAGATGTTTACAGAGCTGCAAACGAACTTTTGAGACGTGTTCTTAAAGGTGACGATGTTGCATTGATTCTTGCTTTTGATCCTCCAAGTGTTAAGGTTAAACCAACAGAAGATAAAAAGGAGTCAATAATACCAAGTGCATCATCTCAACAATCAAATAAGGATACTAAAAAGAAAAACAAAAAGCAACCACAGGCTAGTGATTTCGATTACATTAGAGAGTTAGAACGAGATACTTTTGCTTTGCATGAAGAATAAATTAAGATTATCAAGAAAATTTTTATAATGTGCATTGCACAAACCAAGCTATTTTGGTTATTTCATTTTCGTTGTTAAATATTTGAAACGAGCCCATCGTAGTAATAAAACTTTCCTTCTCAGAATAATTATTGTGTTTTCAACCTTTCCGATTCCCATCACAATTTGCAATTTTTCCATTATGAATTCGGTTCAATTAAACTTTTCCCTTACTTCTTTCCCTCCAATAATTTCAAAAAAATTGAGAAAAAATGTTACATTCACCTTAAATATTCCAGTGAACATCGGTTAGGAAATCACATCGTGATGGTGATCATATCAACAATTAAAACATAAAAAAATGAAGCTACAGGATTTGCCTTTCGAATTGTGTCGGGATCACTTGTTGTGTTTTCTAGATGAAGATTACTTATTTCCTATGAGATTGGTTTCAAAGATCTTCTCCGACTGGATTTGGTGTTATTTAGTAGAGAAAAAATCCAAGTATTTCATTCATGTCTCGGTCGATAATAATCAATTAACAAAAGTTGTGGATAATTATTTGATCAAATTGAAAAATTTAAAATGTATTGATTTGTTTTCGTTTGGTGAAATTAACTTTTTGTTGCTAACTGGTAGGTTGTTTTTAATGTGGTTTTAATATTTAACTTAACTTTAATAATTAAATTGATAAATATTTTAAAATTGATAGATGTGGGATTGTATGAGATTGGTAGATTGACTACCATTGAAGAATTGTATTTGGACGATGCTTTGAAATGCACTGGTAGTTTCATGGCTAATTGGATCTTGAACGGAAGTCAATTGTTGCATTCTATAAAGGTAATGGAGCTTAGCAATGTGAAATGCGAATATTTTCACCTGTTTAAAGAGTTTAATAATCTCAAGACACTTGAGCTACAAAGTAATGAGACTATTTCAGACACTGAGATGAATGAGACAATTATTGAGCTTCCAATGTCTCTCGAGTCCTTAAGTATTAATTACCCTCTCACACAAAAGAATATTCAAGACATTGTTCGCACAAGTCCTAATTTGAAGGAGTTTAGTTTTCTTGCAACCAATCTAGATGATGAAGATGTTTCATTTATTTTGTCTAGCTATTCTAAAATTATTGAGAAATTCAAAATGTTTATTGATGAATCATTAAGCCTAGAAGGGAAATACTTGTCTGTTTTTTCAGATTTCTCATTCCCATGCTTGAAAAAGATTAGAATTTATTGGCCATTTACAGATAATCCAAAGGTTAAAAGTTTACAAAGGTCTTTGTTTATTCCAACATTAGATAAGTTGAGAATATTCTTTAATGATGGAGAATCATCAGCTGTAATCGATCCTCTACTGACATTTATAATTAGACACAACAAACTCACTTCGTTACACTTGGATTTTATGGATTATCCTTCATTAGAAATCAAAAATGAAAGACTTATTGAGAGTCTAAACAATTTAAGTTTAAAGTCTGTATCAATTTTTGGTGGTTTTAATTTAGAGAATTACAAAGAAATTCTAATCAACTTGATGACGGGTAGCAATTTGGAAAAACTGAAATGGTGCGACAAGGAATTGTCAGAAGAGAATCAATTTGTTTTTTTGAAAGATTCTATGAAAAGTTTACATGTTTTGAAGCTTAGTGGGTCATTAACAGAGAGTACAGTGAGCAGTAGTTTAGAAGAATTAAGAAGTTACAGTTTGGAAAAGGTATACGGATCATCTATTTTTACCTCATGCATTGGTTTTCTACCAATATCGTTAAAATTTCTGGATATTATCGTTAACAGTCCAACGCGTAATCATTTGAAAAATTTGAAAGATTTAGTGAATTTGACAAGTCTAAAAATTGAAATGACTGAAACTATTCAAGATTTCAACGAATTAAGACTTCCAAAATCACTAGGTAATATTGGATTTGTTTGTGGAGAGGATGTTAAGTTTACGGGGTTGGAAGATGGATTATTAGAAGCCCTGCTCTCTGCCGAAAATCTGAGAACATTATCTTTCAACTGCTGTTCAATCAAAGATGATTTTATCAAGGGCATAGTACCATATTTAAAAGAAAGATTGGAAATTCTCAAAATACTATATAACGAGGAAAAAGCTTTGACTATTGAATCAACTTATTATCTTTCGCAATTCACAAGGTGCAGAACTCTACTACTAAATAGTTATGATCCATCCATTACTAGTTCCATTTTTTCTAGTTTTGAACATGATAATCCAAGGATAACTATTATTTTTAAGCACCCGTATCCTGAGAGTAGAAAGTTTTACCCAAAGCTTAATTATGAAAACATTGAGCAAGTTGTTTCCTATACCAAACAAAGAATCAGTGTACGAGAAATGAAAGATGCAAGCCTGGCAATTCAAAGACTTTTCTATTATTCAGGAGAAAAGATAATTAATTATTCAGAGAGTGCAGAGATTTTCAAATTATTTTTAATAACATTCACATATACAGATTCGTTATGGAAACGTGATGACATAGACTCAGTTTTCCAAATGTTGGATCAATTATGGAAATCTAAATCGATTTCATTTGATTTGTCTTACAATAAGGTTTTGAAAAAAGTTTTAAGGTCGATTGAATCGCAACAAAGTCTTTATACAGTGGCCAATATTTTGATAGATTTGAATGACTTTTCTTTTTTTTATGATTTTGACAGTTTGTTAGAAACTGTTGGTACTGATGTAGAATATGAGGATTGCTTGAAAGATCTGGTCCAAAGGTTGTTGAATGAATTCTTTAGTGGAAACAAAGAAATATCTCATTACTCTGGAAATTTATTTGTAAATATAATTAACACGATTGCAGACAACTGCCCTGAATTTACCTATATTTCAGACTTTATAGATTTGTTAACTCATCAAAATCCTTTCAAGATATCCAAGAAAACATTAGAAGCTATTTTAAAGAAAAAATCCATTTTTGTTGGTGATACCAGTAGTGGACTTCCAATATCAATACCTAACACAACAGAAGAGTTGAGACAAATGAGTACCGAAGATTTATTGGATTATGCCAAAACCAATATTTCCAAAAAAGACCACGCTCTTCACCTAGTAACTGTAAAGGTTCCAAAGACAGGCCCTTTCAATACTACTTATGTCTCTGACCCTTTTATTGAATGTGGATATGAGTGGATGGTTGAATTTCTCCCTGTAGATGAAGACGAAGATTATGGAAATTGTTCAATATTTTTGACACTCAATTCAACAATTAATCATAATGAAGAAACAGGTCAATTCGACAGAATTAGAATAGAATTTTCTATTAGAAATTTTGACATGGATGCTAGTTCTTATCTAATATATTCTCGTAAATTTGACATGATACTTTCGAGTTACGGGTTATTTGTAGAGAAGCAATATGTTGAACCATTCTCAACAAGGGATGAGGAATTTCTCATATTTAAATTCTTTATTGGAATGAAGCAAATTACTGATACACCAATAGCAAATCATCAAGTTGATATAGAGTCATTCCACAAAGGAAGAAAGGAATTGTCTACAACAAACTATCCTCCATTAATTCACAGAATGGCTTCAGAATTTCCAATTTCAATACACACAATTGTCTTTCGCTTAAGACCTGAAAATGTTGGAAAGGTCTGCTATAGTGATCAATTTGAAGCATTTGGAGTCAAATTCTCACCTCGGTTCACAGCAATGGACAATCCCCAAAGTAAGTATTGCAGATTTCAAGCATTATTTTAACAATTATCAATAGAAACCAAACTCTTGAAAGAGAAATCACGTGTTGGACTATCACTCTGTTCATTTACTTACAAAGAGAGACAAGATGGTATAGAATCAATAACCATCAAAGCAGTATTCGCCAATTCTGAGTTTAACACTGAATCCATGGATATCACAAAAAAGACTTTGCATTCGATGGAGCCCTTCTCGTTCCAAGTGGATAGATCTCAATATCGACATAGAGAAATTGAGGTTGATGGAGAAATCTTTTATGAATACACTGTAAACTGTTGCTTGGCATTAATTAGCATTGCCACAAATTATCCTCTCCTCCATGATAACGAAAATCCAGAGGTAGATAGCGACAATGATTGGGAAACAGATGAAGAGGATTGAAAATCCAGAGGTAGATAATGACAGTTTGTCTACTGATTAGTGTTGCCTGATTGAGTATACAGGTTTCTCACATTATCTTTGAGGGTACTAAGTTTGCCAGTCGAGCACCAAAATGTTGCAATTGTCTTACGGACCTGTGGGCTGGCTTTGTGGTCATGACTTAGTATATTTCGAATTGCTATTAGAATCTCCTTTACCATACCATCCATATTTTTACTAATAACAATCTTTTTGTGTTTTGCAAGAAATGCGTTATTTAAATGTTTTGCCAAGTTAATATTGTGGCTGTCACAATGCAATCCTAAAGATTTAACAATGTTTGTGCCTTGCCATGGGTTGTTCTTTAAGAATTCACCGAGTAAAATAAATGGGAAGAGAATCAGATAGTCATGTTCAAAGGTGGATTCCCATTCAATTAATTTACTAACTAACTTTCCATTCCCAAAAGAATATTTTAGACTAATGTAGGCGTCTAAATAGGAATCTCTAATAAAAGCACAATCTCCAGACAGGTTATCGAAAAAACATGAGAGATCCGAAATACCTGAAATAGAGGTTGCTTGTGAATCGAATTTGTTTGGGAATTGTTTCGTATTAAACAATGCCAAAGCCTGACTTTTAGATAAATTTTCAATAAGGTTGCTATTAGAAAAATCACGATCATAGATTGTGAATATCTTGCTGAGAAGAATATCAATTGATTTCTCTACAGTATTTCCATCAATCATATCTTTGCATATTTGGTCAATATGACCACAGTTCCAAAATCCTTGACTTGCTTTTATAACCTCAAGAAGCGCCTTATCTATTAGTTTCCTTTCCGAGACGTGATTAGTAAAGGCTGCTAATTCCTTCACGTTATCAATGTTACTACTTTGTGGGATGTTGAATGATAAGCAACAATCAGTAAAAGAATACCCATTTGAGGAAATCATTTTCAATTTTCTGAATAGTTCTGCTTGTGTACTCCCAGTCCAAACACTAATGAAATTTGAACCTGTTAACAACGGTAATTTGAATACTTTTTTAAGAACATTCAATGCCTGTGGATCACACAACTGAATATGGTCTAATATAAAGTAATGCATCCTGCCTGAATTTCTGTTCAAATAATCCAAAATCTGATTGCCACTTGGTGATATACAATTACACATTGTTACATTCTTTTCATCAATTAATCCAGCAATTATACATAGAGCAAAGTTTTGAGGAGTCTCATCTTTATCTATTGTTTCAATAGAGAAATCGACCACCCTAACCTGATACGGTATGCCAACTTCTCTACTAAATAGGTAAGGAATTATATCTCTTGCAACTGTAGTTTTACCACTCCTCACCATGCCAGTAATGAAAATATGGGAATAACACTTGGAAAACCCCTTCTTGTTCTTAAAAACTTTTTGAAATGATTTTTTGCAAAAATCCTCAATTTCTGGAAGGTTATTGATTTGATATAAAGATTCGGATGGATTTGTTTGCAGCCTCTTAAATATTCCAGATTGCTTTCCTCTATAAAGAAATTGAATAACATCCCCTTCCATTGGATTAAGAGACCATTCTTTGAAAAATTTGTTAAATACTTGAACCGAAGATGAGATCTCATCAACTTGCTTGGGAAGAGTTTCAACTTTTAAAACCTTTGGCGGTTTTTCAAGGTCTGATTCCTCCTCTGTTTCTTGTCTTGGTTGTTTCATTTTTTAACCTTAATATTTTTTTTGAGTAATTTATCTAATTATTTCTTCATCATTATGATTCTGTACAGTTCAACAATGTTAATTCAAAAATTAGGAAAGTAGAGGCATAATTATGATTGTAGTTGACGAGTAGGCTGTTGATCTTGAAAAGGTGCAATTTGCTTAATGAGCTGTCAAAGAAAAGCTACACAACTTATTAAAAAGTAAGAGGTATTTACTATTTACAAAGTGATTTGATAATTTCAATTGAGTAATAGTTGTAATATTTTCGTTTCATTTGATGACATTACCAATCACAAACCAATTCATTTTCATTCCTTAACTGACACGTTGACTATTTTCAAATAATCTTCTTATTTGAAATCTTAATCTTCATAGAGTTTGATATATTCAGTAGTAGCCAACCAATCAAAATAAATTTCTTCAATTTCTTCTCTTGTATAATATTGAGACATATGAAAGGTCTTCTTTGGATTGGCACGACTGGCAATTGCAGTTCTATCCAAGCTCAAATTTACAGTCAATTCACTCGAGAAGGTTCTTCTCTCTGAGAGAGGTGAATGCTTCTTGGAATGCAACTTCTTATTGGCTGAAGAAGAAGTATTAGATGGAATAAGGACAGAGTTCATTGTTGTGTATCGAGTGAGTGTTGTGTTGTTTTGATATCAAGGATATCTTTGTTCTTGCTGTTATGTAACACTGAAGAGTTACTTGTTGAGTCTTTTTTTTGTTTTTGATTAGAGCACAGAACGAAGGCCTCTTCTAATATTTAAGTGGAAGACGATGATGAAAATAACCCCAACGGTCTTTTTCTACGGATTTTGTTAGAACGCACGAAGAGAGCGAGGGCTTTTGAGTCGGAACGCATTGCAAAAAGAACGAAATGTCAAGTGAGGTGTTTTTACATCGGTGATTCTTGACTTGTTAACACTCATGGTTAGAAAAGCGCTTCTAATTGACTGACTTTTTGTGCTAATAAAAGATTTTGATTAAGGAAAAATGATTAGAATAGAATTAGATACATTTGAGTAATTATCACCTCACTGACCTATCAGTGTTGTCCAAAGAAATAATTATATACAAATAAATAAAGTGTTTAATTTACAAATTTTAAAGGGAGGATCTAGGTTTGCTTGAGATTAATTCTTCATCTTCTTCATTTTCCTTAGTTTCAGATATTTGAGTATTGTCATCATCTTCCATCTTGTCATCTTTCTTTTCTTCCTCTTTTTCTTCCTCTTCATCTTTCTTTTCTTCTTCTTCTTCTTCGTCTTCCATCTTATCCTTTTCATTGTCAGTCTTTTCGTCTTCTGTTTCATCACCCTTCTTCTTCTTTACTTCCAAAAGTTCAATGAATGATTCAACATTTTCCTTTGCTTTTTTGTCAATATCATCAATTTGGTCAAGTTTTCTGTTGATTGATTTGACAAATTCGGATCTCTTGGCGTCCGAAAGACCCTTGAAACGGAATTTCATTAAACCAGTAAGGAATGAATGATATTGGTTAATATCATCAAAGATAAAGTTGATGGTATGAGTAACAAGTGATTCCAAATGTTTAACATCTTTTCCAGGGAAGTGAGATTTGCTGATTCTGGAGCCTAACTCTTCCAAATCTTTGCTGGCTTTCTTGATGATTGATTTTTCTTCTTCTTGTTCAACATAATCGAGATAAGCACTGTGTAAAACCTTCAAAGCACCAAATTCATATTCCCATAACTTGGATTCGAAACGGTGTTTAATATCGGCGTGGAACTTTTTGATGACATCCTCAACAATAGGAATCTTGGTCTTGACAAAGTATGATAAAATATCTGGAATAAGAGTATCTGGTAAACTCTTACAGATAATAGCTCTTGATAATCCTAGAATAAGATCAGAAACTGTTTGATTGATTACTTTGATTTTAGCATCTTTCTTCTTCTTTTCGTCTTCATCTACATTTTCTTCATCAGAAACACTATTCAAAATATATTCCTTAGTGAGATGTTTCATTGACTTGGTGAAGAATCTTCTCAAAATTTCAACTCTATCATTAGTGGTTAATGGAATAAGTGTATCAGAACCAACATTATCAGCACATGTAATCATGTAAATATTCATTAAATGGTTGAAACAATGTAAAATGATGGAAGACCCAATCTTTCCTTTCTTTAATACGTAGAAAAGAGGAGTTGTAATCTTTTCTTGCTTAGTTAGATACTTCTTTTGAAGTTTGGCTCTAGGTTCACCCTTTTCTTCCAATGAGTCCTTTAGAGTCCAGAACAAATCATCTTGAATAATATCAATAATGATAGGTGTAACTTCATCAACTTCTTCTTCAGAACTAGATGAATCATCCTTTTGTGACATTTCAATTTCTGAAATCTTTGACTCTAAAATAATGTTCATATCTTCAAACAAAACTTCATCAGCAATTAATTGTGAAGTTCCTACAACCTTTGTAAAGGCTCTTATTCTGTGTAATGTTGATAACACGTCTGCTGTTGGTTCATCTTGTTCGTGAAGTGTTTGAACAGCATCTTTGAGTTGAGATGACATTTCTCTGATTATCTCATTATATTGAAGAGTAGCCTCTGATCTGAGTGAGAAATCCTCATGATCCTTAATGAGATATTTGAATGTTTTAGCAATTTGAAGATATACTGTTGGGGAAATATTTGTGTTCAATGTTTCTTTAAGAGACTTTAAAAGTTTTGTGAAATGTGATTCAGCGTAATTATCCATATCTAAATGTTGTGGAATTTCAATCAACTCTGCAACAATTTCAGGTTCAGTTCTGTATTTATCAATCAATCCTGAAAGATATGGTGCTAAAATACCTGTAATTTCTTCAACTTCTTCTTCTACTTCTTTTGTTGTAAGTTTAGATTTTGTATTAACTTTAACATTATCTGACGAACTTGTCACACTCTTCAAAGAACCCTTAAGTTTTTGAATGGAGGCATTAAGTATCTTGATTAATGTTATAGCATCACCTTCTTCATCATTGATCATTTGACAAATTTGCTTGTAGCTTCTGAAAATATCACTATCAAGACTCCACCACGAATCTACAACATAATATGGAGCCATAGGAAACTCTTCAACAGATTCAGAAACAAATTCAAGAACATCTTTCAAACTGACATCAGACTTTTTGGATTTCTTGGACTTAGATGAATCTGATTTAGATTTGATATGTGTATACGCAAACTTGGCAGCATAAAATCTTACGCTAGAAACTTCACTGAACATAAGTTTGGAAACTTCCTCAATGTGATTAGCTTTCAAGTAACCATTTTGGAGGAGTGTTGTTAAAAGTTTGATTCCTTCAACAGAAACTGAAACTGAAACATCACGAGTGACTGAAATAATTCTTGGTAAAAATTGTAATGTAAAATTGTTCAATTGATCTTTCCAATCTTTCTTACTGTAAATTTTATCCAAAACTTGGACAGCAACTTTTCTTACACTTTCTTCAGTATCATTTAACATCCAACCAAAGAATTTTAACGAAGAATCATTTAAAAATTGTTCTGGAAGTCCAATAACCCATTCAACACCTTGTAAAAGAGAAAGAGCACGAATATCTGGGCATGAATCTCTGTATCTCTTAACAAAAATCTGCGAAAAGATATCTTTACATATCTTCTCCAGAGTGTTTGTCTTATCTTGATGTTCTTCACACAGATCCAACAATTCCGTTTCCTTCTTCTTATTCTTGGCTGCCTTTGCTTGTTTTTCAAGTTTAGCCAATGTTTTAGCCTCTGATCTTCTTGCATCAATGGCGCTAGAGGCAATACGATATGCTGCCAATGTTGATGTATGTCTCAAAGCTCTGCAAGTAGATGATGTCATTAAGAAAAGCCAATTCATAAACTTTTCTTGAATAATCTTTTCATAAAGTTGTGAACCTTCCTTTGTTACATCAACAAAAGTATCCCAAAAATCAGCAAAGTTCTTTCTAAAGTGTTTGAGAGATGGGTGATTGTTAATAATTGGATAAACTTGCAGACTAGTTGGTAATTCTTCAATCAAATCATCAATAACCTTTTCCATTTTTGATGATTCTACAACTTTAAGTTTTTTTGCAGCAAATTCTGTTTCACCCTTTGCACCTGATGAGTGTAATAAAAATGTCAACAATTCAGCAGTAGCCTTTGATTTATCAGAATCAAAGCTTTCTTGCCAGTTGTCAACAATTTCTCTGATAGCTGAGCTTTCTTTTCTAACAGAAGCAAACATAGAATCCTTGTCTTCATTTACAACAACCATATCCTCTTCAATAATATCATCCTTTTTCTTTGATCCTTTCTTTTTTCCTTTAGATTCACCACTAGTTTTTGTTTTCTTTGTTGTTGTTGATGTACCAGTTTTAAGTTTCTTCTTCCTAGGTGTTGTTGTTGTTGTATCCTTTTTCTTGGTTGTTGTCTTTTTTGTTGTAGACTTCTTTCTTGATGTTCTTGGTTTTGGAGGCTCGAAATCCTCATCCTTTTCATCATCGTGGAAGGCTTCGTCTTCTGATGATGATGGTTCTGATGGTTCCTCTGCTTCAGATTGTTCATCTTCGCTTTGTTCAGAGGCCACAGTTACTTGTTCATTTTCTGATTGATCAGATTCGTGTTCATCTTCACTCTCATCCTTTCTTTTTCTCTTTGTTGATGTTTTGCGCTTGGCAATACGTGGAGTTCTACCCATTTTGTTATTTTTTTTGATTGTGAATTTTATGTTGAGCGCCAAATATTGGCGCCAAAAGCCTTTCTATTATTTCCTTGATTTTAGCTTTTCGATTTATTGTACAAATTTGAATCAAGTTCAATTAAAAAACTCAAGCAAGATCTTTAACTACATATGTTACAGTGCTCTCTTTACCTTTATCTCCATATAATCTTTTAGCAAGACCTAAAGTAACTGGAGGTGAATTTAAAAAGTGTTCTCTCATCGTTATTCTGGTTGCCTCTTCTCTATCCTTCATTTCTTGTTCTTTTTTCAATTTTTCTCTTTCAATTAACGAAGGTGCATTAACCTCAGAGATAACTTTTTTAGTATTTCTCAAAGATTTCGAAAGTTTCTTTTCGTCATGTTCATTTGTTTCTTTTTTCGTAAAATAAGTACTTGTATTCCAGTTAGATGGTGGTTTGTTTGCATCTCGTTCTTTCTTTTCCTTGTCAGCTTTATAATAATCCTTACTAAGTGTCCTCAATAGAGCTCGTTCTTCCGAAGCTTCTTTTGTAAATGTTGAACAGTTCCATTCAGGTTTTCTTCAAAAGTTATCAAAATCAAAACAATCTACCAACCTATTTTCTCTATTCCTCAATTTAATTTCAATAGTTTCCAACTTTTTTTCTAATGCTCTTTCGGGAATATCGGAATGTGTAAAGGCAGTATTATCCACTCCATAATTCATTGCATTACTCCTTATTGATCCAGGTTTTCCAGCATATTTACTAACTTTTTCCAAATTAAACATTCGGGGACTTGCCATTATTTTGACTCTCAATCTCTGATGGAGTGTAGTTAGTTGTCGAGTTGCTTTCATTCATTTTTTTTAAACTTAATTCTCTAACCGCTATCAAACCAATACTGTAAACTATTTTGGAGGTAAATTCCAATCTTAAAAATAGTCAATCCACTTCATCATCATGGTTACCTGTTCTTTAATGATCTTCTCTCATGAAAAACAACAATAACAATAGGATTACATTGGTGGTGATGATCTGTCGTCATAATAAAGAAACATAAAAGTGCTCTCTGTTATCAATCTCTGTGAGTGATGACGAGTGCGCAACTTGTTTGTCTCAGACTTTGATAGCTTGTCCAACACAAAAAATGCCGCAATTTTCATTGAGAAAGAATGAAAAACTTTCTATCCAACCCAACAATACAAACAGTCTCTCATCGACATCATCAGCTGTTTTAAGCACATCTCCAAATAATCAAAATAATTCACCCATGAAGAGAGAATCAGTCTCCGAGGCTAGACTTTCTCCCGATAATATTGAAAAAATAGAAAAAATAGGTGAAGGTGCCTTTGGTGAAGTTTGGTATGTTTTTAATTGTTTGTTGTTTTTATTATAACTGTATTCACTATTACATTGTTTTAATTTTTTTTATTGAATAGGAAGGGAATCAACAAGCTAAATGGTGAGACAATCGCTATCAAAATTATTGATCTTGAAGAGGCTACGGATGAAATTGAGGATATTCAAAAAGAAGTTCACGTTCAGATGAGTACTAACTCTCCACATGTAGTTAAAGTTTATGGAGCTTTTATCAATGGATCTTTTTTGTGGATTATTATGGATCTTTTATTGTGTTCAATTCAAGATATTATGGAAATTCAATCAAAACAACGAGGTTCTTCTGAAACAAAGGGTCTTGAAGAAAAACATATTGCTGTAATCATGAGAGAAACATTAAAGGGATTGGAATACTTGCACGGAGAAGATAAAATTCACAGAGACATCAAAAGTGCTAATATTTTGATCTCCAAAGATTGTCAAATTAAAATCGGAGGTAAGTGTTGAAAAGATTTATTTGATAACAAGTATCATAAAAAGACTTTGGAGTTTCTGGACAATTAACAAACACCATGGGAAATAGAAAGAGATATACATTTGTTGGTACCCCATATGTATGTATTAGTAGATTATTTGTGTTTAACAATCGTTTAGTATATGGCCCCAGAAGTTATTGTTCGTCAAGGTTACACAGAAAAAGCAGATATTTGGTCTTTAGGAATAACAGCAATTGAAATGTACAAAGGAGTTCCTCCTTTAAGTCACTTAAAGCCATTACAAGCTTTATTAAAAATTCCAAAAGAACCAGCACCAAAATTAGATGATCCAAAAGTATCAAAATATTTTAAAGAGTTTGTGGAGTTATGTTTACAAAAAGAGCCAAGTTCAAGACCAAGCGCCAAAGATCTTCTTAAAACCAAATTTATTAAGAATGCAAAGAAGAGTTCTACTCTTCTTGATCTAGTTGAAGCCAAATTAAATTATGTAAAGCCAATTACGGATACTAAAAATCCTTCTGAATCATCATCAAGTGATGATTCATCAGACGATTCAGATGATGACGATGATGAAGAAGGAACAATTGTAAATAGAAAAGATAACGATGGATGGGATTTTGGAACTGTGAAAGAAAAGAAAAAACCAGTACAACAAATTTCAGACAATGCAAAAGAAGATGTCATTCCAACCAAACTTGCTCCATCAACTGGTAATAAGATGAAATTTGATTTTGGTGACGATTCAGATGATTCAGATTCAGATGATGATTCAGATGGTGGCAATAATGACGATGATGATTCAGATGATGATGAAGAAAATATGAATACCATCAAAAAGGCACCAAAACAATTACTTGAAGTAAGCAAACCTTCACCGAGTACACCACAAAATAATACCCTTTCGAATTCAACAGATCAAATCTATGCAGAAATTCTGTATGATATCCTTTATGATATTTCACAAGATGACCTTTCCGAAAGATTCCAATTAGCAGAAGCATCTCAAAAGGGTCTTTGTAAATCAGTAATTAATTCCATTCTTTTTAGAATTGACAAAAAGATTAAAGAAGGTGTTCTACCAGAAGAGGCTAGAAATCCTTCAAAAGATCTCAAATAATTTGTAAAATAAGAGATATCAATAATATTTAAAATGGAAATATATTTATTGTAAAGTACACTTCTTTTTCTTGGAATCTTTTTCATCAGCCCATTCCTCTTCTTTGAACCCTCCATTCTTCCAAGCATTGTAAATATTTTGAGCAAGTGTAGAAAATGCCTTGTCAATATTATCTCCTTTCTTGGCACTTGTTTCCATATATTCACAATTATATTTCTTAGCGAGTGAAGTTGCATCAGAAACAGCTCTTCTCTCAACCAAATCTGATTTGTTACCAATTAAAATCTTTACATGATTTTCTCTCAAAGTTTGTTGTTGTAATTCTCCTAACCAGTGAGATTCTAATATTCATTGAGAGATTAAAAATTATATAAAAATTGATAATGATGAAAATTGTTATTATAATATTCAAACAAAATGATGAAAATATCAAACACAATTAGAAGAATTAAAAATGGTTAAATATTCAATCGTTCTTCAGTAAATATTACAATCACATACCTAAATCTTGGAAAGATTCCTTATTAGTAATATCAAAAACAATAATAATAGCATGAGCTTCCGAATAAAAATGTTTAGCAACAGTTACGAATCTAGAAGAAATGTCAGCACTAAAATCCCAAATTTGTAATTTTACATTGGAATTATCATTTGTTCTAACTTCCTTTGATTTAAAATCAACACCAATTGATGATGGATAACTTTCCTTGAATTCTCCTTCACAAAACCTTGATACAAATGATGTTTTACCAACGGAAACGTCACCAATCACAATGATTTTAAATGTTGGTATACTAAAAAATTTGATAGTTTGTTTACTTATTCCTAATTGTGTTAAAAACATACCCACTATCTGATCCATATTCATCTGCTGACATTTTTTTCAACTTTTGTTTTGACGTTACATTGACAAGTTAAAGGGAAAATCAAAAGAACCGTTCATTGTTAAAACGAACACCGTCTAGAAAACAATACCTGTCAAGAAACAGTTCAATTTTTCTTTATTCTTTTCAAAGTTCAATACATTCTTTGCAATCTTCCATTTTCTGTTCGATTTGCTAATTTCGTTGTTGGAATTTTAAAAAAATTGAAACGTAATCAATTTTTATTTTTAAATTTAAAAAAAAATGGAAAAATTTAAAAAGTTTACCGATGATGCCACAGGCGTCAATCCTTTTGTTCCGTACCGAAAGAAAAATTCATTCCGAGACTTGACGACACTCCAAAAATTTGTTTTAAAGCCTCTTAGAGCATTGATCTCACCTGTTCCATTCCTGATCAAGTTTTTATTAATTTGCATCTTTTTAATACCATATTTTGCTGTACAACATGTTTCAATGATCATTCCGATTGGTTTTATTAAGAGATTGTTACATCGTTATGCAAGTATTTTGTGTTGTGGATGTGCTTTGTTTACCTTGTTGGGATTTAGTGGAGTTAAGAGTAAGCAAGTTGATTTGGAAGGAAAGGATAAGAAGACTGTCCCTTCTGATATTGCTCATGGAGATTTGATTGTTTCAAATTATGTTTCTTATATTGATTTTTTTTATTTGAATTTCAAATATTCTCCAGTTTTTGCAATGGCTGTCAAGAGTAAGATTGAAAATGGTGAAGTTATTTATGGATTGAAACCTTTTGGATTTTTTGGAGCTCTTTATCATACTTTGTTTGGACAATTTAGTGAAAGTACTGATAATCTTCATAAGGATTGTCAACCTCTTCATGAAATTGTTAGAGATGCTAAGAAATATTCCAGAGGACCAGTCGTTGTCTTCCCTGAAGCAGTTACTTCAAATGGTAGAGGTGTTTTAAAGTTCCACAATTATTTCTTTGATGATATGGAACAAGTATTGAGAGAAGATAAGAATTTCCAAGTTGTTATCATTGGATTCAAATATACTTATGAAGAATTCAGTCCAGCTTATCATCTTGGTAATTTTTGGCAACATATTTATGGAACTTTGGCTCAAGTTTACAATACATTGAATGTAGCTGAAATTTATTTGGGTGAAGAAGATAGAAAATCTCTTGAACAAAGTAAGTTTTTATTCTCTTATTATTTGAAACTCATTCAATTTTACTAGACTTTACTCTTTCTGCTATTAGAAAGCTTGTTTTACCAAAAGTTCTTGGAATAGTTTCAGTCAACTCTTCAGTTAGTGAAAGACAAAAGTTCTTGAAGGAATGGAATTCTATGAACAGTCATGAAAAGCAAGAATAAACCAATTTAAAATATTTATTTTTTTATAAATACTGAATGAGCAAGTGTAGTGCCAAAACAATGGACCATACTACTTCATCTTCCAACCTAGCGCTTCTTGTTATTTGCAAATTACTTTTCTTGTATGACGAATGTAGACGAAACTCTAGTAATTTACAATAGTTATTACAGCCGCCAGTATGCAACTTGTGAAGCAGTTGGATTAAGAATGATGGATTGATTAGTAAATGCTTCAAGTTAATGTAAAAATTATAAACATTTTAATATCTCAGTTAACAAGAGCCAATTGGAAATGGATTATTCAACTTTTTCAAATGCAAGGAATAGTCTATCATTAAGCTCGTGCACATTACTGAAAAGGTGGGTGAAGTGAATCAGTTTTTGCAACCTATTGTCTTAAAGTTGAGTCATTATCAAGGTTGTTGAATCATAGATTTGTAAACTTCTTTTGACAGAAATTAATCTTCCAATTGCATAAGAGTTGAAGTTTTGGAATAGAGTGGTGAATACTTGAAGAGAACATTTTCCAATTCTCTAACAGAGTCATCAAGCTCAACAGAAGAACCAATAAGAATATTGCTCTAATAAAACATTAGAAAATATGATATTAGATTATTACTTACCAAATCATATGAAAGAGTGCTAGATGGATGTTGCTTCAATGTATTAGGATCAACACCTAATTCTATCAATTTAAGTGACATGTTTTCAATATACTTTTTACAATCAGTTAGCTCCTTACTAGCAAATTGTGCTTTTTTCAATTGATCTTCCTTATCAACCATTTCCTTTTCCCTCTCAATCATTTGAGCTTTCAACTTTTGTAATTGTTGTTTCAAATCTTCATTTTCCTTCTTTAATTCAGCATTTTCCTTCACCAAAGCTTCATCAAGTGGATTAGTTTTACAAATTGTTTCCTCTGGAGAAAGAACATCTTCCTTTTGTGAACTAGATGTACCAAGAATATTGTGGAATGTATTGATCGATCTAGGTGGAAGCATTGTTTGAGCAACTCTCTTTCTATTTTGTTGAGAGAAGGAACCAGACAATGAATTTCTATTGTTGTTATTATTACTAGCACTATTACTCGTGTTGTTGAGAATATTCCCAACAACAATAGAAGATGATACACCTGACCCACTCGTATTCAAAGTAGTAGTATTATTATTAATAGCACCTGAAACACTACTATTCATCAAACCAGAACTATTATTCGATCCTACACCATGTTGATGATGAATCAATTGGGAAACTCCCAAACCTGGAGTAAATCCACCTGGTCTTGATGGAGCACCAAAACTTTCTCTTCTATTGGCATGAGAGAATAACAAGGTGGACGATCCATGTGGTTGTTGTGGTCCTGAAGTACCATTATTTGTAGCCTTTGAAAAGGAATTTGTTGTACTTCCTATGAGTGATGATGAATTATTGGCCATCATGGCAGAGTTGGAGTAGAAGGAGGAGCGACGATTGGTAGAGGCACCACTGCTACTGCTGCTGCTGATAGTATTGTTTGCTCCTGATCCAATAGAAAGGCTTGAGGCTGGAACAAATCTGTTGGTAAAGTTATGTTGGGACATTTTTTTTTAAAATGTTTTTAAACGTAACGTTTGGATTTCAAAATTTTGGCGGGAAGTTAGATTCCATCACCAATATCAAATAGTTTAGACTCAAAGTACTTGTTGGAAGAATAATAATTATTGAGACATTTTCTGGACAAAGTCAGCAATAACACTAGCAGATGAAATTACTCCTAAAATCAAGCAAATACAAGCAACCACAATAGCAAAAGCTCTCTTCTTCTTATTGGTCTCAAGAATTGCATAGAATACACATGGGAAAATAAACATGACCATCATTCCAACACTGGCACCAGTTATTCCAAATATTGTAACCAAATCGAAAGGAATTAATAGAACTAGTAAGGTTAAGGTTGCAAACACAACTGCCTCAATAATCCATCTAATATAAGAAAATGGTCTATTTGGGAATAATAGCTGTTCAACATTTTGTCTTGCAGGGAAATGAACAAGCGGATAGGAAATGACAGAAACAATAATCATTGCTAATTTGGCGAATATTACCATTACATTGTGTTTTCTAAATGAGTTTAGAATATTCTCCTTAATGCTATTATCTCCAAATTGAATATAACCAAATATTCCAGTAATTAGATAGAAAATCAAACAGAGAACTGAAGCTCCATTAATGACATGAGTCATAGTTCTCTGATTCTTATTTTTCAATTCGTAATAAATTGGAATCAATGTAACAGTATTACCAAATGAAAAGAATAAAACTGGAAAAGCAACAAAAACCTGTGAAAAACTTTCCCATGATTGAAATAAAGTAATACTATGGTCAATTCTCTTATCAAGTGTTGTAACTTTTGAAAAGAAACCATACATTATGACAAATAAAGTATACAATACACAAACTATTGTGAAATAGGAAGTAAAAAACAAAAATCCAATTCTTTTGAAACAACTCAAAGGTAACATGACAGTTATCATTAATAAAAAGCTATTAAAGTTTTTAGAGAATAGAATGTTATCATAATTAACATTTTCTCCTTGCCAATAATAATCAGAATAAATAGTTTTAAATAAACTTGATGAATAATCTCCAACAATTGAAGTATATCCAAGCATAACTCCAAAACAAAATACAATCATTGAAATATCAATTATAAAGCCAGCAATCTTGTTTCCCTTAAAAGCTTTCATACCAATTTCCTTATAGGTTGGTTGTTTTGAGATTTCACAAGCCCTCAACAGAAACTGAGATGTCAATGTTGAAATGACACAAACAAATAGCAAAATGAAACATCCCAATAAAATTCCACTTTGATGGAATGCAAAAGGTATTGCTAAAACGCCTGCTCCAATTGTACAATTACTAATATTAAATACAACATCAAGTGCTGATGATTTACCAGGAGGTGGTAAATTTTGATGTAAAAGTGATTCTATTTCTTCCGTGGTGGCAGGATTTCCTTCATCGGGTGTTTTTTGATGATTTAATGATGATAGATTTGGTGTGTTGGTGTGAAAGGATTGTAACTCATCAATATTGTGTGAAAGGAGAGATGTGTTTTCCTCTTGTTGCATTTTTTAATGATGTGAAGATAGATTTTTACAAGATCTTCTTGTCTCATAATAATTGGAATAGTTTAAAATTGTTGCCACAACAGAAAAAGTTTGAAAAAAATATCAATTTATCAATAGAACTTAATATCTTCTTCTCTCAACAAGTTCAACATCCATTGGTTGAACTTGATTTCTTCTCACAACAACTGGTCGATTGGTTACAATTTCCTCAAGAACCCTTGGGCGAGATGCTATGACAACTTCAGGTCTAGGTGTATCAAAAACAACTGTTTGTCCTCCTTGGTGATGATGAGTTTTGGTAACATAGGTTGTTTCCTTTGTGTACATTCTTGGGCTTTGCATAACAACTGTCTTTGTGTTATTTGTAACTAAGAGAGGGTCTGTAGTTATAATAGTTCTTGTAACCTTATTGTTATCATTCCTTAGTTGAACTCTTTCTGTTGTAACAAAGTCATTTGTACCTGGTTTTTCCAAAAACATTGCTCTAACATCATGCTTAACACGAACTATCTTTGCCTCGCTATGACGTTCAGAGAATCTTCTTCTTCCTATCACAACACAACGGCAACAACAGCAACAGAATGAGAATATTGTGACTATAGCACTACCTATTACAATAATAGAAGCTCCCATAATCACAAAGATTGTAAGGGAATATTTTGTAATTGTTGTGGTTTCCATTACAAAGACATTACCCAGGGTAGAACAACTACATTTTGTGTGGGTTGCATTCATTTCAACAAGCTTACATTTGGTAATTGCTTCTGGTGAATCCTTAAAAGAGTTACATGTATATTCAGTTACAGATTCAACATAATCAAAAGTTCCTTGATCAAATATCTTAAAGGTAGTTGTCTTGTTGATTGGAAGAATATAGATGATACCATTAAAATCAACAGGAGCAGTCAACCCATTAAATGATAAGGACATAATAGGAGAAACCAGTGAGGAACTTGCTTGAATGTTTTCTTTAGTTGATTTTTGCAATCCAATAGTTGGTCCTAATTGGAAAACGTCATCTGACACAGTCATAACAAAACCAAATGGTTGTCTGTAAAGTTTTGTTGATTTTGCATTTGAGAAAAACAGCCCTTCAACAATAATTTGGCATATTCTTGAGTTATCTGACACAATTGGAGGGAAATCGTAAATTGAATACTTATTCATTGTATATGAAAAATATTGAGTTTTGAATACGCTAGAAGAACTTCCATAAGAAATGGTTCTTGACATGAGAGTTGTTGTTAAAGTGAGGAGAATAAGCAACTTTTTTGAGTTTTCTGTTTGGTCTGTGAACATTTGCTTTTCAACGACGTAAATATAAGTGTTTTGAATAATGTTTTTCAAAAGAATTTCTACTCCGTTTGGCAAGTTAAAGTCATCAATAGCAACTACACTTGTAAGGTATAGGTTCAGAGTGTCAAGGGCTTGTCCAACAGTCTTCTTCTCTAGATACTCATAATTTTCCAAAACAGAATCTATTGAGAAAACTAAAAGAGTAAAATACTCATCATTGATGATGTCATAAGATGAATTAGAAAGCTTAATAATGTTTGTAAAGGCTGTTAATTTTACAGACTGGCTTTGACTGTAACCAAATATTGGAACCTCACAGTTAGTACCAACATAACCGTCTGCACATTTACAAACTCCAGATACTTCAACACCATGAGAGCAAACAATATCTCTTCTTGAAGTTGAAGCAAGAACCTTAATTGCTTCTCTAACTAGCACTGTATCGGTTCTTAGGAAAGTTGCTGTCATGTAGAAACTCTTACTGATTTGTCCGTCTTTCAAGTATTGATTTACGGTATCAGTCCAAGACTTTACCAAGGTTTGAATTTCAGACAAGCTTGTTGTTGATTGTTTGTTGACTGTTATTTTCTTTGTCATGTTAACCGATCCTCCGGTCACAGTATCAATTATGTCAATATAACAAGTAAGGGTATTTCCATTCAATGGAGCTGGTAAAGTAGATGAAAATACTTCTCCGAGTTTATACAGAGACACCTTCATTCCAGACCTGTCATCTATAAATCCATAATTATAGTCAACATTGTTGTCGGTTGTTTTGCATTGAGTACAACCGAAAGAAAACTGTGTTTCCATAGCAATACCAACTGATGGAGTAATATCACATGCACAAAGGGATGGACGTTTAGCCACTTGCACAACTATTGTGGTTGTACTTGTTCCTTGTGTGCTTGAATCTGAAACAACTGCTGTGATTGTGTTTGTTGTACCATCCACAAGATTTGAGGTGTCAAACATAACCTGATTAATTTGTCTTCCCCAGTTTGATTGAATTATTGTCTTAGTAGTTGAAATCATTTCATTGTTTAATCTCCAAGAAACAAACACAGATGTTGAAGAGGAAGAAACCAATGAATGGATTGTAATTGGAGAGCCTGGTTTTAAGTAAGCTGTGTTTGGTTGTTGACTGATTACGTTGAAAGAAGGAGCAACAGCACCAAATCGAACAATTGAAGACTTTTGTACAAATCTACCATCAGATTTTTCAATTCTTAATTGAATTGTGACCATTGCTGGCACAGGATCAAAATAATTGGATGTCAAGTAAAGACTAGAAGATTTTTGATTGGATTGGGTAGTTAAAAATGTATATAATCTTGGTCCTTGATAATCCAAGCTAGACCAAGTCCATGTTTCACTTTTTGAGATTAAAGCAGATTCTGGGTCTGAATAAATAACCTCAACAGTCGAGTGATCAGTCTTTGCTTCAGCTTGATAAAGTTCTAAACTCAAAGGAGGTGATTGTGTAATTAAAACAAAATCACTAGAACCTTGATAATTTGCATCAGTATAATAAGCGGATACCTTAAATGTATAGTTATTGTTTCCAAATGTTTTGAGTTTTGGGATGTATAGATTGTTATAGGAGTCCACTGAGTACTCAATAGATGGTCCGCTTAGTTGTTCCCAACGTACTATTGTATTATTTGAGTCTCTACAAGGAGATTCGATTACTTTTTTGATTGTATATGGGAATTGATTAGTATACCTTAGCTGGGTATTTCCTTTGTAAAAAGTTATTACTGGAACAGGTTTTGGAGCTTTAGTGAATGTTCCTGTGTGTACTACTGCACTGGAAAGATGTAAGAATTCACCTTGAATTTTCAGAGATACTTGGTAACTTCCAGAACTTAATGAAGCTGGAAGAGTAATTTTTGGTTGATTTGCAAAGTTTGTCGATAAAACCTGCATTGTAGCTGCATTAAGCAAAGTCCAGTAATATGTAAGACTACCTCCATATGGTGCAGTACTTCCTGAACCATCAATTACAATTTCTTCGCAAGAGCTGTATGTTGAAGTAAACGCCATTGAAATCTTGGCTACTGGACCAGAAAATCCTTGTGGTAGATTGATAATCATTGAAAGATAATCTGCAGAACCTGCACTCTGATCAAATACATGAGTGTTAATACGTAAGTTAGACGCACCAGCATTAAATACATAATCATTAGACCCAAAAGTAATCATAAACAAGTAGCTAGCCCTATCTACATAGCTACATTGTATTTTGCTTGCATCTCCAAACATGTTACTACTGATATCATCAGGATGTAATAGTTTGTTGCAGCTTATTTGATTACTTGTGTAAGAGTTTGGTGCATAAAGATAAAACGTAACTCCTGTGAAATCATTGGATATGTAAGCAGGTCCAACAACCTTTGTAGCACAATTATTACCATGGAATCCATCTCTACAAGTGTTACAACTAGAACCTGACCAAAAACCAGTATCAAAGTTTGAATAGCAAGTACAAGCTCCATTGGAATTACATTCTCCATGATTGGAACAATTAAGGGATTTACTACACACTATTGTGGTATACACGACAACAGTTGTTGTAGTTGTTGTCACTGTGGTAGTAGAATTTGAGGTTGCATTATAGTAGGTAATAATAGTGACATTGACTCTAGTTGTGTTGAAAGTAATTGGATTAGATCCTGTAGGGTTTGGTGTAAATATAATTGCACCATCATCAATTACTACATCTGTTTGATTTTGACGAATATATATAGTTTCATTGATATATTCTGTGGTGTTATATTCAATCCATATGGTTTCATTCTCATAGATTGTGATATTTTCGTAGATTATTGTAGTTGTCAACTGACCACAATCACTTCCTTGATACCCATCAAAACATCTACAGCGATTGTAATCTATACAGTCACCATTTCCAGAACAAGTCGTGGAATTATCTGATGGAATATCGAAACATGTAGTAAGCTCACAATTGTCTCCATGATAATGAGATGAGCATGAGCAACTGTTAGGGGCAATACATGTACCATGAGAACTGCATGCTTTGTTGTAGGCAAGCACTCCATTACAAATGGGTACTGAGCAATCAAATCCATATCCATCAGGGCAACTGCACACTCCTTTCGATGTACAATTTCCAACACCTGAGCAAATGCGACTGGTATCATTTCCAATTCCATAGCAAGGTGGGAGAGAAATTGAACAATTCAATCCCAGATGACCTTCTTTGCATTCACATGTATCTGGTCCTGTACAATTACCGTTGCCAGAACATACGCTAGCAGAGTTTTGAAGCACTCCATAACACAAAGGTAATGAACAATCTTGTCCATATCCCAATGGACAAAAACAGGCATTGTCATCGTAACATAAACCTACACCAGCACAAACAGATGTTTCATTGGAAAGGATTCCATAACAAGAAGAAAGAGAGCACTCAGAGTTAGTTAATGACTGATATGGATCAAATGTGGAGACAGGTCCAAAGGTTACATTTGTAAAAGTCGCAGAGGTATTATTAATGAACAATGTTCCATCAATGTTAGCATTAGTGATATCGACCTTTCCAGCAGTTTTCAGAATTCCCTTAAAATTGTTAGTTATCTTTGTATTACCATTCACAAGCCAGTAAATATTATTCTCTGAGGCACATTTGGAGAGAGCAAAGGTTATTTCATTGGTAATGAAATTACCCTTAATCTTGAAAACTACTCGTTGAGAGCCCTTAATAACCACTGTTGATGGACCAGTCCAACCAGCCTCAAAACAACCAACACCTCCATAACGAACCTCAATTCTACCAATACGGGGAGATGATCTCAGAGTAAAATCGCAAGGAAGGTTGTCTAATTGTTTAAAGTATTGTTCTGCTTGGTTAATGTAATGAGAAGCATAGACATCTCCATCATGTGTAATACCTGATGTTATATTGAAATTAGTATAGAGTTGAGACGATGAGGGAGTGTTTGCAACATTTCCAAATAAATTAATTATTTTGTTGGATGATATTGAAGAATTTCTTGATAAGACAGAGTATCCTGCAAATAAATTCTGAATAGTTCTTGGTGTATCGCAAGCAGCTCCATCAAAACCAACATAACACGAACAAACATTATTGGAAATACAAATTCCATTTCCTGAGCAAACATTACTCAAGTTGCTATCAATGTTATTGCACGTTATTGTTGATTCCGTAGCCTCAATAAAGTATATTATCAACATTAAAATAAGAACACAATATACCATTGAAGACGACCACATCTTCCGTGTGTTCGCTAAAAATAGTGTGTTGGTATTGTTGTTATTCAAAGCGTTGTTGGTCATTCCAAAAAGCCTTTTTTTAAATCTTAATAATACTGCGTCCCGTATAAAATTTTTGATGGTCAGTTTGTGAAAACTCAATATCAAATTTTGAAAAATAAACAATTTGATGTTGAGTTGTGATCCGAATTAAATTTTTCGAGGATCAAATTGATTTGATAGAGAGTTTTGATCCAATAGCTGAATCAAAATTCGACTCTGAAAAATTCCCTGATTCATTGCTACTGAAAACATGCTGAATAACAACTTTGAATCCTTACTCTTGTGGATAGAATAAGAGCTTTATTCAAGAGTAAGATTACAATCCTACTACAGCACAGTATGAAGATGAATGATAATTAGACACACTTACCTGTACGTATTTTGAAACCTTCTCAGTTTCAGCTATGTATGTTGCTATTCAAGCTGTCTTGTCCTTGTATGCTTCTAGTTGAACTACTGGTGTTGTTTTGGACTCTGGTGATGGTGCCTGCCACTGTTCCAATTTATGAAGGTTATGCTTTGCCACACTCTTCATCCAAACATTCATCATCATCCTCAAAATGACCATTATCAACAGTTATGGATCAACAACAGTAAGATCTCCACACGTTATCATCTTCATCAACATTGATTGCAGCATTGCCAAATACAATTCCGACACTTCTTGGTAGTTGCCAGCTAGCAGGTTGGGACAAGTGGCCTTAATAGATTTAAGAATGTTGTCAGATCCCGCCAATTCCCTTTGTAAAATCAAAGGCTATTTTTACCTTAAAAAAATGGCATACTACTTTGTATTCGAGGAGGTATCGTACAAGGAAATCATTGCGTAACAGGTTGCTCAACTATAGTATTTACATTGGACAATCAAGGATTGGTAAATCGATATAGTAGTTTTGAACTAATATGAATTGGATGAATCGACTAGTATGTATTTATTTAAGCCTGTGATATTCCGATCATCATCATTATTATAGTTGATCAACAGGACGATTCATCATCAACAACAAAAACAAGAACAGCTTCCGAATCAGATCAAACCACAGAGGGTAGGAAGTTGCAACTCTGCTATCAAAGGTCCTGGTGTTTTTTGCTTGCTAACTTTGACGACACGTTTGTACCCTCATTGTTGCACAAATACCACTCTCAATTGCTTAAATGTAAGTATCACGAATAATTAATTATTAAGACTTGTTCTCTTTTCAGAAATACATCTCTTCAATATTAACACTGTAAGTAGTAAATGAGAATATCATCATGACTAATATATCAGAATTTAAACGATCTATTTTAATTGGTAAAGTGTAGATTTATTTCAATCAGAATGTAGGTTTTCCTGTACAATTTCCTAATAACAATAATATAACAATAACAGTATATTGACCATGATAAATGTGTGGAACTCTTTTGTAAGTATAATATCACTCAACATTTAATAATCAAAGTGGTCGCAGCAGTTTAAGTATTTCAGATTATGTAACAATGTAATGACTTGATTCATGTAAGGTAGGTTTATCATTAGTGCAATGTTAATCATTCACATTTGAATTGTATTAATAACAATCAGAAGGATCAATGCATTGACAATATATAATGACTAGTAAGTAATTGTTGTATTTTGTAAAGTAATTGTTCTTGTATTAAATCAAGAGAAGAATCATTATTGGATAGATCATCTCCAACAAGTGAATGGTCATTGTAAGTCAACTTTTCAATTTACTAATTGTTAATTACATTCTCAAGTTTGATTGGAAATCATTAAATGAATAGGATTGGATTGATTCATTTTGGATATGAACGAATCTCATTATTGGACATGATTCATATGGTTTATTTTCATTAGAACTCAATCCTATAGAATCATTTCATAGAATGCGAAAAGTCTGAATCATATTGTTTAATCATTAGATAGAATCACTTCATGATGTGAAGAGTAGTAATTTCTCCTTACCTCAACTTGTAAATTTTCGACTTGTTAATTTTGACAAGTCAAAATTGAATAAATTATCAATTATTTACAACAATTTTGGTATCAAGTTTTGATGTCTACATTGGTACTCAGTTTTGATCCTTTTATTTTTTTATTTTGAATCACAGGTCCAGAATCTGTACATCACTTAGCAAACTCAATATCAAAACCAATGATCCCAGATATCAAACTTCAATAAAACCCATAACCAAAAAGCTTCGCGATTTTGATCAAACATTGATCTGGAAATTTTATACGGGAGGTAAAGGGCAACAAGAAAAATTCTACCCTTCATGGATTTAATAAGGAACAGCTACTTCTCCTTTAAGACGCTCAACACAAACAGTAAGGCATACCATAAAAAAATGTTGGTTTCTAACGTTGTGAATTTTCTGCTACCTTAAAATCTTCCCCAAATGGAATTTGCTTCATCACAACAACACTATTTTCGCCCTCCGGTCCCTACACCATATTTCATCCCGAAATTGAATGAGAAAGGATCAAATTGGGCCCTATCAAACATGCTAAATATTAATCATTATCAATACCAAATGAGAACGAAATATTAATATTTTTAAAGTACTAATTTCAATTATTATTGATTTCATAAAATTGAAAAGATAACCACAAAATGACATTCCCTTCTTAATAATTCACACATTTTTTGTTCACAATTTTACCTTCCAGCACAAAACAATCAACGAACAGTAGTTGTCAAAACATTCATCTGTCATTCCCAAGTTAACCTATCACAAAAAAAAATCCCTTCCCTTCTTCCTTCCCACCAAATTTCTACTCTGCGCTTTTCGCAACAAGAAGATCCCATCAAATTGTACATCAATATTATTCAATAATCTTCCATCTACACAATGGACAATACCAAGCAACGATTGAAAGTACTCAACTCTTACATGGTTGAGTCTAATCAGCCAACCATTGAAGCAGCATCAGATTATATTAGTTACGAAACTGGTGCTTTTACAAGTCCACTCAATTTTGCTGATCGTTGTGGTTATACTACTCGTTTTGCTAAAGAAGCTGAACATATTCAAATTTTGGTAGGTTTGTTCTCATGATTAGACTAATCTCACACTGCTTCTATTTAATATTACATTCACAATTATGATCTTTATTTTACTATTTATTATATAATAATCACAAATTGTTGATGACAAATATTATTCGATTCCACCATTTCGAATAACAACAACAAAACCATCAAATATCGCAACTATAATAATAACATCACTATCACTAACAATAACACTTACAATAATAATAGCAAGAAATAATAGAAACTGGTGAATACTTTATTCAAACCTTGTACACTTATCGTTCAATTTCACGTGCTCTTCCTCAAATTCAAGCAGATTCTGAAAACAAGGCTGAATTATATAGAAAGTTTTTCGATGTTTTGGAACCAGAAATTAAAAAGATTCGTGATTTGATGGCTTTTCACACAAATACCGTCAAAACACTCACAAAGATTATGATTGAAATGGCTGCTAATGAAAAGAGAAAGGAAATTCCTAGTGAAACCATGTTTGATTATATGATTAGTGTTTTAGATACAATCCTCAAGTTGGATGCTCTCAAAAACATGAAAGCAGCCATTAACAACGACATGTCAACTGTTAGACGTGCTGCTCAATTCATGGACAAGGAAGGTTTAACACAAGAACAATTGAATTTCTTAGATACAAAGAGTGAAGAATATGGTCTTCTTTATAATTTCTTATCAAACAATAATACTATCATTTCTGGTCTCAAAGATTCTCTGATAAAGAATGCTGGATATGAAGATATTATCATTCTATTGATGGAAAGATGCTCTGAAAATTTTGAAGATCATCAATATTTGTTCTGTGATCAAAAACACACATTAATTCGTGTTTTGGTATTTGGAATGTATCTCATTGATAACAAGGATACTTCAAAGAATAACTATTTGAGAAAAGTTGGATCCAACAGTATGGGTAGATTTAACAAGATTTTCAAATCATATCCAAATATTCCATTATATGGTGATATGACATTCTCTATCAAGACAGTTTTAAAGAATTGTCCAAATTTACAAGAAAAGGATTGGTCTCTCTCTCAAAAGGAAGAAGAACAATTACAAAAACAATTCCTTCTTGTTAATCAAATTCCAAAGATGAGATTTGATTTCCAAAATTTCACTAAAAATTATAAACTTCATATCAATCGTATGAAGAAATTGATCAAGGATTCTCCAACAAGTCAAGAATTGTTAACAATTATTCCTCAACCAATGCGTGAAAAAGCTAAAGATATGACTGAACAAGGTATGAAATTAATTGCCTCTTGGACAACCGCTATCTTGGAACAATGTGCTTGGAAATACTCACATCCAATTGATGATGAACAAGCAAGAACTTTAAAGCAACGTTATGAAGCTGTTGATGCTAGTCAAAAGGTTGATATACTTGAATATGAACGTGTGGTTCGTTTCAACTATGACAAGGATGAAAGATCAGCTCTAGTTGATGCCATTTCAATGATCAAGGGTCTCGAAAATATCATGTTACAACAAAATGCATTGATGGCTCCTTTGATTCGTTCAGAAATTCACTACCAATTGCAACAGTTCATCCAAGTTGACTTACAAGATATGCTCTATCACACAAAGAACAAGCAAAGACCAATCTTCCCAACTGTTTTGGAATTGAGAAACTTGGCTGGTGACTGGCTCAATGAACCACCTCAAGACATTACCAAACCAACAAAGAAGAAGGGTGAAGCTGCCTTGGAATATCCAAAGAGAATTGTTGGTCCATCTTTCACACAACTTCACATGATTCGTTCAATCATTTCCACTTTGTACAGTGAAAGAAGTCCAGGTATGCAAAAATCAGGTATTTTCTCCAAGAAAGACTTTAATGATTCCCATGTCGAATCTTTCAAGGAATTCTACAATAAGACCTACACTTGGAATTACTTGTTGGCCTACTCTACCACATTGAGACGTGCTGCTGATTTGGCTGATTTGTGGTATCGTGAATTCTATTTGGAAATTTCCAAGAAGATTCAGTTCCCTATTGAAATGTCATTGCCATGGATTCTTACTGAAGAAATTTTGAAGAGAACTAACAGTGCCTTGATGGAATCTATCATTTATCCAATTAACATTTACAATGATGCCGCTTATAGAGCATTGTTTGTTTTGAAGCGTAGATTCTTATATGATGAAATTGAAGCTGAAGTTAACTTGGTCTTTGATCAATTGATCTTTAAATTGAGTGAATCTATCTACAAACACTACAGATCTGTTGCTCTTGGTATTTTACTTGACAACAAGTTGCGTGTTCCATTAGAAAAGGATCAATTCGTAAAGACAAACTTTAACTTTACCAAGAGCAAGTTTGACGTTTTGCTCTTACAGAAACACATTAACATTCTTGGTCGATATGTTGACTTGAACTATATTATTACCCAACGTATGAACGTAAACATCAGAGAAAACATTTTGGCTCTCATCAAGAAATTCGAATCCCAAGAATTGAATGGTATCGTTGAATTGGAAATCATGTTGGAAAGTGTTAAAATCACTCACCAACTTTTATCTAAACACCTTGCTTTGGACTCTTTCGAATCTGTCTTTGCTGAAGTCAACGATTGTACCAGTATGGTTTCATTCGAAAGTCGTATTGCCAGACACATTATTGAAGAATTGATTATGGACTTCTTCCCTAACTTCTGTTTCAACACTGTCACCCATCGTTTCGTACGTAGTAAATATACATACAGTGAAATTGACTACAAGAGAGAAAGTTACAAGCCTCGTGCTCTCCATCAATTTGTAACAGCTGGTTTCTCTGAAGCATTCACACCAATTTTAGATCAATATAAGGAATTCTTCGGTCGTCCACACATTGAAACTTTGATCAGATTGGTTGGTCAAGAATCTCTTGCCCTCATTATTGAAACTGTTATTACTGATATTGAAGATAAGTTGTACAATCAAATGTCTCCATACATTGGTGCTATGATGGAAGCCATTGCACCAAAGATTACACTCCAACCTGCTGCTTACAAATTAATAGGTGTCTATTCATATTTCATTGCTCAATTCAGAGATTTCCTTGATTATGATGATTTGAAGGGAGGTGTATTCCACGCCTTTAGAAGTATTGGTAATTGTATCTGTTTCCTTCTCTTACTCGATTCTAGTATGATGCCTCAAAATATTTCAACCTATATTGCTTCTGCTCCATTCTTGGGTATTAAGCCGCTCACTAAGACTGCCAAACAAAAGAGAGTTGAAAAGTTACAAGAAGAAATTGAAAATGAAGCTGAATTCCAAGAACAACAGCAACAACACCAAAAGAATAGTCTTGCACGTAAATCATCTCGTTATGGTTTAACAAGTGAACACATGATGTCAGAAGATTTACTCTTGTTGCAAAAACTTTCTGATTATTATATTAGAAAGGATGTTGAACAAACACCACTTGCCACAACTATTGCTTCATTCGTCAATGATCCACAAGTTCAACAAAGTATTCACGCTCCAGAATTGTCCAAGAAGCTTACTGAACAAGCTTCTAGAGCTATGAGAATGTATCAACCTCCACGTGAACTATTGTCACTCTTCAAACAATTCTTGGAAAGAATGAGTGGTTTCCTTGCTAACGTTAGAGAATCATGGAAAGGTACTTCACCACCAGATCGTTTGCAAAAGTTGGACTCTTCAAAGGAATTCTATCGTTTGTGGGGTGTTTTGCAATTTGTTTTCTGTATTCCACCTGAAGTTGCCAATGAACCATCTGATTTTGAAGTCTTTGGAGATGGTTTCTTCTGGGGAGGTTCTACAATTGTCTATCTCTTCCAACAACAACTCAGATTTGATGCTTTCAACTTTTCTGATCACGTTTTGAATATTTCCAATATTTCAAAGGAAGGTTTTGAAAAATTGAAACCATTCCTCAATAATGCACACATTGTTCGTTCCATTAACAATCGTGTATTCAATTGCTTACGTAATTACTATCCACTTGCAGACAATACTCCAGATGATTACGCACCACCAGCCGATGAAGATTTCACAAAGGTCAAAATTGTTGCCACTGTCACAACCAATGAACAATCATTTTCTAATTTCAGAAGTCGTGGATCAGTATTTGGTGGTTCTTCACAACATACTCCAACTTCACAACCTCCATCTATGGATACATACAGTAGCAGTCCTAGCTCATATTCTTCATCCCCAACAATGGGAGGAAATATGATGAATACTCCACCTCCACCTCCACCATCAGGTGGTTCTATGCCTCCACCTCCACCTTCATTTGGTGGAGCAAGCAGTGTTCCTCCACCTCCACCTTCCTCACCAATGTCAGGAGGTGTTCCTCCTCCACCTTCATTTGGTGGTGGTAGTGTTCCTCCACCTCCACCAAGATTCTAATTCTTTGGAAGCATGAAGTGGATCTAGAGGAATTGTAATAATAAAAACCATGTCTTGAAAATATGAAACCTTAATAATTGTCAATCCAGTGTTAACAAAGACCACCATTTCAGGAGTATAATTGTCAGGGTTTATTTGTGTTTCAAGAATGCTTGCAAATGAGAAAGCTTTTTTACAGTACTGTTGAGAATCATAAAAAAGTGGATTCATTGTCTTGATTACAATAAGATAGATGTGTAGTTTCATGATTAGTAGCATCTAGCCCAAACAAGGATGCAATGGTTGTTCTATCAAGCTGGTCAACTGATTGTAATGGAATACTGGAGAGGAAACTTGCAATATTTAGAATATCTGAATGATTGCCTGGATGAAAAGGTGGATTGGTTGATGAAGTATTATTTATGTCCATTGCTTTAACTGGTATCTTGTGGCGTGTGATTACTTTATCTTGGTTTCTAATAGTTTCGTCTTTTTGATCTTGGATAACTTTGTAAATAAACACATCACCCTGTGGATCTTCATTATGGAACACAAAGTAATTCTTCAGCAATTTGTTGTTTTGTAAGTCTTTTCTCAATCTTTTTTTAAGTTTTGGTTCAACATTCTTTCCCTCCACTTTAGACTTCACCTTTTGAGTTTCGTCTATGAAGGAAACTGTTCTGCTGGTTGTTTTGGTCCAATTTTTCATTTATCTTGTTTTTTCTATTTGTTTTTCGCTATTCAGACAGCTAATGTTTAGTTGCAGAATTTAACTTCATCAATCCAATAAACGAAAGTAAAAACATTCGAAGGGGCAGGATAAATGGTGCTTTGGTATTCGTTTGACCTATATTTGCGACACTTTTTCACAATCAAAACTATTTCAAACAAAACGAATCATTATCTCAGCAATCCAAGATCAATTTCATGTAGGTCTGAGATTAATTTACACAACACTAATTGGAAAATCGAGACCATTTTTAAAAACCAGTTCTTTTAAAAGTAACACCTGCTCTTTCACTTACACACCGCTTCACGCTGTTTACAACAAGTGACAGCAACCAAGTAAGTAAATGTATAATCCTTGATGGCTTAATAATATAATTATTCACTTTGTGCAAAAAAACATCTAAAAATTCTACTCTCGTTATGATTCAATGTTGGTAAATCAGTTGTGTTAATTGATTGGAAAATAAAGATCTTGAGTCATGCTATGAAACTAGTTTTCGTTCCAATTTAGCACAGAATTATTACAAATTGAGATGATTTTGGCTCCTCTGATTTGAAAAGACAGTTTCACATATGAAATTGTAATCATCATTTCGAGCTCAAATATGAAAACATACATATCCGATAATCATCAAAATTCCTTAAAGTGGAAGTAAAATGGACTAAACTGGCCTTCTTTTCCATCATTCGCTCAACAAATGTAATCAAATCAGTCTATTACAAACTATTCAGTTGCAAAAATCTAAGAATCTGAAATTGTTCTCTATCTTTTACGTAAAATACGTAAAAAGAATACAGAAGAAAATATCTATCACAAATTAATGCTGTTGTAATTTGATTTCAATATTTTCTAGATCTCTGAAAAATTCTCTTTTAAATGTGATTCCTTTAATTATAATTTTGTCAAGGGAAGGATGTCCATTAAAGATAGAGAGTTGATTAGGCATGAATTTTGGAGAAACAAAGTCAATCGTTTGAAGTGAAGCTATTTTGTTAATGTACTCAAGAGATTTTGAATCACACTCACTAATGCATAAATATTTGAGATTTTTGAGGTGATAAGGAGCTTGTTTGATAATTTCGTCATGAGAGTTGATCAATGTCAATCTTTCCAATTTTTCAATCTTGAGAATGTTAGAATAATTCATAGGTGAAAGAGTGCAATTCTTCAATGACAGATCCTTCAATAAGGGTGATGTTATTTCAAAGAAATCTGTCAATTTCTCCAATTTTAAACTAAGATGCTCAACTAATGACTTGTTGAGAACTTCATAGAATAGTCTGGCATCCTCATTAAAGTTATCAGATTCATCAAAACCAGAAAATAAATTATCATACGAAACAAATGCCCATTCAAGTCGTTTTAAATGTTTCCAATTGGAAACAGCTTGGTGACATGCGAGTATGGAAGAAGAGGATGAAATTCTTAACTCTTCCAATTGTGGAGTCACTTTGGATAATTCTAACAAATCGAATGTAACAAAATCATCACAATGAAAAGCAAATAATTTCAAATTTGACATATTTGATAAGAAGGGTACAATTTCAATCAATGAAGCTTCTGAATAACTCATCTCAATTTCAATGCTTTTCACAAAAGTAAAAGTTTGTAGAGCTCTCTGAATGAGATCAAGCGCCATTTGTTGGCAATTCATTTCCAATGATTCCACCAACGAAAAATCAAACCTTCCAGCATCAAAGAAGAAATCCTTCATCACTATATTCTCTTCCATCATTCGAAACATTACTGGTTTCAATTCAATTCCTGCACCTCTGTTATTTAATTGTAATAGATGAATTATCTGTTGTGGATACTTGTCCATTTTCCTCCAGGCTACACCATCTACATCAATCCATCTAAACAAACACTCAATACTACTATCATTTGAAAATCTGCCAAAACACATCTTGATTAATTCACTTTCATTATTAACTGGATTAATATTTTCCAATCGGAAAAAGCTCAAAATTTCAAGTATTATTTCTCTTGGAAGATGATTCACTATTGGCCTGAAAATGATATCATCCATTACATCACTACTTTCCATTGTTGTGCAATATTCTTCTGGATCATCTTCGGAATATGGATCATCTTCGGAAAAATCAAAAAGTAGTGGTGTAAGATTTTCCATTTTTTTCTCAAAGTACCATTCGATTAATAAACATTTAAATTTTTTTTCTCAAAGTAAATAGAATAGAGCCTCAATTAATATTAAATAACAATGTTATTAGTACACACTTTTTAAATATTATATCTTCTTTAGATTATTGTTCATCTCTATCGATTTCAAATTGTAATTTTCCAGCAAAGCCTTGATTTTAAAACTGTAAAAAAATTGCGAATTTTCTATTCGACCCTCACTCATCACCAATAAGAAGAAAACTCTCTGGGTGTGTGTGGTTAATTTGTAAATAATAATATAAATATTGAACAATATGCCTAGGACACAGAGTGGAGCTTCACAAGCCTCTAATTTCCGTCTCTCATCACAGCGTAGTTATGTTGATGATGAAGAGGGAGGAATTAAACCTGTTGAAGAAGGATCAAGTGGTGTTAATGAGCAAGATGTTGATGAAAAGGATGTTCTCAGAGTTTTAATAACAACGGATAATCATGTTGGATACTTGGAACGTGATACAGTTAGAAAGGATGACTCTTTTATCATCTTTGAGGAGATTATTCAATATGGTCACAAATATAATGTAGATTTTGTGTTACAGGGAGGTGATCTTTTCCATGATAACAAGCCTTCTCGTGATACTCTTCACAAGACAATATCAATTCTGAGAAAATATGTTTTTGGTGACAAGCCTGTTCCTTTGCAAATTTTAAGTGATCAATCTGTAAATTTCAAATCAAATCCTGAAGGAACTGTAAATTATGAAGATCCTAATGTTAATATTTCTCTTCCAATTTTTGCAATCAGTGGTAAGTTTGTATTTTATGAGTTTTCATAATTTATATGACAATGATTAAAACATTAGGTAATCATGATGCTTGGTCTGGAGAGAATAGTCTCAGTGTTTTGGATGTTCTTGCACAATGTAATTTGATAAATTATTTCGGAAAGTGTGAAACTGTGGATAATATTCAAGTTAAACCTATTTTAGTACAAAAAGGAGAAACTAAACTTGCACTTTATGGACTTGGTTATATAAGAGACGAACGTTTATATCAAACATTTAAAAATCAGAAAGTGACATTCTTTAGACCAAGTGGTGAAGATAGTCAAGGTTCAAATGAATGGTTTAATTTGATGACCATTCACCAAAATAGAAATCAACATCACACAAAGAAAGGAAATATTAGTGAAAGTATGCTGAAAGGATTTTTTGATCTAGTAGTGTGGGGTCATGAACATGAACAACAAATCACTCCAACAAAAAGTGCTACTGGTGGATTTGAAGTAATGCAACCAGGTAGTTCTATTTCTACTACATACACACACCAAGAAGCTAAGCCAAAAAAGGTTGCCATCTTGGAAATTTACAAAGATTCATTCAGAGTTATTCCAATTACATTGAAAACTGTAAGACCTTACGTATTTGATTCAATTTCTCTCTCTGATTTTGAACAAGATTTGAAACATATTAAGAACAATCCAGACGAAATTGCTGATTTCCTTAAAGAACACGTAAATCAATTAATTAAACAAGCTAAGGAAGACAAACTAAGTAATTTTGAAGGGGATGAAGAAGCAATTAAAGAACTCAAAGCCTACTATAAGAAATATCCTGGATTAGATCTACCAATTATCAGACTCAGAGTAGATTACAGTGGTGGTTATGCCACTGTCAATCCTCAAAGATTTGGTCAAAACTTTGTTGGAAAGATTGCCAACCCATCAGATTTGCTTTTATTATCAAGGAAAAAGGCATCAAAGGAAGAGGACAACATGGAAGAGGATGAAGAAGTTGAAGAGGAAAAGGGAAAAAAGAAGAGTAAGAAAAAGAAATCCAAAGAACAATTACTTAATGCAATTTTGAATAATGATAATAATAGTGAGCTATTTGCAGATGCTGCAAGTGATGCTCTTACTGATGGTATCAAGATTGAAGATTTAGTTTCACATTTCCTGAAAGAGACATCCACCAAAAAAACTAATATTAATGGTTTATTAGTATTGAATGAATTTGAATTCCAAAACTCTGTTGTTGACTTTGTAGATAAGGAAGAAGCTCATGCCATTGATGACTTTGTTGCTAGTGATATCAAGTCAAAACAAAAGAAATTGTGGTCTGATCTCAAACAATTTGCCAATCAAGACATTTCTGAATCTGATTTGGAGAAATATTTACAAAAGTATAGAGAAGAAAGCAAAGAGAACTTGGATAAGGATAAAATAATGTCTGACAGGCTCTCTAAGGCTTCAAAATCTGAGGACAAATCTGATGAAGAGGATATTCTTGAGGAAGAGGAAATTGTCGAAAAGAAGAAACCTACAAGCAGAAAGAAGAAAAATGAAAGTGAAGAAGAGGAAGAAGAGATACCAAAGAAAACAACCAGAGGAAGAAAAAAGAAGGTTGTAAGCGACGAAGAAGCTGCGGAAGAGAAACCAAAAAAGACGACAAGAGGAAGAAAAAAGAAGGTTGCCAGTGATGAAGAGGAAGAAAAACCAAAAAAGAGAGGAGCTAAAAGAAAGAAGAACGAAAGTGATGAAGAGGAAGAAAAGCCAAAGAAAACAAGAGGAAAGGCAGCAGCTTCAAAGAAAGCCAAGTTCAAAGCATTAGATGTAGATGAAGACGAAGAGGAAGAAGAACAACCAAAGAGAAGAGGAAGACCAAAGAAAACTGAAGAAAAACCAAAGAAAGCAAGCTCATCAAGATCAAAGAAAAAAGTAGAGGAAGAGGATGAAGATGCTATTGTTATCGATGACGAAGAATAAATTATTTATTAAATGTACAACTTAAATTTGACCATACTTTTCCATATTTCTGTATTTGTCACGAAGACTAAGACTATCTCTGTTGGGATGGAAAGTCTTTTTGAATTCTGCTAAAATTCTTGCCCACTGAGTTCCATACATCTTGAAACCTTTAAGTAAGGCGTTAACTTCATCATCAGTCCAAAATACTTTCTTTTGCTTGGTATCTTTTGATTTTTTACGTGGCTTGAAAAGAACTCGTTCAGTTTCTTCTTCACTACTGGAAGAATCCTCAAAAACAGATTTCTTCTTGGATTTACCATTTGTATCTGATTTAGATCTTGGTCTTTGTAGCTTAGAAGCACGAGTAATAGGAATATCTTCATCATCTTCAGAAGAAGCAAATTCCCTAATAATTACAACTCTTTTAGCATCCTTTTGACTATCCATTAACCTCTTCTTTTTTAAATTATTGGCATTAGCAGTAGGTTTTCTCTTCTTGGCTTGTTCATCTTGATTAGATTGAGTAGAGGCTGCAACAACTTGCTGAGTAGGTTGCTGAGTAAGCTCTTCTTGTCTTGGTGCTTTCTCAGGTACCTGAGGTATTGGTTTTGATGGTTTCCTAGCGTTAAAAAGTCTTTCTGTTATAAAGATTGTAGTTTCTTCTGATGTTGAAATTCCTGTGTTTTTAAGCCCTAAATATGTACATGGCTCGTCTGGAAGTGAATCAACAGTGATTTGTGGTATTTGTGGTTCATTCATTACAGCATCATTAGATTGTGTTTCCTCCTGGATTTGTTTTGGTTGATTCAGCAATGAATAAAGCTTAGGTTCACCAAGATAATTTCCTAGTATATTGAAATATTTGACAAGAGCCTCAAGTGATTGATATTTGAGTTCATATGTGTCAGCATTAATGAAAGAGGTCAACCATTTCTTGATCTTTTTAGAATAAGCATCTGCGGAGAAGGTTGCTTCTTGGAAAAATTCTGCAAAAGTTTGTTTTCTCTCATCAAGTAATCCTAGTAAAGCAGTCACAGAACTAACAATAAATCCGATTCTATCACCATCAACTTTATCTTCCTGTTCAACTTCTTCCCACAATCCATTCAATTGACTTATAATTAATCTAGTTCTAAGATTAACATTATCGCGATCATATGGGAGTTCTCTTAACAAATCCTCTACAAGATAATCAACTTTTTTATAAAGTATATATTCAATGATAAAAGCATTACATTTCAAAGATCTCTCATCTATTTCAACTTCCTCTTGATTATCATATTGTTGTTGTGTTTCCATTTGTTGTTGTGTTTGTTCCGTATTGTTAGTCTCTTGTTGCTTCGATGACGACATTTTCAACTTCACCAACAGCGAATGCAAGCCTTTGTGTGAGATTGTTGTTTGGTTATTTTTTTTAAATTTTTGGCGCCAAACACTTCTTGCCTTTGTTAGAAGCAATTTTAAAGCTTGTTGTTTAATTGGTAAAATCAATTGATTTGATTCTGAGTAGATTTATGGCTGTTTCAATGGCCAACTCGATCATTATTTTCTTGACTCTGAGATTTTCAATGATATGAGCTTCTATAATGTTGGAAATTATTGGAGTTTGTGAATCTTGATTGGTAAGATCAATACCAAAGAAAGAGTTTGGATTTTTAGAATATTCACTTGCCAATCGTAAAATTATCATTTCTGAATCATGTTTGAATCCACTCGAGTGCAATAAAAATCTCACTATTGATAAGAAGCTATCAGCAAATATTGTTGAAATTCCTTTGGACAGTACTGAGGAATTGCTGACATCTCTCCATATACTCATTTCAATGTGACATCCTCCTCCACATAATTCTGATGTATTGGAAGCACTGAAAAAGTTGTTTTCATTGATAAACCCTTTAATTACATAGAAGGCATCCTTAATTGACCTCTTGGATTCCTCATTAATAGTATTGGAAGGCCCTCGAATAATAATATTAAAAAAGTCACAAACATTAGGAATAGTTATGAAAATCTCGTTTTGAAAAATTGAAAAATTAGGAGAAGACTCGAAAATATAGAGATCCTCATTCTCGACTGTGGTGGTTGATCCAACTGGGATAATTGAAGGTAGATTTAGAGAATGTGATATATTTTGCAAATGTTTCGAGCTTAATTTATCAAATATCAGCACATTAGAATCTGAACTATAAAATATATCATGAAAAGGGAATGCTCCCTCCATCAAAATTATTATTCCACTACTACTGGTTCCCAATTCAAATAAACTTCTCCAAAATAGCTTTTCTTTTTGATTCATTTCTAAATTTTGCCTCTTTAGCAATAATATTGATCTACACTTGGATAATTTATCCAAATAACTACTAGAATAGGCGTATCTCTTTGAGAATGAAGATTGTGAAATATTCATAAAAATTCCGTTAAATCCAAAACTGTCATTCAATTGGCCACCCTCAATAATATGAAATTTAGTATGTTTAGGAATGGAATTTCCATTAGAAAATCCTTCAGTTAAAATGCTTTTAAAATGTTCAATATGAAATCTCAATTCCTTAGATTGTAATGAATTTTTACATATAAAATTAATAATTTCACAATTATTTGTAACAAATTGTTGCATCATGACCCTGTCTCTCTGCATTATAGTCAGAAAAGTCTCTTTGCATACATTTTTCAAAGTAGATAAATTACTGCAAATCACATCCAAAGGTATTAATTGTTTTAAATGTAATTCCTCCAAGCAATTTCTAACCAATTCACAACACAATAAAACAACACCAGTTGTACCATCTCCAGCTTGTTCCTCCTGAGATTTTGATAAATCACATAAAATTCTTCCGATAGGATTAACAATCGGAAGTGAATCCATAATTGTTGCTCCATCATTTGAATAAATTACATCCGAAAATACATGGTGATGATAATTAATAATTAATTTATGAAAAGCAAGTGGACCAAAGCTTGAACCAAGAATGTGACTCAATTTTTTGCAAGCCTCCAAAATAATCTCTGCACATGGAAGATTTGAAGACATTTTAAATAATTGAGAATTAATAAAATTACAAACATGTTGACTTGGTATTTAAAAGAATAAAATTGCCTTAGGAGGACTTAAGGAGAATGTATTTAATGTTATGAGGAGTGAATCTTCCATTATGAAAACATCTCTTTACTTCAAAAAAACAGCAAGTTGGAAAATCCATATTTCCGTTCCTAGTCTAGACTTTTTCCATGGAAATTGAAGCAAGCTTGGAAATGCATTTCGATGAGTATCATAAGTAGACAATTCAAACCGAAAAAAAGGATCAACTTCTCTCCAGCAATATATTAATAGTGCAACATCATGTGTATGGGTGATATTGATGCTCCGTTGTTTATCTTTGCCTATGGGTCTGTTATTTGGAGGCCGGGATTTGAATATGAAAGTTCTTTTAGTGGTTTTATCAAAGGATTCAGAAGAAGATTCTGGTTGGAGGATTTATTCCATAGAGGACAACCAAATCAAGAAGGAAGAACGCTTACAATCATCAGAGAAAATGATTATCAGAAAGTACTGAAAGAAAAATCTAATAAGCCTATTTGTTCTTGTCAATATCAAAATTTTGCTCACAAATCATCTTTACAACATGATATCAATTCCAAAAGTGAAGATATGGACGAGGAAATAGTTTGGGGAACTTGTTATAAGGTATCATTTGAGAATGCTGAGCGAGTGATGAAAGATTTAGATTATAGAGAATTGGTTGCTGGTTATCAGAAAACCAGTGTTAAGGTTTACGTTTCTGATACGATTGCAGTTTGTCAGAATGCCATAGTTTATTATTTTGATCCGTTTGTAAATAGAGAACAGCCAAAGAAGTGTCCATTCATTGGTCCAGAGAATATCTGTTGTTCATCAAAACATATTGCGAGAGCTTTTGGCCATTCAGGTCCAAACAGAGATTACCTCTACAGGTTACAGGAATACCTACCTGTATCGGACCATTATGTGGACACTCTGGTTCATCATGTGAGAGCTCTCGAATCGCATTATCCAATGAATTGTTCCATTCTGGAGGTATTAAGAAAAGGTGAAGAAAAAGGTAGTATTCTGGTTGATCAAGGAGCCACCTCTGCACTTTCACAAAGATGTAAAAATCTTCTTGCTTGTGGAATAACCAAGTTAATTGGCGAGTTTGAAAGGGATGACATTGTTACTATTCGAGATTGTAACAGTAGAAAGATAATTGCAAAGGGATTCTCTAACTTCAATTCTAAGGAAATTGCTCAAATGCAAGGCAAGAATCTTAAAACTCTCTTGATGGAAAATAAGGTTACCTCAATTACCAGCCACAATAATACGACAACTCTAACTACAATTTGTAACACATCAACTAATGCAACAAGTAATCATGTAATTCATCACCCAACAGAAGTGATCAGTAAATCTAGAATGATTCTACTGTGAAACAACATCTCTATAAAATTATTGAATAAACTTATTGAAATCATGATAAAAAGCAAAGATTCGCATCATCCATTGTCAAAAGATTCTCTCCAACAACCATCATTCAACAATAATTGAAAATGAAATTATTCATCATATTCTTTGAAGAAAATAAAAATTGAAAGAATAAAAAATGTCATCAACAACACCAGAAAATAAGACAAGCAAGGATTATTACTTTGATTCCTACTCTCATTTCGGTATGTATTTGAATATGATGGTTTATTGATTATCTAACATTCTAAATAGGAATCCACGAAGAAATGTTGAAGGATGGTGTTAGAACCAACGCCTATAGAGATGCTATTATGCAAAACAAACACTTGTTCAAAGATAAAGTTGTTTTGGATATCGGATGTGGTACTGGTATTTTGTGCTTGTTCGCTGCTAAAGCTGGTGCTAAGAGAGTCATTGGTGTAAGTTTTCAAAGATTTAGTATATATTAATTTGATTGTATTACTAATTATTATTATTTAATGAATTGGTTATAATTATTATCTTCATTAAAATTTTAGATGGATATGAGTGATATCATTGATAAGGCTCGTCAAATTGTTGCTGACAATGGTTTCTCTGGTGTTATTGAATTGATCAAGGGTAAAGTTGAAGATGTTAAAGAATTGCCATTCGGTGTTGAAAAAGTTGATATTATTATCAGTGAATGGATGGGATACTTTTTATTATATGAAAGCATGTTGGAAACTGTCCTCTATGCTCGTGATAGATGGTTAGCTCCAGGTGGTTATTTGTTCCCTGATCAATGCACAATGTACGTCAGTGGTATTGAAGATTCCGAATATAAGAAAGAAAAGATTGAATTCTGGGATAATGTCTATGGTTTCAACTTTAGTGCTATCAAGGGTGATGCTTTACGTGAACCTTTGGTCGATTTTGTTGAAGGTCATCAAGTTATTACAACACAATCTAAGTTTTTGGAAATTGACTTGAATACAATTCAACCAGGAGATTTGAAGTATATGAAGAGAACCTTTGAATTCCAAAGTCAATATCAAGAATATTGTCAAGCTTTGATTGCTTGGTTCGATTGTGTCTTCTCTAGAGGATGTCACAAACCAGTTCATTTCTCAACTGGTCCTTTCACTGAAGGTACTCACTGGAAACAAACAGTTTTTTATTTGGAAAATGATTTGCCTTTGAATCCAAACGATCAAATTAAGGGTGTCATTGAAATTTCTCAAAATAAGAATAACCATAGAGATTTGGATATTTCTATTGAATATTCCATCAATGACGGTACTTCAATTAAACAAGAATACATTATGAGATAATTTATTTTGAATACGAAATAGATGAAACTAGGAATAAAAGTAATCTTCTATCAATAGAAACATTCTTTGAAACAATTGTTGAATTTAAAGAAAGTGTCCATTCTAAAAATGTCAAACTTCAAAATATTAAATCAAAAACATACCGTCTCCCCAAGCAGCTGGGTTTTGTGAAATAGTTCCAATAAGAGTTTTAGAATTATCATAATCATAAATATAAAATTCTTTTGGTGAGATTTGTCTCTTTTCTGTAATTTTCATTATTGGCCTAGAATTGAAATTATTAATGATGAAATCACTCCACACAGAATCATATTGTTGTTTTATATTTCCAATAAAAGTACCATTACAATTACGGATAGTTAAATTATGACCACTTGTTCCAACTTCATCAAGAGCATACGAATCACCAAGTGATGAATCCTTGTTTGATGTCAAATCTATTGTCATTGGATATCCCAAGACGGAACGACTTTTTAATTTTGCAAATAAATTATTATCTATCGAAATATCAATATAATGATTAAATATATTTCTTTTTAAATTAATTTGTGATATTTGTGTTGATAAACTTGTTGTCAATTCACTCGATATCGAACAATTCAATGTTGGTGGAGTTGACCACGAAATATTTACACCAAGAATTACAGCAAATAATATAATATATACAGAGCAAAATCCGACACTACAAATGCTTCCTAATATTTTACGTTCTCTAGAAAATTCATAATCAGAACGTGATTCCTTGTCATCATCCTCAAAGATAAATTGGCACATTTTTTATGATTGAAAGTTGATCGGAATGTGTTTGCAAGTTCTCTCTGCTTTATCATTAAAAAGCAATATTATAATTGTATACAATGTTTTCCCACCACGATTTAAGTGACACTAAATGAGAAACTTTCTAATGGCATACAATTTTTCAACATTGTAGAAGTAATAATTGGTTTGGCGCCAAAATTAACTACAAACACAACCTTAAAAAAATGAAGACATCTACACTGTGGGGTGATAGTTATGTAGGTTTTGTAGTAATTTGTTGTATACTGATATGATGGTGATGCGGATAGACTGATAAAAGTGGAGCACCAACAGCTGTGTATGCTGTTTGTTATTCACCTGATGGTACTGTGCTTGTTTGTGCAAGTTATAGACACGTTTTGATGTACAATTCCACTACCGGAGAGTTTATCAAACAATGTAGAGGACACACGGATAATGTATATTGTCTTTCTTTTGTTAAAGATGGTAAAACATTTGCTTCGGGAGGGTATGTTTAACAACTTCATCATGATTACTGAAACATCATTAGTGCTGACAATAGTGTAATTTTATGGACTCACCTTGGAGAACCAAAACTCAAATTTACTCATAATGATTCTATTCAATGTTTAGAATTCAATCCAACAACTAATCAATTGCTGAGTTGTGCTTGTACAGATTTTGGTTTGTGGTCCCAAGATGAAAAGGAAGTAAAGAAAGTTAAAGTTAATTCCAAAATTCTGTGTTGCAGTTGGACAAGTGATGGCCAGCACATGGCTCTTGGATTTTTTGACGGAAGTGTTAGAATTTATAATAGAGAAGGAAAAGAATTAGTAAGCTTTGCTAGATCAGATCCTATTTGGACAATTTCATTTAACCCTTCAAGAGATGAACAATATGATATTCTTGCTGTTGGTTGTTGGGATCAAACAATTTCATTTTATCACTTGAGTGGAAAGCAAATTATTAAGGATCAAAAATTAGGATTTGATCCTTGTACAGTTTCCTATTTTTCAAATGGAGAATATTTATGTATTGGTGGAACTTCTGGTGAAGTATCATTATGGAATAAGGATGGTGTTCAATTAGTTCCTGTTTCAAAACATCAAGGATGGATTTGGAGTGTAGCTCAAAAACCAAACCAAAACTTTGTTGTAAGTAATTGGTAATAATTTTGATACTGATTATTATGAAAGGCTATTGGTACAAATAATGGCTTGCTTCAAGTTCAAAAATTGGATTTTATTACTGTACATAGTTTATATGGCAATTTGTATGCTTTTAGAGACTCCATGACAGATGTAGTTGTTCAAGACTTAGTAAACGATAAGAAAGTAACCATAAGATGCAAAGATTACGTTAAAAAGATAGCTATTTATAAAGACAGAATGGCAATTCAAATGAAGAACAAGATCCATGTCATTGAATTAACCCAAAATAAGAATGAGAACGAAGGTGAAGAAGGAGATGAAGAATTGCAATACAGATTGGTCGAGAAAATTGTGAAAGATATCGAATGCAACATGCTTGTTGTTACTTACGGAAATTTGATATTCTGTCATGAAAAAGAGTTGCATCTTTACGATTTCAAAGGAAACCTCCAAAGAGTTTGGGATTTGGAAGCTCCAATTAAATACATCAAAGTAATTGGTGGTCCACCATTCAAAGAAGCAATCCTAGTTGGTCTGGCTAACGGATCTATCCTCAAGATTTTCGTTGATAACCCTTTCCCTGTTCAACTTCTGAAGCATGACTATTCCATCAAAAGTTTGGATTTGAATATGTCTAGAAGAAGATTAGCTTTGGTAGACCAAAATAATGATTTGATGGTTTATGATTTAAAGGATAAGAAATACGTTTACCAAGAAAAGAATGCTGAAGGTGTTGCTTGGAATTCAGAACATGAAAATATGTTGTGTTATTCTGGATCTGGTATTTTGAATATTAAGACAGAAAACTTCCCAGTCAATTCTCACAAACTTCAAGGATTAGTAGTTGGATTTATTGGTTCAAAGGTGTTCTGTTTACATCAAGTATCTATGAGTACTGTAGATGTTCCTCAATCAGCAACCTTGTACAGATATATCGAAAAGGCTGATTTTACTGAAGGATACAAAATTGCTTGTCTTGGAGTGACAGAAACCGATTGGAGATTTTTGGGTGTTCAAGCTCTTTTGGGAGTCAATTTAGATATTGCCAGAAAATGTTTCAATAGAATCGAAGACACCAAATTTATTTCTTTGATTGACAAATATGAAAAGCTCATTAAGCAAAATCAATTCAACAGAGATCTATTCGTTGCTGAAATACATGCTTACCAAGGTAAATTTGATGAAGCATCTAAAATGTTTGTTAAGGGAGGCAGAGCAGATATGGCTATGGATATGTTGTGCGATTTGAGAAAATGGAAAGAAGCAAAAGATCTTGCCATTACCTACGATAATATCAACCTAACAGATATGATTCTGCGTCAAGCTAGAACAGCTGAGGAAGACACTGATCATAGATCTGCTGCAGAGTTGTATGCTGCTGCAGGTAACTATGAGAAAGCTATTCAAATCATGGGCGATAACAAATGGTTTGATATGCTACAAGAGACATGCAGAAACTTGAACAGCAACGAAACCAAAGGTGTTGCTATGTGTGCTGAGTACTTTAGAAAGAACAAGATGTATGATGCCGCCAAGGAAGCCTATCAAAAGATTGGTGACTTCCCATCCCTTATCAAATTGTTTGTTAGTGCTCAAAAGTGGGAACAAGCTTTCGAAATTCTTGAAAAGAACCCAGAATTCTCAGCAGAAGTATATCTTCCTTATGCTGAAAATTTAGCAATTGAAGACAAATTTGATGAAGCTCAAGTGGCTTTCAGAAAGGCTAACAAACCAGAAAAGGCAATGAAAATCATTGAAGAACTTGCTCAAAACGCTATTGAAGAAAACAGATTCAAGGACGCATCATACTACTTGTGGAAAGTTGCCAATGAGTTGATGCATACAACAAAGAATGAATCCCAAATAACAGAATCTGTCTGGCAGGAAATCAAAAAGTTTGAAAAGTATTATCAACTCAGTCAAATTTATTTTGCTTATGACATTGTACACAAATTCTCCGAACTTCCATTCAACTCTTGCGATACCAGACATCTGTTCAATGCTTGCTTATTCCTTTATAACAATTTAGATGTTTCTAACTTGCCTAAATCTATTTCTAGGATAACAGTTACAGTGACGATGGCTAAACTCGGTTTATCGTTAGAAAACTACAAATTGGCTAGAGAAGTGTATCAAAATATTCAACATTTGAGGCTTCCAAAACCAATTATGGATGAAATTGAGTTGTCAAGTATTTCCATTCACAGTAAGCCAATGAGGAATAATGAGGAATGTATTCCAATTTGTTTTAGATGTTCAGCATCCAATCCATTCCTGAATGAAAAAGGTGTTGATTGCTGCGTTAACTGTAGTCATACATTCCAGAGATCACCTCTCTCATATCACATTCTACCACTTGTCGAGTTTGAATTGGAAGAAGGAATTGAAGAAGAAGAGGCTATCAAGCTGATAAACCAAACACCTCCAAGCATGCAAGGAAAAAAGGGAGGAGATAAATGGAGAGAGCAAAAAAGCAGTGCAAATGTTCAATCCCTTCGTCTTGATCAAGATTCTGAGGAACCTTACGAAGACATGACTCTCACAGACTTGTTTAGTAAGGCTTTATTGAATATTGATGGTAAGATTGTAAAGGTTAACAGAGAAATGTTGAAATCTTTCAGAAGAGAAGATGTATTTATTGTAGATTGGAAGAATCCTCTTATCAAGAGACACTTTTTCAAATGTATTATACCAAACTTCCCAATTGTGCAATGTAATCATTGTAATCTCTTCTTCCAACAAGAAGATTTTGAGTTTGAAATGCTGAAAAACAATGGCAAATGTCCGTTCTGTCAAAATTAATTAATATTTATATTAAAATGAGGTCCATATTCTTTCTGAAAATTCTTTTTAAATAGAATGAATAAGTGATCTTTTGCAGATGAATAGTTGTCCAAAAGGTAAAGTATTTTATCGTCATCTTCCAAATCTTGAGTAATTAGTGGATTCAAAGATAATGATAATTCAATAAGTTCTTTCCTAATAGTTTTGTCTCTATGGCTCGATAAAAGATTCAAAAAGTTCAAAGTGTTTTCGCAAGCATTATATTTAACAAATGTGTACAAGGAAATCAATAATGAATCAGTAACATCAAAGTTAGATTCATGTAAATTTCCAGCTCTTCCATATCTAATTTCATAATCCTTTGGGAGTAAATGTTTTAAAGTATTAAACACATTTAGTTTGGACTTTTTTTCACTCTTTTTCTCCTCTCTTTTAATATCAAAGAATGATCTAGCTGCATTAACATTGAATTTAAATAATTTTTTAACAGGTAATTCATTTCTACACTCATAACATGCCAAAGTGTTACAATTTGACAACTTGGCAATAGTATTTGCTGTTGATTTGTCATTGAATTTCAATAAAAATTCTTCAGCTCCAACAATCCACTCATCCTGTTCATCTGATTTATATCGTTGTGCAATATTCCTAAAATTTTCCTTCATGAATAATCCAAATTCTTGAGAGTCAAAGATGTGTTGTGTGTCAAAAAGTCCACATTCAAGAGCAGCACCTTCATCACTTAAAATTGAATAACCAGTCTTGGCTGATGATATATCCAATCCAAGATAATATCTTTTGTTTCGGAATGAAATGTTGATGAAACTCTTCCTAATGTTAACCACATCGGGAGTGTGTTTTAGCCTGGAAATCCGTTTTATCATTTTTTTGAAAAATTGTTTTATTAAAATTAAATTGGATAAGATTTTACAAATCAATTTCACTAAAATTGTTCCAATCAATTACAAGTTATCAAAATAATCAATCTGGAAGAATATTATTTACACAATTTTATTCAAAACCTTTTTAATCAAAAATTAAATCCTTTCTCTTTTTTGTCTTTTTGTGATTTCTCGATGGGTTATTTGATTTAAGTGATGTGCAGAGAGAAGGTGGAGCTCGTCTATGTGTAAGGAATCCCTCTAAAAACAATAAAAGTTAAATAAAAATTATGGAAAATACTAATACATACCAAAATGAGAATTATCATAAAACTCGCTTTGTATGATACTCTTCTTATTATATTTAGAAGTTAATTGTCCAAGATCCAATGAAAATTCTTCTTCTTCATTTTCTTGTTTTTTTACTCCCCATCCAATTTCAGCAGTATCAACTAAATCAGAGATAGTCTTATTCCAAGTGCTGTTACTACTCTTCAAAGAAGAATTACTAACAATACTCTTCTTGGAAGACAACAATGAATTATCGAAGGATGAAATGTTGTGGCTATGTTTTGTTGAGGATGACCTTGTTTTACTATTTGAGGAAGTGGTTGAATAATTTCTACAAGTTTTAGGAGGGGACAAAGAACGGTTCAATTTTTCTTCTTTTTCCATCCAGGATCGTTGATGGATTTCCTCCCTTCTAAAACTTTCTTTAAGTGAATTGCAAAAGTGATTGGACAATTTTTGATGGCCTAATGCTTGTATCTATCATATGATTATTAAGATTGTTTTGAACAACAAGAAGTTTCTACTTACCATCTCGAACTAACTAGTAGGGTTAAATAAATAATATGAATGGTGATAGGAAAGTGAATGGGAAGTATTCCGAGATAGGTTTTGTCTCTTCAATCTCCCAAGTTTCTTGTTGTTTCAATTTTTTTGTGTGTGGAGAGCCTAATAGAGAGGTCTTCACCTCTGGGAATAAAAAAGAATTGGAAGGCTGGTGAAGTTTCCGCCTTCTTCTTCGCTTACCTGGTGTGTTCGGTGAGTTGTTGCAGCATGTGTTTGTGTCGCTTCACCATCAATAGTTTATTGAGCAATTTAATATCTCTGGCCTTTTGGAAGGGCAAATAAGGAGCATTACGTTTCTAAAAAAGGTATGGCTGTTCTTCTTATTGAGAGATGAAGACACCATCATTGTCCTTTATATTCCCTTAATGTATTTATTAATACTGTATTTACAATAAAGTATGACTTTATGATGGTAAAATGACAGTCTATTAACATTGGATGATGTAGTGAATATATGACCAATAGAGTTACATTCAAATTGTTTTATTGTTCATGTATTATCGGTGATTTTAACGATTCGATAAAAATCACTAATAAATATCTTTTAACAATGTCCATAAAAAGACAAATAATCTGAGGTTTTGAAATGCAATTTATTGATTGTTTTGTATTAGTGATGAAATAAGGCTTTCACTAAAGAGGAACTTTTAAGGGAAGATAATATTTTGGCGCCTAATTTTCATTCATTAAAAAATGTCATCCTTGGTCGAGATTAATGTGTTGTTAGGAATTGTTTTATTATTTATTACCCCTAGTTTAATTTATTGGCTCTCTTTTATGTTAACTTGTGGATTTGCCTGTTCGTCAGGGAAAACATCCTTCATGGCCAAGCATCATCTAATGTTATCTTTCCTTATTGTCACTCTAACAATATGGTTTATTTCATTTAAAAATCAATTTTCTCAAGATTTAAGCGAAGATTTCATTATAACTGGTACATCGGCAATTATGATTTTGGTTTTTATCTTTTCCTTAATGATAATAGTTGTGGTTTGGATGGATGAAAATAGTTTATTTATTACCAAGATTATGTTCTTTATTGTTCATGGAGCATTGATCTTTATGTTATATCAAGTTGTGATGGCAGTAATGCACAAGGATGTATTAGCCATTATGCAAAAGAGCTTCCTTAAAGTGTACCATAGTGAAGAATTCTCTTCAAAATTACAACAATCATTCTCAGTTAATTGGGAAGGTGTGACTGACAAATATGTTTATTTGCAAAAATTAATTGAATCTAAATTACATAAATAAATAGGTCTAGAAAATATTTCTTAGAATACCTCCTAGTTCATAAATTTGTTTGGTTGTGAAATCCTTACTATAATCTCCTAATTTGGATATGTCAATACTGTCAACATCAGCAAAGGCAGAGTCGGTTTGTTCTTCATAAGTGTCAAAATATTTTGAAAGTCCTGAACTTCCTGTTGCTGTTTCGACCTTCTTAACAACACCACTTTCCCCTGCCTTCATCAAATCTCTATAAAGGATAATGGTCATTAAATGTTTACCCTTTTTAATATCCTTAGCTTTGAGACAATGTCTGTATGGTTTGAAAATATATTCTACTCTTTCTTTTTGTTGAGTTTTTTGTTTTAGAGTTAAACCAACTCTAGCACTCTTAACCATAGTATCACTGTATGGAGTATCAATTGGTTTCAAGTAGAATGCTGAACTTGTACTCAAGGCTTGAAAATGTTTTTGTCCTTTAAAACATTTAGTAACAAATTCTTGAATATTATCACAATCATAGGCTCCAATTATTTCATCAACACATTTTGATGGACCTTCGACAAGTGTTTTGTTGTCAGACTTCAATAAACTTCTAATTAAAATTCCACCTTTAAATCCAGCACTACCAATCGAAATATCCAAGCCTTTATAGGAACCTCCTTTATAATTATTGTCATTTGTTTTAGCCAATGATTGATGGAAATACCACTCTCCTCTAGTTGCTTGTAAATCATGACAATGAGAGAACGGATCATTGTGAACAGGAGGACATGTAAAATAATATTCAAGTTCCGCTAATCTATATGTTTTATCTTTAACAACAAGTTCTGTGTTGTTAAATAAATAATCAGAGATTGAAACGAAGGTATCTTCAAATTCCTTGATTGTTTTGAAAGATTTACAAGAATCTAATTCTTTTAATTTGGTAATGATAGCATTTTCATCAATTTTTACCTTCTTGGTATCGCTACTTGATGATGTCACTTCTGAAGTGGCCGAATCTGTTGTGGAGATTTCTTCTTGTTTTCTTTTGCTCATTTTTTTGTAATTGTAGGTGATTATTTAACGGCGATTTCTCTGAATTTGAAGAATATTTTGTGGCCTTTGGCAACTGGAAGTTGCAATTCAACTATTCTGCTTGTTACAAAACATGACCAACACACCTTCTCACTTTAAAACTTGTCATTTTCGTTTATCAAAAACCCTGCTGATTGTCATTGAGCTTCATATTTCCCACTGTAAGTAAGAACGAATTTGCGCCAAAAATATTCCCACCAACTACAAATCACCAAAAACTGCTTTAAAAAAATGAGTGTAGGGACTGCATCTTCAACTTATTATGAAACTGAGGAGACAACAAGCTCCTACAGAGATGAGGAAAGATTGAATGAGGAAGAGGTGGTTCAAAAAGTACAACCAACTCAAAATGTTGTTATTAAAAATCAGCAACCAAAACAAGTACAGTCTGCAAGGGATTTGCTTGCTGCTCATCAACAACAACAACAAACACAATCACCAGTTAAAGGCATTCTTCATTCACCATCTCCATCATTGTACAGCGGAAGTACTCAATTTACTACAGATTCAGTGGCTTCATCTAAAAAATCATCCCCTAAAAGTGTGTCAATTGCAATTTCATCAATAGCAAGCAAACAAACAACAACTCCATCAACAACATCAGCCAACTACAATCGATCGGATATAATTTTTGTTGAGGAAATGAAAAAAGCATTCAAGATGATAGATACTGACGGGGATGAGCTAATCTCAAAGAATGAATTAGCTGTTGCCATTCGGTCTTATGGGTTAGATCCATCACCAAAATATATCAATGAACTCTTCCATTTGGCAGGATCAAAGGATGGTTTATTGGATATGAATCAGTTTTCAACCTTAATGAAGAAAAAGGTTAATCACGTTCTTTTCGAAAATGACAATAAGAAACGAAAGGCAATAGAAGTATTTTTTGATAAACTTGATAAAAATGGAGACGGATATCTTTCATTTGACGAGTTTAAGGAAGCTTTAGAATCAATTCCAACAAATGGAAGAATGAATCCAAAACAAGATGTGGAAGTAATAACTGAGATATTAACTAATATTGATAAAAATGGAGACGGAGTTATTGATATTGGAGGTGAGTAAAACAGAATCAAGTTTCTTTAACTGTTCAATAGAGTTTATTGAAGCAATGTATAGAAATAGAAATTTATTCGAGAAATGTAAATCACTGTTCGAGCCAGCACCATTAATGTATATTAATATTTTTAAGACACTTCCATCTTCCTTTAGAACATCTTCATTCCATTCAGTTTTACAATCAGGAAAATATTCAACTTCCAAATTCGTGACTCCTACCATCAACAGTTCTGGAATCAATTTCTTAGATTTAACACTGGACACTTGCACAAAAAACATTCTTCCAATTTATGCGACGAGCTTTAAGGTCAGCATGTATGTTGCTAGAGGCATTCCTCTGTCATCTGATAGTGTTAAGGTTCTTGAAAGAAAAGTGTATGTTTCCCTAATGTCAAATGGGGAGCACATTTCAAATATTTATCAAATTTCAGCATTTTGGAACCCAAACAAAACAGATGAATGGCAGTTTACCAATGAGTTAGACAATCGAATTCTTGTCAGAACAATGACAGAAGATGTGAATGCACAATTGGTGTTTGAATTTGTTATTGTTGTTGAAGGTGAAAAGGGGCTATATCATGAAATAACTTGTGGACATGCAAACTTTTCAATAATGAACGGTGATTATCAAAACCAAAAGAATTATGAGTTGTATTTAATGGGAGGGTCATTAACTCAGCCAGTTGATATTCCTCAGGAAGATATCATATTTAACAGACAAAATGTTGTTGGTAAGCTTGGAATGCTATTCAAAGGAGTACCAAAGCCTCACTTATCCCTTAGAATTTCTCTTGTTACTTCACCAAAAGGTCAACAAAAATTCTGCCATTGTCCTCCAAATGTCATTATGGAGCTTGATGGATGTGAAATTGTAACAACTTATAGAAAAATGCTTGCAAAGAAGCTATTCCCAACAAGAGTTTTGGATGACAGAATGATTGAGAGCAATTGTTGTGAATTGAGATGGTTTCCACATATCATGGATGACCATGAGTTGTGGCTGTTATTCCTAGAAAAATGGAAAGTATTACTGACAGCTTCCAGAAAAACCAAAGATAAGAAACCTCATGAAAGATTGCTTTCTAAACTTGTAAAGGATGTATACAGTGTAAAGTTTTGTACTAATATTCCAAGACAAGTTGGAAGGCAATCAATTCTCAGTCTATTCTATGACAATCCAAAGGAAATCTTAAACTCAAACGGACTTATTTTCAAACCATTTGATGCCTCAGAAACTATTTTAAAACCAATCTTTAATAAATAAAAAACTGTAAATAAATCTCCACCTCAATACAAAATGAAAAAGTCGAGACAATTAAGAAAGGTAGGTTCCGATTTGATGATGGTTTGAAACAGAATACAAAAATTACTGGTAGGCATTAACGGAAGAAGAATTGAAGGAATTTAAGGAAATATTTGATCTTGTCGATACAGATGGAGGAGGTATGATTCAATATTGTCATTTAGTAGTAATAACAAGAAATAATTATTGAAAATCTTTTTGATTCGGAATGTAATAGGTTCTATTCAAAGAGAAGAATTAAGAACACTCATGGAAACGCTTGGATTGAACCCTACTGATGAACAATTGGATGAAATGATGTTGGAAGTTGATGCGGATGGTTCAGGAGATATTGATTTTAGTGAATTTGTTACAGTCATGTCAAGAACTGTCGATGCTACCTATACAAAAGAAGAACTCATTAGAGCATTCAAATTATTTGAAACAGAGGATCTTGGGCAAGGGTTTGTAAAATCAAATTTAATAGAGAAAGCTCTAGTTCACTATGGTGAAAATATGTCTCTCGACAAGGCTACTGAACTATTATCAATAGTTGATCCAGAGGATGCTGGAAAAATCAATTACATGGAATACATTAATATGATGATGAACAATGAATAAAATTGAAAAAAGTTATTTATTTGACAGTGTAGAATCGTATATACTCAAATTGGTAACTCTCATCTTTCCTTGATTATTCGATGGTGGAGGTGTCTTTGTGTCAACATTAGTAATTGGTGGAGGTGTTGAAGGAGTTGTTGAAGTATTTCTTCTGGTTCCTGAAGGTGGACTCTTTCTTCTTCCAGTTGTTGCAATAGTTGAAGATCGTCCAGTTTTTGTACTTGTATCCTTGGTGTCCTTTGGAGTTTTTGGTGTATCCTTTCCACTTGATGGTTCTTTTGGTGTTGTAGGTCTTGTTGTTGAGCTAGTTCCACTAATTCCAACACCTGTCGTTGATGTTGTTGCTGTTGCTGTTGATGAATGTGGTGTTGTTTTTCCTGAATCTTTTGAAGAATCCTTTGAGGGGTGACTTGTACCTGGTGTAGTACTACTTTTAGCTTTCTTTAAAGCTTCCATATCCACCAAAAGATTAGTTTTAGATCCAAGTCTAACAAACGTTTCTTCATCTTCTTTCTTCATTTCCATATACATTTGATCAATTTTCTCTTGATGATCCTCTCCAAACTGTTTAATAAATTCAGTTTCAATATCATGAAGTCTAACTCTAATATCTACAATCTCCATTGAATGTTTTTCTCTCTTCTTTTCTTCATCTTGAGCTGCGAGTTTAACTGATTTGATTTTTTCTTGCAATGTTCTGAATAGTTGTAAATATTGATAACAATAATTGTGAGTGTAACTTACTTGATTTCAATTTCTTTTCTTTTTCTTGTGTCTTGCAACATTTCTCTGGCGTCGTTAAGTTCTTCCTCAATCTCTGCTTTAGCTATCAACAAGTAAATATTCATGAAATATTCAATAAACTTACCATCCAATTCTTTTTGATGATTGTCCATTTTAATTTTCATCAATTGCTCGTTTTTAGCATTCTTCTGCTTTTTATCCTCCATTACTGCCGTTATTCTATCTTGGAAAAAGTCAATTCTTTTCTGTTCCTCCTTAATTTGAGAAATTATATCTGAAGCAGAAGAGTCTGTTTCTTCTGTTATTACCTTAATTCGTTCATTGATCCTTTCCACTTTTGAAGTAGTTTCAAGTCTAATATTTTCTTGATATTCGAGTTCTTTTGATGCATCTTGAAGAAGTTTTTGTACATATTTCAATCTAATTACTTCCTTTTTTAACTTATTTGGTTCAATCAACATTTTATCAGTCTTATTTCGTTGTAAAACCTTCTTAATTTTCAAATAGGTTGGGTGGTCTAATTGATTTCCCCTCACATCAAAAGACATGAGTGTATGATTTTTTTCCAGCAAGTCTAGAACTGCCTTTCCAGCCTCTATTTCCAACATTATTCAGCAATGGTTCGAAAAAAACTTACCTTCAGAAATATGATTGTTGTGTACTTTCATATACAACAGAGTTGTGTTACATGTCAAAGAAAGACAGAGGGATACAGCTCCTTGATCACCAATTCCACAAGAATTCAATTCCAAGTTAACTATTCCACATTGGTCATATTCTACACATTTTGCTAAAGCCTTTGCACCACTATTTCCCACTCTATTATTACTCAAATTTAAAGAGTGTAAAGTATTTTGAGGACAATTAATAGCCTGTGCAATGGTAATTATACCTTCCTCAGTTATTTGATTTTTACTCAAATTCAAGTAAACTAAAGTATGTTTACATGACAGATAATCTGCAACATATGATGCTCCTTCGTTTCCAATTTCATTTCCAGCCAAATTAAGTACAGTAATGAAAGTATTTTGTTTAAGGAAGTTACATAATATTTCTGCACCTGTTTGTTTCAAGCAATTATTTTGTAATAGTAAAACAGATAGGTTTTTACAGGTGCATGTTAATTTTCCAAGACTTTCAGCAATATCTACAGGTAAATCATTTCCGTGTAAATCTAAATATCTCAAATTTGAATTACCTTCCAATGATTGAATAACATTGACAGCAGCTACAGAACCCATATTAGTTTGTCCCAATCGTAAACAGCTAATTGTCTTATTTTCATCAAAAGCATCTGCTAAAGCAAAGAATGCTTGTTGAGTTTTTCTTCCTAGTTGAGAATTTCTATTAAAATCGAGAGTATGTAAAGTAAAGTTTGATGATAAAGCCTCGGCAATTGAAACACCACCTTCTGCTTCAATCTTATTTGCATACAAGTCTGAATCACTACTTCCTAGTATCAAAGATTCTAACTATAATATTCAAGAAAATTGATATAAGTATAATTGATATAATATAAATAATATACTAATACATACTTTACAATCAGGTTTTTTAAGGTAATCAGCAATAAGGATGGCTGATTCTGATCCTAAATCATTACTACCTAAATCAAGTATTTTTACAGTATTTAATGATTTTAATTCATCTATTAATGCTTGAACGCCCTTGTCTCGGATGACATTTTCATGAAGATCCAAAACATGAAGAGGGCTATCTTTACTAACAGTTTGAGCAAAATACCTTGCTAAACTATTAGCTGTTGCAATACCAATTCTTTGAGATCTTAAAATAAATTTTTCCTCAGTACAATTCTTTTCCAATAATTGTTTTAAATTCAAGGCTAATTCTCTCTCGGGTCGCTGCTGAGTATCACTACAATAGGAGAGAAATATTTCAGAGAAGAATTTGTCCAACATTTTTTAAGGGATGTTGAGAGGGATGAATAAAAATGTTGCTGATGTTGTTTGTTTTTTTTGCCCTTGCTTGTTATTATTCAGTTATACTCTCCTATATGAAAATAACAACTATTGAGAGAAAATTTTCAACCTCGCTCTAAGCTGTTGTTGCATTACAGTAAACTATTTATGACAGATTGATGGAGTAAGTTATTAAATCAATTGATGAGAGAGAATGAAACACCTTGTAATATTTATTTTAGTACCACTATTGATGTTTAATAATGAACCCGTTCAACCATCATGTTCGGTAGTTAATATTCTTAAAAAAGGTTTGAAGAGATAATTAATGGTTTTTCCTTAACTGGTCATTTTCATAAAAATTGATAAATTCTCGAGTTGTAAACCATTATCAATCAAGCCTTACCAGAAGACCAAAACAATGAACATTACAAAGCCTTTTAGTTAAACTGCCTTCTCCAACTTTCATCCCAGCCTTGTTGCTGCCTTCTTAGAGTGGAAATAACTCATCAAACATTTCATCAAAAAATGAGCATTACTAATCAACAGCAACAAATGCAAGGCTCATCATCATTACATCAACCATCGAATCATAATACGTTGGGATCGGATCATCCGAATACAAGAAATGATTCTATTATTTCACCCGTAGAAATGACTCCAAATATTATTCATAAATTATTGTTGGAAATGGATGAACGTATTGATAAACTTTTTCAACAATTGGATGGACTTGAAAATAATAATAATAATAATACTAGTATTGATTTAGAAGAGGAACATTTGGAAATGACAAAATTAATGGGATATATTAAACAAGAAGTAAATTATATGACAAAATGTAAGAAGAATTTAATTTGTATTCAATTAAAACTCACCATCAAAAGCCTCTCCATCATCAAAACAATTACCTGTAAAAGAAGTGGAAACTTTAAAACGATCGGATTCATTCTCTACCGAATCTAAAAATCTCTATGTAAAATCACCTGTTAAAACACCAAATCCAGAACAAAAAAGTGGAGCAAAAACAACAATACAAAGAATGAAAGATCTTAAAGATCAATTCAATGCTCAATTTAAAAAGACAATTCAAGCAAAGTAGGTTTATTTCAATATGTAGACTACTAATATATCAACAATATGATGTTATTTATCTCATTGTAATATTATTTCAATAATGATAGACAACCAGATAATAAGAAAATTGTTAGAAAATATTTATTTCACAGAGATGCAGTGTTTGATATTAAAATGTCACCTGTTTGTAGTATTGACACATCAACACCACTGTTTGCAACAGCTTCAGCAGATTCAACATGTTGTTTATGGGGATCTAATTTTTCTCATCTTAATCCATTACTTGTTTATAAGGGACATAGTGGAGCTGTAAATAGAATCAAATTTCATCCAACTTCGCAAATGATTTGTTCTGTTTCAGGTGATCAATCTGTACATTTATGGAAATTTGCTGATACTTTAAAACAAAATAATGCTCTCACTTTAAATCAATCAACAAGTGGACAATATGTTGGAGAAAATGAATATGATGATGATTCTAGTAATAGATTTAAACCATTTAATAGACATTCTAAATTACCATCTATAGATAATATTCACAAAACAAGCACTGAATTTGATGAATCTTTTAATGAAACTCAACATGATTTATTTACACAAGATTTATTAGATAGTCATATTGATTTTAAAGCTTATCAAAATGAAGGTGTAAATACAGATAGTGAAAATGATGATAGTCTTAACGAGTTACAAAAATATTATATTACTGAAGGTATGTTTTATTACTTTGTTCAATATAACAACAACAACATTGATATTACTTTGTGAATATATTGTTAAAATCATAACCAATACTTTAGAGGGTGTTCAAGGTATGATAAGAAATAGGCCAACCTATCTCAGAAATCCACACGTAAAAAATACAGAATCACATAAGGGTATCATTTCTAGTTGTGATTTCACCCATCACAATCGTGGTGATAATATTATTACATCATGTTGGGATGGTTGTGTTAGAATGTTAGATTTGGAATTAAGAGAAATTCAAAAGATAAACTCACCTGTAGAAACTGCCTACCTTAATGATGTTACATGTGCTTATCAGTCATCATTAATTGCTTGTGCTTCATCTGATGGTAATGTATTTTTATGGGACTCTCATTCAGACTCAAAATCTCCAATTTCGTCACTCAAATCCCATTCAGATCCTGTTAATTGTGTTGCCTTTACTCCAAGTGATAGATTCATTATAACAGGAACAGACAATGGAGAGTTACGTATTTTTGATTATAGAAACATGACAAAACCAGTCAAGACTATTCCAATCAAATCAGGAGGTGTCAATAATATTTCAATATCTGAATACCACCAGAGAATGTTAGTTTCTTTGGATAAACGTGTGGCTAAAATTTATGATTTGAGTGGTCATTGTCATAATACATTGAGAGGTCATGAATTGATGGTAACCAGTGCATGCTGGTCATATGATGGCTCGACAGCATTCACAGCGAGTATTGATAGACAAATAATTCAACATGATGTGACTGATGGTCAATCTCAATCAGTTTATGGTGAAGATTAATCTTACCTTAACGATTGTCAAAAAAACATGTAAATTAAAAATTGATTTTTATGCAGGATGTCTATTTAATCAACCCATAAACTAATGCATCCCTGTAGTTTATATGGTAATTGTAAAAAAATTTAATTCTTGGTTGGAGCAGTGCTTGATGGAGATTCAACCTTTTCATAAGTGTATTCTTCGAGTCTATCTTCACGGAATTTGAATGTTTCCATATCGTGCAACAATTCTTCGAATTCCTTATCTTGTTCTTGCTTGTGGACTTGAGCCAATTCTGAGAGTTCAGCAGCAGACTTCTTAATAGATTCTTGTTCTTCTGGAGTCAATTCACGAAGTTTCTTAGCAGGAACACCAGCCCAAATTTCACCACCTGGAACAATAGTTCCTGGTGTCACAACAGCACCTGGTGCAATCATAGCTCCTCTTCCAACAACAGCACCATCCAAAACAGTGGCACCAAAACCAATATAAGACTCATCTTCTAAAGTACAAGCATGTAAAATAGCACCGCTTTCAACAGTAACATTATTTCCAATAATTGTTGGCTTTTCGTGGCCAACCTTGCCTGTACAGTGAATAATAACTCTGTCTTGAATATTGGTATTTTCTCCGATTTGTATAGAATTAACATCACCTAATATTTGATAAATTTATCATCATTCACAATATATAAACCTACCTCTTATAACAACATTGTACCAAACAGATGAATTTGGACCAAGAGAAACTGAACCAATAACGCTGGCATTTGGAGCAATGAAAGATGATGGTTGAACGGATGGTTTAAAATTCTTGAATTTCATAACTCTTCTAGTTCTATTTACTGTATATATTTGATGTATTTGTTGTTAATATTAAAATAGATTGATGAAAATTGTATGATTATTTGTTAATAAAGAGTCATCATTATATTATTGTTGTTATTAAAATTAATTTAAAAAAATATAGACACTAACAATCTTCCTTGTATGCCAAACTTCCTTGCAAGAAACATCCAACACGATCCATGGCTTCACCTGCTTCACGAAACAGGGAACCAATTAAATGACGCATAGATTGCTTTGGTACGTTCATTCTATATTTTTTGAGGTTATTTTTTTTTACAATATTTTTTTTAAAATCCAAAGCCTTGGTTGGTGCTGCTATTGAATAGTTGATTTTCTCTCATCAATTTCAATGGTAAATTGATATGATTGGAGTGATGAATAATATTCTCAATAATTACTTTTTGAAAAATTGATATTAATTTATTTTCATATCAATGACATTCTATCCATGATATATTTGATATGATTTATGAAATTGTTCATTGTAACTTTTATACTAAACATGAAAGAAAATGAATTATTTTTTTATAGAAATACCAAACACTCAATGATAAAAAACATGATAAAAAAACATAAGATAAAAAACATGAATTAAATTTCACTTTCAATGTGATGATGCTTAGAACTTTCTTGTTCTTGATTTAATTTTCTTCTTTCCATTTCTCTTCTATTCTTTTCAACTTCATATGCAATTTCAGGTGGCATTCCATTTCTCTGATCATGTTTAGCTAAAATATTAGTACATTTCAATTTAGAATGTCCAAGCATAAAACCTTCACAAATAGCAGTACTATTTTCTTCAAATAAATCAGGTAAAACACCTTTATATTCAATTTCAATATCATATTTCAAATCTGTAATTTTAAATATTGTAAGAAAATTATTTTCACCATGTTGAATTGTTCCCTCTTTAACAATACCTCCAATTCTAATTTTACGATCAGGTGGAAAATCTTGACGATTATCCATTACTTTAGATGGTGATACATAATAATTCATTCTATCATTATTAGTTTCTACTATAATATATATTACAACAGATGCTATTGTAAATATTATTGAATATTTAAGTGTTTTTGTAAATTTATAAGATGATGATGATGAAGAATTGGAATTATTAGATGATGAATTAATAATTCTAATACGTTGTTGATTCTTATTAAAAGTATTATTATTATTGGTTGTATTAGTATTATTATTTAATGATGATGATGGAGTACTTTCAACATCTTCGGAAATGACAAATTTTTGTTCTTCTAATTGTTGTTGAGTACTATTATTATTATTATTATTAATATTAATATTATTATTGGATGTACTAATAGTATTCTTTTGTTCCGTATTGTTATTATTATTGTTCAATTGAAGAATGGAATGATGATGATAATTATTTACTCTATTAAATCCATAATTGTTATTATTGATTATAATTGATTTGAATGCAGTGGAAGAACTATTAATAGTTGTTTTATTATTATTCAATAATTTCAATAAATTAATGGACTGTTTAAATTGTTTCATTTTTTTTTCCAAGTTAAATTTTAAAAGAATTACATTTTTAAATTTATTAAATATATTTTTATTCAACATAAATTTATCATTAATTAAATATCATACAACAATAAAAAACCAATGAATAATTTATTATCAAAGTTTAATCATTAATTTAAACTTAAATATTTTGAAAAAACCAATTGAGTAATAGAATAAGTCAAAGCAGGTGAACTCCAAAATGGAAATGTTTCCTTTTCAAAACCATTAAATTTGGTAGGTACAGATTCATTAAACCATAATTGTTTTAAATATAAATCATATTGTTGAGGTGAAATTAAACCCTCCATACCAACAATTAAATCATCAGTAATCATATTAGGATCAATTGGTTTTAAAATAGTACCATTTAAAAATTCACAATAATTCATTGGATAATAAAATGGATAATCATTTGATCCTTTCACTGATCCTGAAAAGAATGCATTTTCATAAATTGACCAAAATGAAAATAAATTTTCTTGTAAATATAAAATTCCATTTTCAATTAAATTTTTAACATGTAATGGAATGGATGGATTCCATACTCTTCTATTATTTTCTAAATTTGTCCATGTATCTAATAATGTTGATAATGCTAATGATGTTGAAAATAATCTATCTTCTCCTAATTCTTTTTCTTTAAAATCTCCTAAAAAATCATCCCAATAAATTTCATTCTTTTCATTCTTTTTAGATAAATTTAATAAATTATTTGTAATATATTTAATTAAAATATTATCAAATATTTTAGAAATTTCTAATAATATTCTTGATTTAGTATTAGAATTCTTTAAAAGGAAACTAGTTCTAGAAATAAACCAATAAAAATCATAAACACTTGGATAATAAACAAGTGATAAATCAGGTCTTTTAGATTCAATTTCATTCATAATTGAATATTCAATTATTTTACTTGCATTTAATAACATTTGTTCTATAATTGGATGTGAATCTAATAATAACTCATTTCCATTTAAAGTATGTGCAGATACTCCAAATATAAAATTAGTTAAAACACTCAAATCAACATTATTAACATTAAATGGTTGTGCTACTGCTGGAAATCTATCTCTATCTTGTTTAATATCCATTAACCATGTCATTGGTAATTTAATATTTAAATTATTTTCAAAAAATTTATGAAAAATAAAATAAGATCTTGGATCAATAATATTTTGATGTTGTTCATTGTTCACTTTTTGATGTTCTTCTTGATGTTCTTCTTGATGTTCTAGTTGATTATTATTATGATTATTATTATGATTATTATTAACAATTAAATGATAGGCAAATCTTTCATAAATTTTAAATAAAGAATCATAATCAACATTTTTAGATTTCCATAAATTAATTAATTCTTGATTATTATTTAAATATTTAAATAACATTGAACCTAATGCTAAATTACATGAAGTATCATCATAATCAGCTGGAATATGAAAAGCTTGAGCTAGAAATTGAAAACTTTCAATTAAATCTTCAACTTTTTCTAATAAATTTTCCAATTTTAGAAATTTTAATAATTCTTCAATATACTTTTCCATTGAACCAAATTCATTTAAAGGTTCAATTAAATTAATTGGATAAGCTTGATAATATTTTGAATTTGGTAATAATTTTTGAGGCCAAAAGTTATAAACTGGAACACTTTCATTAAAATTATTATCATGATATGTTAAAATAGCTTTAATTGCTAAATTTAATCTATCTAAATTTAATATATTTGTAATTTTATTACTATATTTAGAATTAGTAATTAAATAATTAGATTCAATTTGTGTTAAAATAACAAAATTAGTAACAAACATATTCAAATCAGGTATTTTAGCATATCTTCTTAATAAAATAGATTCATAATCATATCCACCATTATTCATATGAATATATGATTTATATAAACCTGCTTGTTCAGCAAATTGAATTGGAAATGATTTAAATGGTAAATCTTTTAATGATTGTTCATTTGATATATATTCTGTTAATTTATTTGTCATTTCAATAATTTTATTTATATTAACTTGACATGTTACCTTATTATTGTTGACATTGTTAAATAATAGTATTACTATAATAGATAATAGTAGTAGAATAATTAATAGTGAGTGTGGTCTTGATGATAATTTGTTATGGATTTTCATCTCTTTTCTAATATATTGGATAGTGATGAAAATATTTTGACTGGTGTGATGATGAATTCAATGATGATAATGAGATGATGAACTTTATAGCGCAACGACAATAATTGTGGTGGTGATGTGTTGTTGTTGTTGGAGATTTTTTTAAAAACAGAGAGAAACGCGATTGTATCTGTGATAAAATTTGATTGGATGAAAAAACTCCTTCAAGATTTTGTGGCGTTTCACCACCATTTTGTAATCTTCATTTGTGATGGTCACAGTGGAGTTTGGTTGTGAATTGATAATGTTCATAATATTGATATCTAGATAGTGAGAAGTAAAACTTGAAAATATTTTATTTGATGTTATGTGTGTTTGTTTTTTAATTTCAAATTGGAATATTGACTTGCAATTATTACTTTATCAATTTGAAATTTAAATATAAATAATAAATATAAAAAATAGAAAAATAAATAGTAAATAAATAGTAAAATAAATAATAAATAATAATAAATAATATAAACTACATAATAGGGCATAAAAATTAAACATTAATTGAACCATCTTTTTTAACTTGTATTCCATTTGAATTAATTAATAAAATATCAATTAAATGAAAATCTCTTAATTGTTTTAATTTAATTCTCCATCCAATAATTATAGCAATAATTAAAAAAGTTATGGCAATTGCAATACATAGAATACCAACAGATCCTCCTAAAAAGGCAGGTGAAGTAACATTTAAATTTTGTAATTCTTTTAAATTTTCATAAATTGAAAATGAAATAAAAGGTGAAGTTAATGGAGTTGTATTGACATGAATATAAACATGAATAAATTCACCATTATTTGGTATTTTTTCTAATAATTGATAATCATTAGTATTTCTTAATATAGTTTGATTTAAAATATTCAAATTACCAAAATAAGAATCTGGTATATTAAAAGGTTCGGAATTAAATAATCTTATTAAAGATGAACAATATACATCACCACCCTGTCTATAACTTGAATGTTGACAATGATAATCACGTTGTTCTACAACAGCCTTCGTTCTCATATTCAATAATTGTACCATTTCACCGTAGTGAACTGTTTCATTAAAGGAACGAATAAACATCCACAAACAAAGTGATATAAACACAAAATCAACAATCAATATTATTAACAATGATGATAGTATAAGGTATCTGTGCTGGATGCTATTGTTGAGAGTGGTCACTTTTTTTTTTAGGCTTTGATCGTCTTTATTGACTCTTAAACAACATCTCTCCAAGTTATTTTTACAAAAAATGCACGAAAGCAGAAAGGCGCCAAACCATTTCAGCTGAGTAATGTGGAGAAATGGGAAATAAGGTTTTTATTACTCCATACACCACTCTTAAAACACAATAATATTCAATAATATATACAATAATACTAGTGGAGGAAATGAGATGATTTATAAATTAGTATTGAATAATAAATATCTATTCTAAATATCTTGTTGGAATATCTTTTTAAAATCTTATTTGTTACCGTTTAATGATTTCTTCATTAAATTCGTTGTAATAGGGTATATTAAAGAATCTTGTCATATTTCAATCGAACTTAATCATCCTCATTATGCCAATCAACCCAATGGAGAAACAGTATTTCTACAGTTTCATTGTAAGAGTGGAAAGGTAAATCTTTCCTTTGATAGTTTGCTTATTAAGAATTAAGGACATTGACAGTTTCATCTAATGAAATAATAAATAGTCAATGATATTAAGAAATGTAAATCAATGGGTTATTACATTCTATAACCAATTCACAATGTAATATTATAAACCATTTCAACATTCAAAAAGAATACTATTCAGTTCCAGTAAAGAAAGGAATTAACATTACGAATTAAAAAAAAATGGCCAGAACACGTATGGTAATCATGCACAATTTTTACATTATCAATTTTTCCATGCTAGAAAAAGCTCTTTCTAATATTGAAATTTCCTCTATTAACAATTTAAATTTGGAAGAATTAGTTTGCTCTCTTCCTCACGTTTCATATAAACAACCTTTTTATGCTATGAGGGGATTTCCCATTTCCGATTTTGATGATCATTTAGTTTTATTTACTCTGAGTGATGATGATAAAACTAAAATTTTAATGTTTTCAGGAGAAAAACGAACAATACAATTTAATGATGCATGTTTTGCAGAGTATCAGAATGTTAGACCCTTTGAACAAATTAATTCACTAATGAATAATGTTCATCCAATTTACTTGACAAGATATTTGGAATTGTGTGAATTTGATTGTTATGTGAATGATAGAGTTTTAGTTAATGTATTGGGAGAACATTACAAGGATTATTTGAGTAATGATGAGAATGATAGTAATAATGAAAATGAGAATGATAATGAGTTATCATATCCACCACCACCTTCTAAAAAGACTAAATATTCCTCTGAGGATGATGAAGAGGAGGATAGAAAACAACATCTCATTGAAATTATTAAGAGAGAAACTTGTAATATTGAATGGGATGATAATTTATTGGATGCCTTTAGGAAAATGTTGTATTCTATTGATTCAATTATTGATCATACTGAAAGTCCATTCATCAATTTAAGTCCACTTGTAAATAGTCATGACATGATTTATTGTATTTTAGAGTTTATTGGAAATGTGAAAACTCTTTTCAATTTTGCAATTTCTTGTCATGATTTTTATGAGATTTTTAAACAAGCCAACAAGAATAATCTATTGCTGAAGAGAATTGTAAAAGATATAGGTATAGTTTACTTTTAAGAGTAGTCAACCAATTAATTGACTTGTTTATATGTTAAATTAATAAATTAGATGAACATATATTTTCAATTATTAATCCACAATTATTTAAATTATTATTTTTTTGAATTATTATTTAATGATGGAGATGATGATAATAATGGATCTAAATAAAACTTTTGAATATTAATTTTCATGTAAAAGAATATCTTCAACAATATTATTGCTATTAACAATTAATTAATTAATAGGAGCATTGATGAAAATGACGTCAGATGTGATTTAATATTTTCTTTTGTTAGCAGCTCATGATGAAGATTACTTTTGCTCATCTTGAAGCCTGGCCTTTCCTCTTCTTTCGTCATCCAAAGCCTTCTCCTGTGAATCTTGGTCCATAGGCTAATAAAATTTTATTGTTATTGTTGTTGGTGTCATCACCATCATCATATAATAGAAGCGCCCAACGGATGAACAACAATAACAATAAAAAAAAAATGTCTAAAAAGCTTGTTCAATTACAATCACAAGTTATAATACGTGAATTAACATTGGCAAGATCACAAAATGATTATAAACAATCATCCGAATTAGAACAATGTTCTAAAAAAGCACAAGAATTAGGATGTAAAAATTTAAGTGATTGTTTACATGTAGAATCTAAAATACAATATTATCAAATGACAAGTGATTTAACAATATTACAAGATTTAAATAGTAAAATATTAAAATTAATAGAAAATAAGAATACAAATATAGTAGGAGAATATTTTAATATAATTTTAAATAATAATTTAACTAATTTAGATGTTATTTTAAATAGTTATAAAGATTTAGATGTAATTATGAATATAAATAATATTGATTTATTAAATGGTCAAGTATTTAATTTACAAAAAGATTTACATTTACAATTACCATATATATTCATTTATTTTAAATGTTTATCTATTAAAAAAAGTAATATTTTAATTGATCATTTAATTAAATATTCAAATATTATTGATAAAATTGATAGTTTTAATAATTATAAAATTCAATTAGAAATTTTTAATCAAATTGAAATTTTATTAAAAAATAATATTGATCAAGGAATTAATTTAATTTTAAAATTAATTCAATTAAAAAATTTATTACAACCTATTATTAAAATTAATATTTTACAATTATTATCTAAATATTA